ATATTATATTTTTTCCAAAATGTATATTATTTATTGCCAAATTAGTAGTAAATAATCACATTCGAACGTAATGTCCAAGTGATTGTAAATACGTAACAAGTTTGAAAAAAATAGTTCGAGTAAATTCTAGTTTGAAAAAATATTTGAATAAATTCTAGTTCGAACTAATAATAGTTTCCATAAATTTTATTTCGATAAAACAATAGTTTGAATAAATTGTGGTTTGAAAAATTATAGTTTGAGTAAATTCTATTTTGAACAAATTTTAGTTTAGAGAAATAACAGTTTGAATAAATATAAATAGTATTTTGAAAAAATTCTAATTTCAATAAATTCTATTTCGAAAAAAACAATAATTTGAGTAAATTCTATTTTGAAAAAATAATAGTTTCAATAAATTTTTGTTTGGAAAAATAATAATTTGAATAAATTGTAATTTGAAAAAATAATAGTTTGAGTAAATTCTAGTTTGAAAATTTTTTAAAATAAATTCTAGTTCGAACAAATTGGTTGACAATGTTGGATTATTTTTTTTGGGAAATAAAATATTGGGAAAAATGATTTGCTTGGGAAAAATTTTTTTTGGGAAAACATTTTGTGGGAATAATTTTTTTTGGGAAAATTGACCCCCCACCAATAATTTGATATTATTCTTTCGGGTCAGAGAAAAAGAAAAATTTCATTTTTGTGGCAACCCTGTTATATTAGTTGTATTTTGACATAATAATGTTGGTTTAGAAAGAAAAATTGGAAAAGGATCGAAAAATGCATTAAATGTTGAGGAGAATCGGTAGGAAATCACCACTTCCTTCGGGCGATATATCTGTATGATATAGATGATGTACAGTATGTAGATACAGATACAGTGCAGGTCGTGATTGCAGCCAGCTGTCGAACACAAGCATAATCTCTCCCCTTCGCTTCTCTCTTCCTTTTGACGATATGAGAGCCTGCGTTTTCGCTGAGTTGACACAACATGTGCCCAAGTCAAAGTGCTTCGGTTTGCACTTCGCGTCCTGGCTTTCGCTGAGGGCAGCAGCGATCTTGGTTTTATAGCCTCCGCAGGCTATATTTCTGATTACATGTGTGAATCACGATCAATCACGTCCTATATAGCGTTGTCAATCTTCCATGCAAACTGATGCAAACTGCCAATATCCCATATTAAATTAATCAATATCAATCTTGTGTGTGTATCACATGAAAACTTACCTGCCAAAATTCATAACTAATCGTTTTAAGTGCACTGGGAAGAAATAATTTTTCAAAGGTACCAAAGAAAAAACGAGAAAAATTGCTTGAAAATTGATTAATTAGTCAATTTTCCAGCAAATATCACTCTTTGCTGTGTTATTTTGTTATTTCTGACAAGAAAAACCTATTTGACCAAAAACATAATCTCAAAATCATATTATAAAAATGTAAAAAACGATTTTAAACATTGTTTTAGCAATTCTTAAAATTTTTGAAAAAAATCGATTTTTGTATTTTTTTAAATAACTTTTTTCTTTATTAAAATTTTCATTAATTATTGTCAAAATTGTATTCTTGACATGAAAACGAATCAATTCATGTATATAAAGTATATATTTTGTCAATATTTATAAAATTAATCAATATTTTTATTTTTCACAAAAGTTGAAATTTTGTATTTTTTGAAACTTTATCTTAACACTTTAAAATAATTATTTTATAATAAAAAATTATGCAATTGGTATATATTATATGTAGGAAGCGAAATGTTCATGAAATGAACAACTTGTTTTCAATCTATCGAAAAAACCCAAAAAAATTTATTAGCCTATTTTTCAAAAATTATATACAAAAATGTGTATTATATTTTGTTATTTCTGATATTTCAGAAAATTCTGAGTTATTGTGTCTTTTTTGTTTGCCTCATAAACTCTGAAATTACCACGAATTCTAATACAAAAGCTTCAATTTTTTCTATTTCTGACAATTTCTTTTTAAGTAACTTAATTCTTCAAGAACTATCATAAAATTATTATAAATTATTTATTGAATAATTTTACTGAAATATTTCAAAATTTAAATTTTGAATGAATTTTATTAGAAATTTTAAAGAACTTAGATTTTTGAAAAATTTTAATAATTCAAATTCATCTGAAATTAGTTAAATTTTTTAATATATTTTATTAATTATTAAATATAATGAATTTATAGAAGAATTTTTGTTAAAAACATTAAAAACAATTGAATTTTGGAGAAGTTACAAATAATTGCAGAAATTCAATAATTTTCAAAAGTAATAAAATTCTTAGCAGAAATTCAATTTATGTTCAAAAATTTAAAAAAATGTTCGTCAAAATTTTAATTATCTTTATAAATATTAAAAATCTTCTTCGAAATTTAATTATTTTCAAAAATATTAATAAAATTTTTAGTAAAATTTCAATTATTTAGGAAAAAAATATAATTAAATTCTACTCAAACATTTAAATATTTTCATAAATAATAAAAATTCACAAAAATTTAATTATTTACAAATTTGTTATAAATTTCTTCGTAATAATTCCATTATTTTCATAAACTATACAATTTTTTACAGAGATTCAATTATTTTCGTAAATAATAAAATTCTTTTTAGGAATTCAATTATTTTTATAAATAATAAAACTCATCGCTAAATTTCAATTTTAATCAAATTCCTAGAAAAATGTAATTTTCCTTAAAAATTCTATTAAAATTCGTCGAAAAAATTCAATTATTTAAAAATTTGTTGATAAAATTCTTTACGAGAATGCAATTTTAAGAAGCATTCAATTAATCAATAAATTAATTATTCTTGTATTTAAGTAATTAAATTCTGTTGACGAATTTTAATAATTTTTTTAAGAATAATTTCTTTTTTAAAGGAATTCGATTAAAATTAAATAAAAAAAAATTGAAATTCTGCGATGATTTTTATTATTTATGAAAATAATTGAACTTCTAAAATGAATTTTATTATGTACCTATGAAAATAATTATATATATATTTGCAAAGAATTTTATCAACAATTTTTTTTGAAAATTTTATTTAAATTGTACCTAGATATTGAAAATCATTAAAATTATGGGAAATTTTTTTAAATAATTTAATTTCGGAGAAGAATTTTATTATTTATAAAGATAATTGAAATTTTGAAGGTAATTTTTAAAAATTTTTGAACATAATTTAATTTCGGAGATTTGAATTTTTCATACTTTTAACTAACAATTTTAAAGAATTAATTTTTTTGAAAAAGTTTAATGGAATTTTTTTTTAAACTATTTGAAGTTTATAGTTTTTAATATATATTTAAATGATAAATTTCCGAATAATAGAAATTTTGTTAAATTGAATTGTAAAAATTTTTGTCAGGGAAAAACAAAATTAGATTTTTGTGTGAACCCTGGATTTGTCAAAGAAACACAACCTTAAAATCAAGCACTATTATAAAGAAATTAGAAAAAAAAAAATTTATTTTAAATATTCAATTGTTGCACTTGTCTTTGACACATAACCTAACAATTATTTAAAGGAAATACAGTGTGAAAATATAAAACTAAGTCCAGAAGAATTTGAAAGTAATGTAAAACTTTGAATAATAATAATAAAATAGACGTTTTCTGTCAATGTGAAAGTAGTAATAAACATCTAGGAACAATTGTTTGACATCGAACACGTGGAATAAATTTTGTGTATATAGTTTTAGATCTCATTCAAAGTTTAGTTTGTGAGTGGAAATAAACGTAAACGATTTAACTCTTTGTATATATGAATTGTGTATATGTGTTTGAGTGGTTCACGCATGGGAGGGCGCCACGTGTCATGCCACCTGCATTTCTTATAGCGAAAAATGATAAAAAAGAAAAAAAAGAAATCCGAAAATAATTATTTTACTATAAATTGTAATTTTTTCGAAAAAAAATTTTTCCCATGATTGAAAGAATTTGACATGTGATTTTCATTTGGGGAAAGATTAAAAGTGTTTTTTTTCTGTAAAGTGAAAATGCATCACACACAAATCAGTGGTGTTGAATCTTTATAGTAATGGTGCTGAAAACGTCGACCCACTGACCAACGCCAGTTTCATGAACTCATTTCAAAAACATCAGCCCCAGCCAGTGCAAGCCAGTGTGTGTCTTCCTGTACAGAAATCTTCGTCAATCTTTCCTCAAATTTTCACAAAGGGTACGTCATTTTTTCAATGTGATAAACATTCTATTCGATTCATTCAAAACACGTGTTTTATGAGCAAAGTATTTTCAATTGGTGAAGACGATAAATGAGACACGAAAAGCCGGTGCGCTCGAAGGTAACCTAAAAAAGTAAAACCTCTCGCTGGCTGCTATAACGAAGCTAACGACCGCTCCTGTCTCTTGTACATCACAGATTTTCCACAAATTCGGTGATATTCTTGAGTTAAAAATGAAAATAAATTGAAAAACAATGTGACTCTAATGGTGTGGATAAAATTTCCATTAGTGTTTTGTGCTTTTTTTCAGAGTGAGAGAGTGAAAAAATTCAATGAATATTTGTGTGTGATCTTGGCTTCATGACAAAAGCTGTCACGATGCTTCGATTTCCGTAGAAAGTAGTGTTGAAAATCAAACCTGAGAATCAATGAATCCATGAAACCCTATGTTGGATTTATCAGTTTTTGTGAATTTTACCCTTGTATTCTTTTTTTCTTGTTTCAACAATAGATAATTGTTAATTTTTTACTCATTAACAATCAATGATGATTTTTTTTAAATAAATTATTTAGATTCCTAATAATTAAAAAAATCGTTTTGATCCCCAAATTTGGAGAAATTACCATTTTTAATCTATTTTATTAATTATTAATTCTTAATTGACTTAACCTAAAAATGAACTAATTAAATTTGGTTATTTCAATATTTATTTATTTTTATTTTGCAATTTTTTCTAATGAAACATAACACCTTATTTTTCTGTATTAATTTCTTTAGTGAGTGTTATTAAAATTTTTATTGATTTGTTTATGTTACAGGTGTCGGTGTTTAAGGAGTCGTGATGCATTGGAGGTTCGGCGGACCTTGCTCAAAAACCGACCAAAAATCAGTGTTGCAGAATCAATTTGTGTGACGAAACGACTCAATTTAGAAGGAAAAGGGAAAAAGAGGAAGGAAAGATTTTTAAAAAAACTGACTGTAGGAATAATAAGGGGTTTTTTTTCATTGGAAAAAAATTCCCCCAAATTGGGTGTGTGTGAGAGTTGTAAAGAAAGTCGATCTTTGGATAAAACAAAGTTCGCAGAAGTGCAAAAAAATTTTTAAAATAGGGGGGGCTATCTGACCGATGGACAAACGGAAGATGATGCCCAAACGCCCTCGAATGGATAACCTGAGAGGCCCGATCGCCAACGGGCCGATTCAGGCAAGACCACTGGTGGCTCTTCTCGATGGACGGGACTGCTCCATCGAAATGCCAATTCTCAAGGATGTAGCGACAGTCGCCTTCTGCGACGCACAATCCACTTCTGAAATCCACGAGAAGGTATAATTATTAGAATCAGATTTTAGAAATTCTCCCTTAATCAGAGTAGAAAAATTGTTAATAAAAAAGAAATTCAATTTTTGCTAGAAGCTTAAAGAAATTATTTTTCGATATTTTAAACAATTTCAAGTTCAGGGTGGCCACATGTCAGTAAAGTCAGGGAAATGTAAGAAAAAAATTTTTTTGTCAGGGTCGACTTTTCTTTCAAATATTGCAACAAAATATGATATTTTTTAGTATGAAATGCAATTTATTTCGATTTTTATAGTGCGAAAAATAACTATAAACAAATGTTTCAAAAATTATTTTAAAATCATTTTTCAAGATAATTAAATTTTTCAAATATATCTCTAATAAAAATATTTTTGAGTAATTGAAATTTTGTAAAATTTAATTTGAAAATAATTAGTTTTTTTCGAGTATTTTGTTACAATAATTTTTGGAAAATCAACTTTTGAAGAATTTTAATTGCAAATTCTGAAAATAATTGAATTATCAAAAATTTTAATAAAATATCTTTAAATGTAAATTTAAAAATGAAAATTAGCTTCTAATTTTTTTAAATTGAAATATTTTCAGTATTTTCTATTACAAAAATAATTCAAATACCAGGCCTCGGATATTATAACATTTTCGACTTTTTTCGACTATTTTCAAAAAATGCGTCTTTTTTCGACTTATTATAAAAAATTACGACTTTTTCGACTTTTCTTCCGAATATTGCAATAATTTTTAGTATAAAATGCAACTTATTTTCGAAATTTACAATTGAAAAGAGTTTCAATAAATATTTAAATTTTGTAAAATTTAATTAAAAATAATTGATTTTTTAAAGTGTATTTTAAAAATTTTTGAAAATCAACATTTGAAGAATTTTAATTGCAAATTTTGAAAATAATTTAAATTAAATTCCTCGGAAGAATTTAATTTTTAAAACAATTTTTAATATATTTCGAATAAATTCAACTATTTTCTAAAATCTTAATAAATCCTTTGAAACAATTCAATTATTTTTATAAATGGTAAAATTCTTCGCAAGAATTCATTTTTTTTTCTAAATAGTAAAATTCTTTGCAGTAATTTAATTATTTTCAAAGCATATTTAATTGAATTTCTCGGAAGAATTCAATTATTTCCAAATATTTCCATAAAATTCAATTATTTCCTAAAATTTTTAATAATTTCTTCGAAACAATTCAACTATTTTTATAAATTACTAAATAAATTTTCAAAATTTACAATAAAAAAGAGTTTCAATAATTGAAATTTTGTAAAATTTAATTGAAAATAATTGATTTTTTTCAAAGTGTTTCATAAAAATTTTTGAAAATAAATAACATTAAAATTTTTTACAATTATTTTTACAAATTTCAATTGTTTGGAAATTTTTCAATTCTATATAATTGAAAAACTATTATCTTTCATAAATTATTTTAAAAATATTTTTGAAAAATTAATTTTAAGAATTTCTTTATTATAATTTTTTGAAAATTAATTAATAACTTAAAAAACATGGGACAATTAGAATCATTATAAAGAACTGAATTTTTGGATTTATTTGACAAAAATTAAGATCCGGAAAATATTCTAAGTTGTATTTAAATAATTGAATTCTCTAAGAACTTTCCGAAAATTATTAAAAATAATTGATTTCGAGAAGAAGTTTGATTAAAAATTGTAGAAAATAATTGAATTTTAAGAGAATTAAAGGTGTAATTTTTAGAAGTTATTAAATTTCAGAAGGTTTTACATAGAAATTTAAAAACAAACAAGAAGTATTTAAATATTTATTTAACAAAATTATTCAAGTTTTAAATAATTAAATTTAGAAATCAGCGAAAGATCAGAAGAATAGAAAATAAAATTTTTGTGATGACACTGAATTAAATAAACGACTTTTTCGACTTTTTTTCTATTTTAAATCGACTAAAGCGACTTTTTTTGCACCTTAAAATCGATCCGAGGCCTGAAATACATACAAAACATAATAACATTTTAGAATTAATTTTAACATTATGGAGAAAAAAAATCATGTTCAAAATTTTGAATTAAAATTCATCAAAAAATTTAAATTTTACTCATTTTCCGTAAACTTTTATATTTTCTTGTTAAAAAAATTTTGTTAGGGAAAATAATTTTAATGTCAGTAAATTGTCAGGAAAATTGATAAACTGAATCTTGTGACCACCCTGAAGTTGCATTTGAATAAAAATTACAATTTTCTGTCAATAAGAAAAGAGTTTGGTAACATAACCTAAAATTTGTCAAATATTTCGCAATGGCAAAAAATTGTATTGTTCATTCAAATGCAGATTTGTTTAAAATATTTAAAAATGAATTCTCTACCCTATCATCAAAAAAGGAATTTAAAATTTAATTTGTCTTTTAAAATACAAAAATTTGACATTTGATTAATTTTTTATTTGACTGTCTATCAAATTCTCCCTTAATTATTTTTAGTATTCATTTTTTAATGAATTATCATTTGAAATGAAAATTAAAGAAATGTTATAAATGGAAAAACAAATAATAATAATTAATACAAATAGAAATAATTTTTTTGTTCGTTCTTGAGTACCTATTTTGGCAATTTTTGTTCTCATTTTGTTTTATTTTAAATTTTGATGATGATTTATTAATTGGAGATTTTCTCGACAGGTATTGAATGAAGCAGTTGGTGCATTGATGTGGCACACAATAATATTGACCAAGGAGGACCTGGAGAAATTCAAAACATTGAGAATCATTGTACGAATTGGTTCGGGTGTGGATAACATTGATGTCAAAGCTGCTGGTGAACTTGGCATCGCTGTGTGCAATGTGCCTGGCTATGGAGTTGAAGAAGTAGCTGACACCACACTCTGTCTCATCCTCAACCTCTACCGACGTACATACTGGCTGGCGAATATGGTTCGCGAAGGCAAAAAATTCACAGGACCCGAACAGGTGTGTATTGAATTTTGCAATAATCACTCGAAAATTCCCCTGTAACTTTCAAATAAAAAAAAGAACAAATTTTTCCCTTCAAAATAGCGATCCAACACAAGTTCTGAACTCTCAAATGAACAAAATTTCTTTGACAAATTTAATATTTTCATAGATTACTTATAAAAGGCAGAAACAAAATTAAACTTTTAGAATCTTTGCGGTTTTTTTCTAATGTTTTGAATAATTCAAATGAGAATAATTCCACGTGACACGATCAAGACAAAATTTTAATTTTCTGGGAAAGGCTTAATTTTTTATTTTAGTCAATTTTTCATTATTGGTGGTAGATTTCTATGCAAGACACCTTCCTTTTTAAAAAGCAATTTGGATTTTTTGTTTCCGATTTGTCAATCTTGAGATAAACTGTCCGCAATTGGACAACTAACTTTTTGGAGTTTCGATCTGAATGCTGTCTGCAAATTATGATATTAAATAAAAATTAAAAACAAACCATTATTTTCATTCTCCAAATATGTACTAATATAAGCAAAAAAGTTTTTTAAATATTTGTAATAAAAAACCAAAAAAAAAATTTTTTAATTTGGTCTTTTAAGAGCCTTCTAAAGTGTAGTAGTACCTTAATGCAGAAATTTAGCTTAATATTACCATCTTTGGCATTGGGACGCGTCGCGTCTTCGTTGCGTTTTGGCTCATTCTGGAACGACCCTATCATAGCTTGAGAATTTCCGAAATTTATGGAGTAATGTAAGAAAATATATCTTATGTAAGAAATTCGTTTAACCAGGTACCCACCCATGTAAGTTAACATAGAAGAATTGTCTATCCCCCCCCCCCCACCCAAATGACCTTACGTAATTTATGGACAATTAAAAAATAATAGATTTATAGAAGAATTTTAGTTAAAAACACTAAAAAATTTAGAATTTTTGGATAAGTTACAACTGATTGCAGGAATTCAATTATTTTCCAAAGTAATAAAATTCTTCGACATAATTCAATTATGCTTAAAAACTTTTAAAAATTCTCGTCAAAATTTCATTTATTTTCAAAAATATTACAAATTTCACAGGACTTAAATTATTTACGAATTATTAAAAAATTTCTTTGCAATAATTCAATCATTTTCGTTAAATAATAAAATTTTTACAGGAATTCAATTATTTTCATCACATAATTTCCATTATTTTTAATACAATTTTAATCAAAATCCTCGAAAAATGTAATTATTCTTAAAACTTTAATTAAAATTCGACGAAAGAATTTAATTATTTAAAAATTTGTTGAGAAAATTCTTTATGAGAATTAAATTTTAAGAAACATTCAATTATTCAATAATTCAAAAAAAAAATTGTTAACCCCTCTTTTTTAAAAAATAAACCTTATTTTTCAATTTTCACAAAAACTACCTCTTTTTTTAATTTTTTTTAATAATTTTTATTAGAAAGCTGAGATTTTTTCCAACAAATTATGTAAATTTTAAAAGTGAGACAACAATGAGTTTTCAGGAAAATAAAAAAATCAACTTTTGAACCCTTTTTATTTATTTTATTTAAAACCCATTATTATCCCATTTTTTAACTTTATATAATTTATTAATTTACTGGAAAAAATCTCAGCTTTCCAATAAAAAAGAGTAAAAATTATAAAATGTAGAGTAGGGGAGACTGGGGCGAAAAGTTAAATTTTGCATAAATGATTTTTTTTAGACAATATAATCCGCTTAGATGTAAATATTTATACATCAATATTGTAGGGCAACTTGTCCCCTACAACTTTCAATAAAAAAGTTTCTGATATTTTCGCATACAATACATGTTTTGTCCTTTTTTGAAAATTTTGTTTTTTTTAACTTTTCGCCCCAGCATGGGGGCAAAAAGTTAAATTCTATTTTTAGCCTACTAAAACTATTTTCTGATAGGTGTTAAGTAGTAGATAAGTTAAAGTATACGTAAACAAGTAATTTCGTTAATAAAAGATCTTTGTTTACTTAACAAAAGCTTTAGAATAGTTATAAAGTTAATAAATTGAAATTTCAAAAAAAAAATATTTTCTTTGGTTTATTTCACGTGAGCGGTCTTGTTTTTTGATAGAGTACTTGCCTAATGTCAAATAAATCATTTTTAAACAAATAAACCCAAAAAAACGAAAAATAAAAAAAAATTTTTTAATAACATGTAAAAATACATTTAACTTTTCGCCCCACCCATTATTTAACTTTTCGCCCCAGGGTGCGTTTTTGGCTTTAACAACAAATATAAAAAATCTGACTAAAGATATTTAGCAAATACCTTTAGGTATCTCTTCAGGGGACCCAAATAATGAAGTAAAAAAATCGCGGTGAAAATAAATGCAAAAAATATCCTTAAAAGTTGATATTTTCTTTTACGAAAAAATTTTCAAAAGTAGGGTGAAAAAAAAATTTAAATATGGACACCACAAAAATTAGCAAAATTTCACATAACTCCGGACATTTATTTAGGGTGATAACACTCTTCTATAATTAAAATTGCAATGCTCTAACTATTTCCGCTCGAAAGATAATGAATTTTAACTGTTTTCACAATTTAACTTTTCGCCCCAGTCTCCCCTAGTTTCTGTAAAAATTGAAAATAAGGTTTTTTTTTTTAAAAGAGTTTTGGAATTGAAAAGTACACAAAACAGTTCACGTGGAACTGCTTATGAACGAAATATGTTTTCTATTTAAATATTTTCAAAAATGACTATATTGAAATAGTCATGTAAAAACATTTATTTAGTTAAGAATTATTTTTTCTAATATACAAAATAATTTTTAATAAAATACAAAAAAGTAATAAAAAAAACTGTCGTTTATTTGAACGTTCAAAACTTTAGTAACACATCTTTAGAATTTATTTTCTTTTAAATACGTAACATGGCATTTTTTCAATAAAATTTTGAATTTAAAGAAGCAATAAATAAAATTGTTCATTTGAACGTTCAAAACATTAAAGGCATTAAAATAAATAATTTCAAAATAAACTTTTAATTTAGAGTAAAATAAACGTTGAAGATACCTCTGAAAATGAGAATGTAAAACCACTGAAAAATTTAATTTTTAGTCAAAATTATGCATTGAAGAAGAGAAAAAAGTTTTCAAAGTTGAAAAAACGAATCAATAACTCTTTGAAATAATCAAATTCGAGAAATCAAACTTTCAGAACATTGTTTTAATTACTGTTAAAAACCCAATTTTCTAAAAAAAATTTGAGAAATTTCCTTTTTTTATTCGCAAAATGTGGTAAAAATTACAAAGTCAATAGGGGAGAGTGGGGCAAAGGCGCTATGCGGGGCAAAGACGTTTTTTAAAATATCTCCTTTATTTTCTGTCTATTTCAATTGGTATTAAAAATTAAGTTGCAATGCAATCAGACCAATTGATTAAAAAAAGAAAAACCTAAAAATATCAAATATTTTAAGAAATATAACAAAAAAATTGTTTTGCAAAAATAAAATGATAATTTTACTGAACAAACTTTTATTTTTTTAAACATAAGTTTAAGTATTTAATTTTTAAAAACTTAACATGTAAATAAATTAAATATTTCTCTACACAACTGGCGTGGTACTTTAGTTTAATTTTGTATCTAAATATTTTAAATTTAAAGTAAGAAAAAAGTTTGTTATGTGGGGCAAAGGCAATATTGAACATAATTTGGTTAAAAACAATTGAATATTCGAATTTTCTATGTATTAATTCACAATATAAGGTTAAAATCATTAAAAGTTTTTATTTTTTATTTAAATAGTTTAATTCTTTTAATAATATGTTGTTAACCTTATGTTTCCTAAATATTATACTAATAAATATCACTTGTTAATTTTTTTAAGGCTTATAAATGCTTTCTTTTAGAAATATAAGCGAAAACGTCGCTGCCCAGCGTGTGGGGCAAAGGCATTTTTTGCATTGTTTTTAAATTTCATTAAATAATGTATTTATAATTATAATATACTAAATAACAACTATTAAAATTTCTTGTTGATTAGTTTAAAGAATAATGAAAAACAAAGACCTCATAAATTAATTGCTTAATTTAAAAAATATACATCGATAAATGTAAACCTAGCGCCTTTGCCCCACTCTCCCCTATACTAAAATTTTCGGTTCAATTTTTTTTTCTAAAATTTTGAAACGTTTAAATAAATGGAAAATTTTTAAAAATTACTATATTGAAATAAAGAATAATATAAAAATAACATTTATTTAGTTAAGAATTATTTTTTTTTAAGAAAATACAAGTTAAAAAAGTAATAAAAAGTATCGTCGTTTATTTGAAAGTTCAAAACTTTTAATATGTGTAGATTTTTGGACTGAAAGTCTGTGTCTGGAATTATAAATTATAATCTTAATTCACTTTTAAAAAACAAAGTTACCAAAAAAATGTTCATTACTTTAAATACTGATTCGAAGGATTAAATTAAATGAATTAAATTGATAACGAGTTTAAACAAAAAAATAACTTTTATGTGTTCAAAGTTAAATGAAGAATTTTTTAGAATTTATATTTAATAGATATTTCAATATTATTTTAACGAATTGGACAATTTTTTATAACTAAAACTCTCCTGCGAAAAATTTGAATTTTTTTTTTAAAAATTAATTTTTTTATTGAGGATAATTGTCAATAACATTTCAGAGATAAAATCCTACAGATTCTGAATTCGACTATATGGAAATTATGATTCTTGAAAAAATTAGTTTATTTGAAATTCAACTTAATAGAAATTTTGATAAATAAGATTCATTTCAAGTAATAGAAAATTAAATTCATTTCCAATTAAGGAGGTTGTTTACAGTTATGCAGACCTTCAGAAAAAATATTGAATTGACATTAAAGAATTTTTTAATATTATTGTTTTTCGTATCTTCTGGAAGAACAAATATCAATTTTCAAGAAAAAAATTTGAAACTTTCAAAAATTGTTTATTTAGTCATTTTGCATATGATCAAAGTTTTCTTCATATTAAAAGGTTAAACTTTTTCAAAACTGATTCGATTTAAGTCAATGATGGCTTATTTTCTTCAGAAAATGGTTCTCTATAACTTGACCGCTCAGATTTATAAAGAAATACATTGTTTTGAAAATATGCTTATTTTTTTTAAAAAAAAATTTTTAAATTAAATCACTTTTTTTAAACAAATAAGCATATTTTCAAAACAATGTATTTCTTTATAAATCTGAGCGGTCAAGTTATAGAGAACCATTTTCTGAAGAAAATAAGCCATCATTGACTTAAATCGAATCAGTTTTGAATAAGTTTAACCTTTTAATATGAAGAAAACTTTGATCATATGCAAAATGACTAAATAAACAATTTTTGTAAATTTCAAATTTTTCTCTTGAAAATTGATATTTGTTCTTCCAGAAGATACGAAAAACAATAATATTAAAAAATTCTTTAATGTCAATTCAATATTTTTTCTGAAGGTCAGCATACCTGTAAACACCCTCCTTAATAAAAATTAAACTTCATTTCTAATTGATAAAAATTAAAATTCATTTCCAATTAATAAAAATGAAAATACACTACGAATTAATAAAAATTAAGATTCATTTCCAATTAATAAAATTAAAATTAATTTCCAAATGATGAAAATTAAAATTCACATCAAGGTTAATTAATAAAAATTGAATTAATTTTGTTTGTTTTAAAAGTTGATTTTTAAAAAGTCGGATTGATAAATGGATTAAAATTAAAGTTATGTAGAAATTCTAATTAAATAAAAAATCTAATAATTCATCCAATTTTTCATTGGCAATAAGTAAAATAATTAAAGGGTTGTGTTAAATAAAAATTCGATAACATGCAAATTTGATTAAATAGAAATTCAGTAGAATACAAATAAGTAAAATTCTATTTTTCAAAATTTAACTAAATGAATTTGTGTCATTACTTAAAAAAAATTGAATCTAATGTTATGAGAATTTTGTCGTAATTAAATTCAATAATTTTGTCACCTAAAATTCTCGAGTGAAAATTGAATTGAATTATATTTGTTTGTCTTGAAAGTTGATTTGAAAAATTCAGATTGAATAAATTCAATGAATTAAAATTAAAGTTATCTAAAAATCGAATTAAATAAAGAATATTGAATATTGCAGACATTTTGTCATTAAAAAAGCAAGCAAAATAATCATAAAGTTCTGTTTAATGAAAATCCGATCAAGTAAAATATTCATTAATATGAAAATATAAATAATTGAAGATTCAGATGAATAAAAATTGATAAAATTCTACCCATGAAAATTTGACTAAATAAAGATAAGTCATTAGTTAAAAAAATGAAATTAATGTTTTAAGAAATGTTTTAATATTAAATTTAACAGCTTGAAAATTATTTCTTTCATTTAACTTTATAAGATCTTTGATCTGTTTAAGGTGAGAGAAGCAGCACAAGGCTGTGCAAGGATACGGGGAGACACTCTTGGTATTGTAGGATTAGGCAGGATCGGATCGGCAGTTGCTCTTCGCGCAAAGGCATTCGGTTTTAACGTTATCTTCTATGATCCATACCTTCCTGATGGAATCGAAAAATCGCTGGGTCTCACCAGGGTTTACACATTACAGGTAAATACATTTATTTTACTATTCATTTATTATAGTTATCCTAATAATAATCCTAAGAAAATAAATATATTAATAAAGTAATATATTAACAGAGAATTTTTAATTTTATGCGATTGGTATCAAAACTTTATTATTTTTTTAAGAGTTTTAATAACATTTTGTAATGTAATATTATTTACTTGTTTGTGTACCGTATATAGTTTAATATTTTGTAACATTTTAAAACAGTTGTTTATCTTTTATAATGTTTTGAGCATTTCTTATATTTTGTAACACTTTGAACGTTTACGTATTGTTTATACACATTCTTTAATTCAAACTTTTTAATAATTAAAAAAACAATAATAAAATATACATAATTTAATACATTTAATATTTTTATATAAAATAAGAATATTAAAAATGAAATATCTTTTCAGGACTTGTTATTCCAATCAGACTGTGTATCCCTACATTGTACCTTGAACGAGCACAATCATCACCTAATTAATGAATTCACCATCAAACAGGTAAAATTTACTGAACATTTACTTACCTACTATTTAAAAAAAATATAATTTAAATAAATTAAAATTTTTAGTTTGTTTTTTACAATTACAATAGAGTAATTTTTTGTGTGTTTTTATCAATACTTATTTATATGAAATTGAATTTAGATGAGACCTGGAGCATTTCTAGTAAATACAGCTCGTGGAGGACTGGTAGATGATGATGCACTTGCCGCGGCTTTGAAACAGGGTAGAATTCGTGCAGCGGCACTCGATGTTCATGAAAATGAACCATATAACGTATTTCAGGGCCAATCTGCCCAATGTAAGTCTTTTAACACCTCAATTCACATTTTTTTACATTTTAAATTCTTCCCTTTTTTTCTTTTTTCACACCTTTTTTTACATTTTTTTATTTACAAGATTATAAATATTTTTTTCTATATTTTTGCCCAACATCCCATAAAAATTATTACATGGAATATTTATTAAAACAATTTTTACAACAATTTCTCCGTAAATATACGTAAATTTTTACTTGATGGAAATTTTAGTTACGGGGTTATACCTGTTTGGATATTTTTTTTTTTTATTGGCTTAAAATATACTATAACATCCTTAGATTAATAATCTATAACGTCCTTGCTTGAAAACAATTTGGAAATATTTTTAAAATTATTTTTTCTGGAGAAATGCTGAATAATAAAAATAGAAAATTTTTATTTCAAATGCATTTTTTTAATTGGCTTAAAATATACTATGACATTCCTAGATTGATAATCAAAAACGTCTTTGCATGAAAACAACTTGGAAGTGTTCTTAAATTTATTTTTTCTGGATCAATTCCGGAGTGGTAAAATAGAACAATTTAACTTCAAACGCGTCTTACTCGAAACCATGTTTTGCAAATCGGCGAGCAGTAGAACTCGAAAAGTTTTTGTCCGATTGGCCTGCAAATTTAACTGTAGCTTCTTAGATAGATTATCTAGTGAAGTACACACGATTTTTAAAATTGATGAACAGGATTTTTTTTATGAATAATTAAAGTCGATTTTTTTGGGTGAAAGATACGATTTTTTTTGTAAGTCTCACAATTCTTTAAAAAAAACTTTAAAATTATAATCATGCTAACTTAGCACTGTTTACTGAATTCCATAGCTGCCATTTTGTAAAAAAAAATTGAAAATAAAATTTTTTCTTACTCTTTAAAAGTTGCTTAATCAAATGGTATAGTAGTTGTCAACAATAATTTAAAACTGTACTCATAAAAAAATTTTGAAAAACACCCTTTTTTTAAGCCTCCAATCAGGTATAACCCCTTAACGGAATATTAGGTCACTAAATTATTATTCAACTTGAAATTTCATTTTATGAAATTCCTAATTAATTCTTTTTTTAATTAAAACAAATCTAAATCTAATCCCAATTTAATTTAGCAGAAATATTTAACAGAATTTTAGTTGCAGTTGAACTTTTAAATATGAGAATTTCCATTAAATCGAATCTTAATTTGCTCGAATTTTTCTTTTTCCCTGATTAATCAATTTTAAAATTATTTAAAATTCTGCATTGCTAATTGAAAATGTTACATTGAATCTTAAATTTTTTTTTTTGCCTTAGAAACTTTGAAATCACCACTAATTTTTTAATACATAATCTTAAAAATTTTCTATTTTTGACAATAATTGAAATTTACAGTATACGAAATTAAATTTATTTTAAATAATAATTTAACTCTTGTAATCATAAAATTATTACCTACAAATCATTTAACGAATAATTTTACTTAAAAATTCCAAATATAATTGTTTACAACTTTTATAAATAAATTTAAAAAGGTTTCAAATTGAAATTTTAGAAAATTTGAATTTGAAAAAAATAAAATAAAAATTATCGAATTGCAAAAGGTTTAGAATTTGATATTTTTGAATATCTTAAATTTTATGTAAAAAATAACAGTTATTAAATATTTACTTAAAAAGAAACTTGATGTTTCACAAATGAAAATGTATTAGAATACTTATATTAAAAACATTTCGTTCATTTGAAGGTTCGAAACTTGTGGTTCTTAACATTCGCGTTTATTTAGAATCGAATTTTTTAAATTCACCTACTGGAAAATTCTCTCAAATAAATATTGTAACTAATAATTTTTATGGGATATTCATGCGCCCTGTCATTTTGAATTAACAATCACTTTGTAAAATTTAATAGTCATTTTAATAAATAACAAAGTACATCAGTATTTAAAAAAATTTTTATTAAGAAATTTCATTTTTCCTAATTTAGAAAATTTTAATTTTCTCATTTTTTTCTAAATTAAATGTATTATGATTAATTTTGTTCGTTATTTTCTGAACAGGTCCTTTGAAAGATGCTCCAAATCTTCTTTGTACACCACATGCTGCATTCTATAGTGACGCGAGCTGCACGGAACTTCGCGAAATGGCAGCGAGTGAGATACGACGAGCCATCGTCGGTCGTATTCCTGATTGCTTAAGAAATTGTGTCAACAAAGAATACTTCCTGTCCTCATCTGGGTGAGAATTCTTAAAAACTTTTTTTTAATAATTCGAGCTTAAAAGAAAATTAAGAATGTTCACCCTTCCATACTTTACACATGATCTAAATCTCTAATTTTCCAAGTAATTTTTCCTCTTTTTTGCTTTTTTTAATTATGAGTAAGTATACAAATTTTATGACTTTAGAGAAAAATCTTGTTTTATTTTTATTCAAGATTCTTTTTTGTTTAAAAGAATTATGTTGGTCAATTTAGATGAAAAAGTTGAAGTTTGGAGGATTTATAAATTATATCTTCGTTCATTGTTATTTTGACTAATATAATAACGTGTTTGCTTCTTTTCTTTAAATATTTTTTATATCACTTTTATGAATGTTGACTTGAAACAGAAATTTAGAACATGTGCATCCTTTTTTTTCTTTTCGTACAAAACGTTTTTTTCGGTTCTTTTTGTGTATTTTAAGTTTATCAAGTTGGTGTTTGAAAGTCTATTTTACGTTTATTTTATCTCCAAGTGAAAATTTAAATTAATTTAGAAAGTGGAGGAATTTTATTTTGATCAAGTTGTGAGAAAATTTACATTTGGAAATTATAATTATTTGTTATGTTTTTATATTTCGAAAAAAAGACTTTCAAACATTAAATTTATTATGTCATCGGACATCTTTTGTATTTAAGTTTTTATGTTCGAAATTCGAGCTGCTTCTCCTCGTTGTTTCTTCGTGTCTCATTTTCTAATATAGTAGAAAATTCTGTAGACCAATAACTATAATTTTATTAAAAGAATTTTTTCTTTGGAAATTTATGCAAAAATCTTTTTTTTCGAACTATATTTTGCATCTGAATCGTACAAAATTTATTTTTATTATCTAATTTGGTATTATAACCTACCAAAAGTTTTTTTTGGCATAATCAAAAATTTACCAGGTGTAAATTAGTTTTCGTCTTTGGATTTTGTTGTTTTATTTATTATTTCTTATTTGTTTTTTTAAGAAATAAGTATTGCGAGATTTTTATATAAAACGGAAAATTTAATCATTCGCTTGATTTTAAAACATTCGTTTTATTAGACTTATTACCTATTTATGATTAGACTTATTATTTACAATTACGTTTTTTTATTATTTATTACTACACTATTTTTATTTGTTTTGTTTGCGTTGGCTGCTTTTTGTTTTGTTTGACAGTCGCTTTTTTGTTTTCGTTCGACAACAACTGGCTTTATTTTCCTTGAATCCACACAATTTTTTCAACTAAAATTTTGAATTTCACCAAATTTCGGAAGGGAAACATTCAAATTATTGAGACTTTTTTACTTTTAATTGTTTTCTTAAATGATGAATTTCGACCCTTTTTTAAGGAAGTAAATTACTTTAGTAAATTATTTTAAATAAATATATATAACAAAAATTGAATTTTTACTTCAGACTAGAATTAATTTAACGTTAATGTTTTAATTATAATAATAACTTTAATGATTTAATTAATTAAAACTATTTTAATTTTTCTTCTCCTATATTATTCAGTTATATTTTTAATAATACAATAAGTAAAATTATTATTTTTAACCCCAAAGTTAATATTTCCCTTAAAATTGAATAGAAAAATTGACACATTTTCAATTCTAGGTATAAAACACAAATTTAATATTTTAGACTTGAATGAAGTTTTAAGTCTTTAAAATTGCAATTAACTTTATTTAAAATTAAAATTAATCGACTTTTTAAATTATTAACAATTGCGAAAATATTAAAAATTAGTAAATAATAATAGAAGTTAAAAAATAGTAGCAATAATAATAACAATAGTATTTATTATTAATTTATAATATATTATTTTTAGTAATTGCAAAAATGTTTGAAACTATTAAATAATAATAAAAGAATTGTAATAATCATAATTATTCTTATTATTATTTTTATTATTTTATTTGTTATTTATTAAAATTGTTGAAAAATAAAAATAGACGCTTTTAAAATATATAACGGATTAAAAGTAAAATTCGAAAAATATCATTTTCAAATTAATTAAAATATTAAAAATTTTTTGAAGTATTGAATGAAATAATGTTGTTATATTTGATTATTTTGAAATATAAAAATCAGTAATTGGATAAACATTTTAAAAGAAAATTTTTAAATTAAAATAAGAAAATTTGAACTAAACACCGAATAGAAATTAAGTATTTCTATTTATGAAAATAAAAAGAGAGTAAAATTTTGAATTATTAAAATTTGCTACTGGATGAAGTAAAAAAATTTCTGAAATTATGTTTTTACAAGTTCTTTGTACGTTTAAATGAACGAAATTTATTTATTTCTTCTTCAAATTAAATTCTTATTGCTATTATTTTGCGTCATAAAAAAAATAATTACTAAGTTTATAAATGTAAAATTTACAGTACCGTCCGAAATTGTCAATCCACCCATTTTCAAAGGAATGACAAAAATTTTTTAACATAAAATTCATGAAAAGTAAAATTTTTTTTGGTTTATATTTTGAAAGACGATAAAATTTTGAAAAGAATAAGACCTTACAGAAGTCATTTAGCCAAAATTTGTAGAAGATATTCTTAAAAATCGTCATTTTCAATGTTTTACAAAAATTTGAATAACTTCTAAAATAATGAACGCTTTTTAATAATCTTAGGCTTATTTTAAAGACCATTTTCTACAGAATAAGAATTACTTATAGGCATTAACCTGTAATTTTTAACTTGGCATAAGCATGACGTCAAAGTTGGACAAAAAAATTTAAAAAATTTGAAATAATATTATTAAAAGAAAAATAATTTTTGAAATTCAAACATATATTTTTATTACATTTTCTTGAAAAATCTACACCATATCATGTTTTATATATGTTCTAGAATAGTTTTTAGTACAAAAAATTGATTTCAAATTTTTCCAATTTTTTTGTCTAATTTTGACGTCATGCTTATTCCAAGTTAAAAATGACAGGTTAATGCCTTTAAGTAATTCTTATTCCGTAGAAAAAGACCTTTAAAATAAGCCTAAGATTATTAAAAAGCGTTCATTATTTTACAAGTTATTTAAATTTTTGTAAAACATTGAAAATGACGATTTTTAGGAATATCTTCTACAAATTTTGGCCAAATGACTTCTGTAAGGTCTTATTCTTTTCAAAATTTTATCGTCTTTCAAAATATAAACCAAAAAAAATTTTAGTTTTCATGAATTTTATGTTAAAAAATTTTTGTCATTCCTTTAAAAATGGGTGGACTGACAATTGCGGACGGTACTGTAAGTTTCTAATTTATCTTGCAATTAGTAATTTATGAAAATATTTCGTTCATTTGTACGTTTCAAACTTGTCGATCATTGAATTTAAAGATATTTTCTCCTTATGTTAAATGTTTGAATTTTTAACTTTCAAATGAACGAAATATTTTTCATTAAAACTATTTTATAAATTACTGATTGCTAAATAAAAAACAAATTTTACATTTAAGAACTTTGTAACCAATTGTTTTGATAGTAAAAAAAATTATATTCAATTTGAAGAAGAAAGAAATAAATTTCGTTTATTTGAAGGTGCAGTACTTTAGGATCATAAAATTATTTCTAAATTCTTTTATTAACAGTTTTGTAATATTTAATTGTATAATAATTATTTAACATATTTTACAATAGTAAAATTTGAAAAATTAAGTTGTATTCCGATAGGTTCTATTTAAAAGAAATTTTTAATCTTCATTTAAGGAAGAATCCGACAAACAATCAGAACAAAAGTTAGCTCAATGTCATCATGTCATAATATTTTAAAAGAAAAACAAATTAAATTTTAAATTCCTTTTGGTAGCAGCCTAGCAGCATAAGAAATTTAATTTTCTATATTTTTTTGTCAATAATAAATGGTTTTAGTAATATAACCTAAATATTAACAAATGTTTCTTATTGGTAGAAAATGTTCAAAATTAAATTCTTCGCCTCTCCACCAAAACGAATATAAAATTTATTTTGTCTTTCTTTCTAAATTACGAAATTATGACATTGGTCTGAATTTGTTCTGACTGTCCGTCATATTCTACCTTTACATCAAATTTAAATGGTTAAAATAAAATTATTCACTCTTCTTAATTATATAGTTTCTTGACATGAAGAAAAATGCGCAATTGGACTAAGTTTTGATTTTGATTGTTGAACCGTTTCTCTTTTATGAAGTAGAAAAAAATGATGTTTATACAGATAAATAAAAATAAAATCATTAAAAAACAAAATTTGTTGGACAATTACTGAAGGAGACTTTTTGAAATTGTAGGAGGGTTTTTCAAAGAAAGAAAAAAAATTGAAAATGTGCACAATTAGAAATAGTGGAGATGAAAAATTTTGAATGATAAATATAAAAACTTTTTGCCGGTACAGCACATACCCAGAGGGTATCAACGGGGGCTACTATGCAGGAGCTTTGCCTGTTCAACAGGCGCACTCGACAACTCCTCACGACTCGGCGCCACCACCTCCTGGTGGGCATTCTGTCGTTGGCGGCGGGGGTGGCGGTGGACCAAACTCGTCAGCGGGTGGCGGTGGAGCTGGGGGTCCAACAGGGCCATCGGGTCCAACGGTAGGCGGCGGTGGTGCCGGTGGTCCCACTGCGGCTCCACCATCTGCTGGAATGCCTGGATTACCACATAGCATAGTGAGCGAGACTGATCCTCGGCCCAGTCCACCTGCACCAAGTCCCCGTTGACCTTAAATCCACCCCCCAGATCTCCAAAATCCAGCGCCACCCCTCCGATCTTAACCTTTATACACCCTAGCCATTTACACACAAGCTCCAACGACGACGACAACAACAACAACAACTAAAAAAATAAACGGCCGATTCACTAGCGCGGGTCGTACAACCATTTATCTGTCCACTGCTTCCGATTATACTCGAGAGGATCCTTGAGAGCAGAAGAAAATACATTTCTGACGAAAAAAAACCAGAGAGGAACCTTTCGAGTAACGCAGTTAATATAAAAAAAAAAACAGACGCCAAGTACAGTTTTGGATAAAAAAAGAAAAGAAACGAGATTTTCAAACGACACCACAACAAAAATTTGCAACGTTCGTGTAACTATACTTCCGAATTTTCATTTTCAGTTCCACAATGTTCATTTTTTGTCACAAAAAGTCTTTTTGTAGTAAAAATGGGAAACATTTTAAAAACTTGACTCTGTTTTTGAAAAATAATTCAAAATCAGTTTCTTTTTTTTTGGTTAAAATAGATTTAAAAATTAAAAATCTATGTTTATATATTTTTCTTGAAGAATAAAAATTTCGTTTTTTACTCTAAAAAAAAACTAACGGAGTTGAGCTTTTAAAATTAAAAATCCTGTCCGTTCTTCCTTCCAAGTCGCTAGAAATTTCATTTCCTTTTCCTTACAGGAGGAAAAAAAATCACACCTAAAATAATTGTAATTTTATCCCTTACTGTATTTGGAATTCCGGCTGTCTCTTCGCTAGTGCTTTCAATTTTGTTAACGATAACGTGTGAGATCTTGATGTTGTAGAGAGAAAAAAAATAGCTGAATTTCCGCCGACGGGGGGAAGGGGGGGAGAGTTAATAATTCAGATCAATATCTAAAAAAGAAAATATTCTTTTCTCCTTCTTTTTTTTATTGTACTTTTAAATCTTTTTACTGTAATGAAAAAAAGCACGGTTAAATATTAATAAAAATATGATCTTTATTTGTCACATGTCCGTGAATAAAGTGTAGAGGTAATTTTCTTTTTGTAACTTTCCTTTACACTTCAGCAATGTACAGTTGAAAAAAAATAATAATAATAAAAGAAAAAATTCTTTAAAGTATTCGTAGTTGAAAATCGGACATTGGACAAATTGAAAAAATAGACCGTAAATTCTAATTTTTTGCTTTTAGAAGAAAAAAAGAGAAAAGAAAAAAAATGAAGGGGTCTTGAAAAGAGGAAATTTAAAATTCGCTAATCAAATGTCCGTCGTGGTTTTCTTTTTTTACTAAGAAAAAAAAGGGGCGCGAGCATTTCCCTTTTTTTATGAGTATTCCTGTGTTTTTGAAAATAGAGGACGGCGACAAAAAAGAACAACAAGAAGAAAAAAAAATTGTTGTTTTTCTGAGAAAAAAATGACACATGAAAAAATACACAGACATACATTACATACACACATATAAAAAAAACAACTTATCGTTTTAACGGTTTGTAAGCAAAAAAGTGAGACTGTGAGTGATGGAAAGATTGAGGAGAAAGAAAGTGCGCGTGCATGAAAAATAAGACAACAAGAACAACAAAAAAAAACAATATTGGCGACAGAAAGATTAGAAACAAGTTTTATTGATAATTACGATACGATTAATTATTGTATTAAGTGGAAAAAAAGTTGTGTGACGTTGCGTACACTTTCGGGGGTTTAAATAAACGAAAAAAGTAGATTATAGAGAAAAAGAAAGTGCGAAAGAGAGAGAGAGAGAGTTTTTTTGGAAAATGAAAGAGTAGAGAGTGACACACACATATCTATTCAGTTTTAAAGCAAATAAAAAAAACTGCTTTTTATCAATAATTTTTCTTATTTGGAAAAAACCGATTTTTTTTTAAATTGTTACTTTCTTTTTTCTATTCCGAAAAATAAAATCTCGTGTGTACTTGAAAAAAGAACAAGTAAAAGTTGTTAAAGAGCGAGATTAATGGATACCCGAAATGTTAAAAACTTCGTGGAAGAAAATAAAAATGACGGAGACTAAGATGCATCACAGAGATGACAAACACTTATTTTTATTTTTTTTTTTTTAGAGAAAAAATACGCGCAACGTATATTGGAAAAAAATACGGATATTACAAGATGGTCCAAAAGTCGTAATTTAGACTTCAGATTTAAATGAAGAAGAAAAAATTTGATAAAATATTTTAAAACTCCGGGCCATTTTGTTGTTTTTGCAAAAAAAAGGAAAAAACCCGTATTAAAAAACGTAGCGACATACTTTTTTTTCTCAAGAAATATTATTACTTATAAACACATCATTATCTATACATAGAGCATGAGCGAATGAGAGAGAGAGAGAGAGAGCGTGCGAGTAAATAAAAAACGAATATTCCTGCAAAAAAGAGACTTTTTTGTTTCTTAAAATTTTTTTGAGAAAGAAAAAAGAATGCTGCGCAAAAGAAAAATAATGGAGTTTAAAAAAAATAGTTTTACAAAAAAGAAAAATGGAGGCAAAAGAAAATAATTGTAATAAAAAGGAATGAAAAAAAAAAAAATTGTGAAATTTTCTCCCAACTTTTGTGTGCGTAAGGACAGCCGTAAAGAAACTCCAACAGAAAAAAAAATTAGTCTTATTTATTAATGACTTTCTTCTTTTTTTTTAATCGCTCCTTTTCCTCTGGTATAAAATACATTTATGACTCCGTTTATTTTTTTTTCTAAATTCGACTTGGCGCCGAAATAATTTTTATTTCCTATAATTTACAAAAAACAAAAATAAGAGTGAGAGTGTGAGAAAGAAAGAGAATGAAAGTGGGCAAAATTGAGGAATCTTTGATTAAAGAATGAGAAATGAATTTAAAAAGAAAAAAAAAGAAAAGAAAAAAATGGAAAAAAAGAAATAAAACCACGCGAATAAGGAAAGTAAACGTGGTGAAAACGGCAACATTAATATTAATTATAATTAATAATAATTATAATAAATACAATATTTGTACAATAATCAACGGTGCTGTGGTGTGAATGCTTTGCTGGCATTTAAAAATACGATACCCTCTTGTTTACCTGTCCTGGCACTTTTTCTTTTTTTTTTACTTATTGCACTTGACTTTTTTTTATCTTCTCTTCGTAAATGAGAAGAATGACGCTTATTTTAACAAGCATTCGATTTTACAAAGTTTTTAATTTAGTCACTTACGAATTATATAAAAAATTATTAATTATTAACTACTTATAAGTTTCAAAAAAAAGCCACTCAAGATAATTTCAATTACAGAGAAAAATCATTGTCGTTTAGTAAATTAAATTTAAGTCTAGTTTGCTAATTTAAAATATCTAATTCATTACAATTTTGAATTAGAATTTTATTTTTTTGGTTTTTCCTTTGGTTTATCAAACTTTGGTTTTCTTTTTTCAACACGAATGATTTTTTTTTCTCGGCTGAATATAATTTTGAGTCTAATTTTTAATTTTGCGAATTTATCACACATTGAAATTTGAATTTTAGAAAAGATACAGATAGAAAGTGCTGTTTTTCAAATGGATAACAATAGTTTAGACGTAATTGGTATTTTCGCAGGTGTTAAAATTAGTTTTTGTTTACATTTTTCAGTTTTATTAGAATGTCACTTTGATAACTGATTTTTATTTATTAAAAGGTACTGAAATTACTAATTAATTAAATAGTACTGTAATAAATAAAAAATTGTATTAAAAGTACTAATAAAAAAAGTATTCAAAAAATACTAATTAATAGTACTAAAAATACTGATTAATTAAAAGTATTAGAAATGAATCACGATTTAATAAATAGTAAATTACTAATTAATTAAGAGGTAGTATTGAAAGAAAATTACTATTCACTAAACAGTAAATTATTAATTAAATAAATAGAACTAAAAATACTAATTAATAAATTGCAAATAACAATTTACTTAATTAGTATTTATTAATTAAATAGTAGTAAAATATTAATTAAGTAGTATTTGATTTACTAATTAATAAATGTTCAAAAATTTAAAGAAATTCTCATTAAAAATTCAATTATCTTTATAAATAATAAAATTCTTCTCCAAATTCAATTATTTTCAAAAATTTTAATAAAAATTCTTGGCAAAATTTCAATTATTTTCAAAAACTTTCCTTAATTAAATGGTTTTTAATTTCTACTATTTTAATAAAATTTTTCAAAACAATTTAAATCAAATTCCACTAAAAAAAATTATTTAAAAAGAATTTTTTAAAATTCGTTATCAAAATTTGTTGATAAAATTATTTATGAGAATTCAAATTTTAAAGAATTACAGGGTGGCCGCTGGACCGGGAAACCGGGAAAACCGGGAAATGACAGTGAATTTTTTTGGACAGGGAAAAACCGGGAAATGACAGTGAATTTTGATCTTGACCGGGATTTTGGAATTTTTTTTTTTAAACACACATTACTTTGTGAGAAAAAATAGAAATATTTATTTTAAGACTTAGGTATTAACTATATTTCATTAAAAAAGATTGAATGATCTTCTATAAAATCTATTTATATTTTGTCAGAGAATTTTATAAAAAGTACTATAAAAATATTCAATTTCTAGAATTTATAAGAAAATTATGAATTTTGTTGTCCAACGTAACAGACTTAGAAAAAGAAAATATTAAATTTAATTTTAAATTCTTTCTATTTCTAACAATAATTAAACAAAATATAATTTTAATTAAATTTGTCAAAAAAATTTCAAAGAGAAAAAATTTCACATCCTATAAAATAATGAAAAATAAATCAATTTAAAAATTTTTTTGCAATTAATATTATAACAAAACAAATAAGAATTATTAAAAATTTGAACTAATTAGAACAAAAGTGATACGAAATTTATAAAAATGAATTTTTGAATAATAAATGAAGTAAATAAAAATAAATAAAATTTCTTTTCTTAGAAAATAAATTTTAAAAAACCGTATTTTTCATTAATATCAATTAGTTTTTTTACAATTATTCATAAGCAAATTTTTCGATTTTTTAGAATGTTAAATTAATATTACTAATATTATTATAGATTGAATTTTAAAATATTTCAAATTGAAGTTTTAGAAAAGTTGAATTTTAAAAGATTTTAATTAAAAATTCTGAATAATTTAGTCTTTAAAAATATTTTTATTCACATTTTTTCAAATTAGTTATGTTTTTAAATATGTAATATTTAATTGAAAAATTTTCAAATTATTCAAAATTTCATGAAATTGTCTTGTAAACAAGTGGATTTTAGAAATATTTTAGTTATTTCTAGAATATAATTGAATTGAAATTTTGAAAATAATTTTTAATAAGTTGCAGTAGCAATTCTTAAAAATTATTCAAATTTAAAGGATTTGAAATTTGAATTTTTTTTTGAAATTTGAATACCTTCTATATGGAAAAATAATGGATAATAATTAAATATTTATTTCAAAAAATCTATTTAAGTTCAAAATTATTTTTAGAGTAAACTAAAATATTTTTAGGGTTTGGGAAAAAGTCAAAGTTTTGTCTAAAAATCAGGAAATTCTTTCAATCTTTCATTGAATAATTTATTTTCAGAGTTATTATTTATGACCGGGAAAAATAATTTATGACCGGGAATGGACCGGGAAATGACCGTGAATTTTTTTTTACAAAAAAAGTGGCCACCCTGAATTATTAATTAAATTATTTATTTTTGTATTCAAATAATTTATTTCTCGTAGAATTTTCTAATAAAATTTTATTTAAAAATGAAATTTATATAATAATTGAAGATTAAAAGCATTGTAGGATGAATTTTTAGAAATAATTGAATTTTGAAAATGTTGCAAATTAAAATCTTTGAAAATTAGAAATTTTCATACTTTAAACTAACAATTCTGTGAAATTAATTTTTTTGAAAAAGTTTAATTGAATTTTTTTTTAAAATGATATTTGAAGTTTTTGTTTTCTAATATATAATTAATTGAAGAATTCCCGAATAATCGAAATTTTATAAAATTGAATTGTAAACAAATAGATTTGAAAATTCTCAAAAAATTTTTTCAAAAATTATTAAAATAAAAAAAAAAAAGAAATTTTTTAAATTAAAAATTTTTTTTTTAAATTATTAAATAATTGATTTAAAGAAGAATTTTAGTTAAAAAATCTAGAAAATAATAATTGAATTGAAATGATGAAAATAATTTTGAAGGATTGACAGTAACAATATTCTTATAATTATTATAAAATGATAATTGTATCACTCGATCATATTTAATTATTATAAGACCTGAAGAAAGCGATCACTCTGAGTCTTCGACTCGGAGTGATCGATATCTTCTTTTTTTATACTGATAAATCTTAGAAATTATTGAATTTTAAAAAGGTTTCAATTTGAAACAACTATTGATGCTTCGAATAATTTTACAATTAAAGAAATTCGTAAATAAATGTAATAGAACATTTTTTTGAGTATAATCAATTTTTGGAGAGTATCTGAATATTCTTTAGGGTCAGGAAAAAAGTCAAAATTTTGTGTCGAAATGAGGAAAAAGTCAGAGTGAAACAAAATTTAATTTTTGTGTCAACCCTGCTAAAAATACAAATTAATTACCAATTTTTAAATAATTAATTACCAATTATTATTAATTGGTTAATTACTAATTAATTAATCGTAGTAAAAGTACCGATTAATTATATAGTAATTACAAATTAATTATTCAGTACTGAAAATGCGAAATAATTATATAGTAAATTATTAATTAATTAAATAGTAATAAAAGTACCAAATATAGTAAATTACTAATGAATTAAATAGTACTTTAATTAGTTGTTAGTAATTGTAACTTTTACTACAACTGTAAAAGTACTAAATAATCATGTTAGTAATTAGCTTTGAAAAGAAAATCTATTTATCAGTGAATAATCTTTGATTTAGCGTCGAAAATGATGGTTTTTCAGGCCGGAAGTAGTTTGTTTGAATATGTACGTTTTTAATATTAAGGTTTCTTTTTGTCGGGGCATCGTATGAAATACCGCAAAATGTACATCTATTGTTTTCGTTGTAAGTTCGTTCCTAGTCGAATCACAGGTATCCGACAGCACTGGGGTAACATTCCACTGTCAACGAGAGGATAATCTGAGCTGTGTCACGTTAAGGAGCCGCCATGGACCCTCATGTGTCTGTTGAGATTGCCACTCTGACTGAACCTTAATAAACACAATTTACACTGATATGGCTTTTCACCTGAGTGTATTCGCAGATGTTTCGTGAGGGTGGAACTGTCGGAGAATGCCTTCTTGCAAAATCGACATCTGCAAAAAAAAAGTTTTTTTGTGCTTTGGATTAAAAGTTCCTTTTTAATAATGGAAAATCGAAATCATTTTTTTTTTAATAACTAATTGTTTACTTGGTCCCTTTCTTCAGAACATATCACATTTTCTAATTTTGTAGGTATTTGAAAATTTATGTATAAAAAAATAAATATGTTAATGTTTAAAGTAATATGATAATTAATTAATATAAATTATATAGGTAATTGATAAATTTAACAGATATAATATAAAAATAATTTGCACATTCTATTTTAGTTATGCTACGCTCATTTTTAATTAATAATTAATTTAATTAAATATATTTTTTCTTATCATTAAAAAAGAATTAGGAAAAAATTAAACAATGGAAATAAAGTAAAAATATTCAATTGTTAAATTAAAACAAAGGGCATCGCGTTGCCATGACGAAAATAGTTGTTTCATGACATTAGAAAAAAACAAAGATTTCGTTACTCTTCCTTAACTCGCGATTCTGAACGGACGTTCAAATTGTTCTTTCTTTCTCAAAAGTGACAAATAAGGAAATTGTATTGAAGATTATTTAAATAAATATTACAATTATTAAAATATAATTAAATATTTTTTCTCCTTTCTCATTATTTCCAATATCAGAAGATATTTAAGGACTCTTCTAGAAAGAAGAAACTTCACTGAAAAAACATCCTTCATCCATAGGAATTTCCAGGTTTCTTTCTTTATTTCCACCTTTTCTAATCTTTCCTTTCCTATCTTTACGATCCTCTCCGTAGGATCGAAAAATAACTTTTTCCTTTCTTCTTTATTTCACGATCCTCCCGCAGGATCGGAAATTGACTTTCCTTCTTTTCCTTCATTATTTCTCGATCCTCTCCGCAGGATCGGAAATTCTCTAATCTTTTTTTTTCTTTTTTCTTAAAAAAACTCATTCTTTTTCCTCTATTTCACGATCCTCTCGCAGGATCGGAAATTGATCTTTCTTTCTTTTCTATTTTTCTATTATTTCTCGATCCTCTATGTAGGATCGGAAATTAAATTATTGAAATAATAACAAAGAAGAAAAATTCTGGATAACAATTTTGGCGCCCAACGTGGGGCCTTAGGTCATTTGAAAATAACCCGAACCCTGAAGTCTAAAACTTTTTCAACCTCACTTCCGGGAGTGGGATACAGAAAATAAACACCCGGTGGCGCCTGACGCAAAATATTTATTTTTATCTCTACATATATTATGTTTCCAAAATCTTTAATTGAAGTGAACAAATCACCTTACTCCGTTCCTGTCACTATCATCAGAAAGGAGTCAAATCAACGTTTTAGCATAAAATTTAGTGAATTAAATTCCGAAAAGAAAATTTCCAAATCAACTCCGAATCTGAAAAAATAAATCATCGATTAAATCTCAACGACATTTTTACCTGTTTATGGATCAACAAAATTATATCTTACCAAAGGACAACACTGGCTTTGTGAACGTTTATACCGACGGTGCATGTTCAGGAAACGGAAGGACATCCCCAAAAGGTGGTATTGGCGTTTTCTTCGAAGATAATCATCCCTTGAATATATCTGCTCCTCTCACCGGCAAGCAAACGAACAATCTTGCTGAAATACAAGCTGCGACTCAAGCTGTACTACAAGCCAAAAAAGCTGGCGTCTCTAAACTCCGAATCAATACAGATTCCAAATATTTAATAAATAGTTGTACGGAGTGGATTCCTCGTTGGAAGGAGAATGGCTGGATTACATCATCTGGAAGACCTGTAAAAAACAGAGAAGAACTTCAATTTTTGGAAAATACAACAAAGAATTTAGAAATAAGTTGGATACACGTACCTGGGCATCAAGGTCATCCGGGAAATTCTAAAGCCGATGAACTAGCTAGAAGTGGAATTAGGAAACCGATTTCTGATGACATCTAGAACTCCATTACCCGAAAGAAGAATTCTTCGCAACCGAATTATCGAAATAAATCCTCCTGTATCACACGCAAACATGGAAGAATTAAACCCTCAAGATAACTTGAGAAATTCTATCTTTGAAAATCAAAATGGTTCCGAAAATGACTCAGAAACCAATTTCTCCGACGAACTTATAACTACATCCACAGTAATACCGATCACTAGCACTGCTACAATCACCACGTCAGCAAATGTTCCTCATAACAATGAAAGACGACCACTTACATTTTTCTTCAATCAACAAACAAATTCGAATCAAATTTTTAGTACAGCACCTCAAACAACAACTTCCATCAATGAACCTCGCATATCATCAAGTGTTTCCGACAACATTGTAATCCAACCACCTTATGTCCAGTCATCGTATCAACCGCCTTCAACTGCTGATCCTCCAAGAACATCATCACCTTATGTCCAGTCATCGTATCAACCGCCTTCAACTGCTGATCCTCCAAGAACATCATCACCTTATGTCCAGTCATCGTATCAACCGCCTTCAACTGCTGATCCTCCAAGAACATCATCATCTTATGTTCAGTCATCGTATCAATCGCCTTCAACTGCTGATCCTCCAAGAACATCATCATCTTATGTTCAGTCATCGTATCAATCGCCTTCAACTGCTGATCCTCAAAGAACATCATCATCTTACTATCCAGTAGCTGCTCCTTGGTACCCTCCACCTGTAGATCCAAATTGGTACGCTTGGAGAAATTCTTTGGAAGCACAAAGGAACTCTCTTCCCGTTCCAGAATTTTATGGTAAAGATCACGAGAATCCTTCAGATTTTTTGAAGGAAATGCAGGAGTATTTCCATTTGGTCGGAACTCCAGAATCTAATAAAACTAGATTGGCCTGTCAAGCTCTTCATGGAGAAGCAGAGAAGTGGTGGGAAATTTATAAGGGTATACCTTTTGAGTGGAACCAGTTCCAGGATTTACTTCTTCGTCAATACAATTCACCTTCGGTGCTTGGAAGGTTACAATCACAATTGTATTCACAACGTCAACATGAAAAAGACCCCGTGGGTGTATTCCTGCAAAAGAAATTTTTATTATTTCGACGATTAAGGCCATTAGAACCAGAAATTATTATTGTACATACCTTGATAGAATTATTGAAACCAAGCATACGTCATGCAATTCGTGCTTCTAGTCCACATGATTGTCATACTCTTCTCACACGAGCTGTCGAAGCTGAAAGGGATGAATTCGACATGCTACGAACGCAACCACGAAGAGAGGAAAAGAAACCTTCGGAAAAGGAATCCAACACAAAGAAGACTCCCCCTGATTGTTGGTATTGTCCTGAAAAACATTTCCATCGTGATTGTCCTGTTTTTCGGAAACAAGTTGATGATCGCAAAAAACAAAATCAGGAAAACTGGCGAAGGGCGGTGGAACCATCCACCACCGCCAACCAGAAAAACAACCATTAATTTCTCTATATCTTACCCCTCAAGATTGTCGTAGACTGCCACGTATATTAACGTTTCTAAATGATCAAGAGATTCCAGCAATTATAGACACTGCAGCTACAGAAAATTTTATACATTCTTCCAATTTAACTTCCAAACAATTACAAGACCTCGATCCGTGCATCGATAGCGTAGATTTAGCTGCACCTGGAACAACAATGAGAGTATTAGGAAAATTAGCCCTGAAAATCAAAATTAGTAGTCATACTGTCAATATAGAGTTTCTAGTATGTAATGAACTTAGGGAACAAATGATATTAGGTATACCTTGGATGACGGAACAACAAGCGATTATCGATATTCCAAGTGAACGTATCTATGTTGGGAAAGACACAAGATTCACTATTTTCTTTCTTCAGAAATCTGGTCCATTAACATCGACTTCACCAGAAAAAGAAGAAAAAATTAAGAATCTTGACCACGGATTTCCAGCAGAATCTACAGATGAATTCCTTAATGTTTTGCGTCGTTTCTCGAAAACTCTTATTCCTGATCCTCACTTAACACAAACTCGTTCTATTCAACACGTAATTGAATTAACTGACTCAAGACCAGTTCGACAAAAACCTTATCCTGCATCTCTCGAAAAGCGTCGAGAAATGTTAAAACAGGTACAAGAAATGCTGTCCAACGACGTAATAGAGCCTAGTACGTCACCATATTGCTCCCCCGTGGTTCTAACCGTGAAAAAAGACGGAAAGAAAAGGTTCTGTATTGATTACAGAAAACTAAATGCTATCACCCAAGATGTAAACCATACATTACCTAGGATTCAGGATTCCCTTAAAGAACTAGGAAAATCCAAAATCTTTTCAACGTTGGATTTACGTTGGGGTTATTGGCAAATACCACTGGAGGAGAACAGCAAAAAATATACTGCCTTTTCCATCCCAAATGGTGGTACGTACCAATTTAAAGTTATGCCGTTTGGATTAAAATGTGCTCCAAATACCTTCCAAACACTCATGAGTCAAATAGTCTTACGTGATTACATCAACAAATTTTGTATATCATACCTAGATGATATTATTATTTATTCAAATAATTGGATAGAACATATTCAACACGTCAATTTGGTCCTCGAAAGATTAGAAATAAATACATGGATTAACATGTTCCTTCGATAAGTGTTTCTTTGGACAAACAGATCTTAAATATCTTGGTCATAATGTTAGCTCGGAATATAATGAACCTCAAGAACAGCATATTCAAGCTATCCTACAAGCTGCTCCACCTGCAAATAAAAAGGAATTACAGAAATTCTTAGGAAACTGTGGATGGATTAGAGAATATGTTCCTGATTTTTCTATTCTATCTAGACCACTTACCAACTTGCTGGGTAAAAAATCAGGTAAATGGACATGGACCACGGAAACCGACGAAGCTTTCCAAAAAATAAAAGAAGCATTTAAAAATGATTTGCGTTTGAGTCGACCCAATCCGAATTTTCCACTAAATTTACAAACAGATGTCAGTCCAAATGGTATGGGAGCGGTCCTTTATCAAATCGTCGATGGTTTACGTAATGTCATCAGTTATGCAAGCGCTAAATTTAGTCCAGTGGAAACTCGTTATTCTCGATTCGAACAGGAATGTCACGCAGTAGAATGGGCCATCAAACGTTACCGTCCTCAACTCGAAGCTGCACAATTTCATCTATATACCAGCCCCAAAGCCTTAAAATGGTTGCAAGTTTCTAAGGAAACAAAACCAAAATTAAGTCGCTGGGCTCGATTCCTGGATGATTTCGATTACATCATTCACGCACGTACAAACGCTGATTCAGAGTTGGTTTCTGCTTTGGCTCAAATACCAACAGAAGAAAACAATAAAGTTGAAGACACAAATTTACTACTTCCACCCGAAATTCGACCTCAAATAGAAACACCTTTTCTAGCTCAAATCACTTCATCAAATTTCTTCGAAGAAATCATTTCGTTACAGCAAGACGACGAAGACATCACTGAGCAGGCTCGAAGATGGATGACTCTGAAAAATAAAGTAAATTTAAATAAAACTGAGAACAAATTCGTCGAACAGCATCAATTAACCAAAGAAGGATTCTTTCAGAAAAAAAATTCTCAAGGTTCTTGGGTGATAGTAGTACCAAAAGTTTCTTACCAGAGATTGTTGTATGAATATCATGATTCTGGTCTTGCAGGACATCCTGGAGAAGAGGAAACTTTACGTGCAATCCAAGAACATTTCTTTTGGCCAAAAATGACGAAACAAATTATCGAGTACGTAAAAAGTTGTAAACTTTGTTCCTGTTGTAAATCCTTTCGATCACAGGGTACCAACGAAGTCCGTCCACGTCAACCAAAAACTCCATGGGAAACAATTGCTGTGGATCTGATGGGACCTTATCCTCGATCTCCTCGAGGAAAACGGTTTTTGCTCGTGGCAACGGACCTTTATTCGAGATGGGTTGAAGCCTTCCCCTTAGCTTCCTCCAAAACTCATCAAATTACTGCTCTACTGGAAAGAGAAGTATTCAGTCGTTTTGGTTACCCTAAATCTATCATCTCAGATAACGGATCTCAATTCACCAGTGATAACTGGAAGAAATCGTGCGAAAAGTGGAGTTGCATTGCGTGGTATACACCTATATACCACCCGCAGGCAAATCCAACCGAACGAAGAAACCAGGAACTGAAGAAAGGAATGAGATTCCGCCTGATCAATTGTGAGCACAAACATTGGGACTCTGGACTCGCCGAAATTTTATTTAATATAAGAAATCGACGCAACGCGGCAACCGGACGGACGCCGAGTCAAGTCTTGTTTGGAACGTCGATGAGAAAACCTGGAGAATGGGTTTTATCGACTAAAGAAAACTCTTCCTCACAATTAAAGGAACAAAATAAACAAATTGATCAACATCAATCCCAATATATCAAAAGATATGCCAAACCTGATAAATCTAAGAAAAGATTACAGGTAGGTGACTTTGTCTATGTACGAACTCATCCGTTATCCGACAAAGAAAAGGGATTTAATGCAGGTTTAGCTCCCCGTGGAGATGGACCCTACGAAGTAAAAAGACATTGCGGTGGCGAAATTTATGAAATCGAACTAAAAAATCGAATTGCCAAAATACATAGTAACGACCTTCGTTACGCCCATCCTCGTAAAAAATCATTCCTCGAAACACCTCGTGAGTTGGACACCACACAAGAAATCGACAATCAGGAAAATGAAATGCTCGACAAAATTGATCAACAATCAATTCCCGAGACAATTTTGATTCCAACGCGAAGAAAACCTGGTCGACCTCGAAAGAAAAAAGTACTCGAACCACCTGAAAAAATAAACAAAATTAGTACAGAAATTTCAAATTTTACACCCTATAACTTACGTTCAAAAAAGAAATAAATAAATAATTATAAAAAAAAAAAAAAAAAAAAAAAGGAATAATACATTTAAATTCAATAATAAAAAAAAAAATAAAAAAAAAAAAAAAAAATAAAAAATAAAAATTAGAAAGCCCTGCAACTTCATGTTATTTGAGACACATTTGTTTAACTTGACAACGGAAAAGGTTACAAATAACAAACAGTTGTCATCAATCATGGACGCAAGCAAGGAAGCTTCTACTATGCAAAAAGTAAAAAAACCCAGTCAGAATAAAAGAAGGACTGAACGTAGAAGGAAAGCGTTTGAAGAACAATTAAAGAATCCTGACAAATACGTACCTCTGCCTGTTGCACGACGTAAAAAGCCGAAAAGGAATTCTAACCCTTCTACGCTAAAAATGCAATCTTCTTTCAAATCCGGTACAGCAAACATCCAAACAGCTTCCAAAAATTGTAAGTAAATGTGTTCCTAAAAGAAATAAAGAAAATGTGTTTTGTGTTTTAACAGAAATCTCGAAAACAATTACCTCGCCAAAAATATCACTTGTTCCTTCCGCATCAACTGACGATCCAGATATTTTGGAATTGAGAGCGTCTCCAATAAATTTTTCACCCGTCCGTCCAAACTCTCCACTTACACTAAATGAAGTCGACAAAATTGATTTTAATAAATTGCCTCCCACGCCAGGAAAAAATATAATCTTTCCTCCTGTTAGAGAGAGACAAACTACCGGAAACAACACGGAATCACGAAATCGAAAACGGGTACAATCCTCATTAAAAAATTCACCTGCTAAAAAATCGAAATCTACACACAGGGTAAAAAGGACACCGACCAAACGTTCACCACGTTCAAGCCAAACCGAACATCATCCGAAGAACAAGGAAGTTTCGAGGCGATTGAAGTCGGTAATATGTGAACCAACGGTCCGTAGACAACTTTTTTAATTCATTCATTTTCTTGAGTTAATTTTTCCTTTTTATTTTATTATTATGAATGCGATTTTTTCAGGTTAACTAAAATTTTTTTTTTTTCTTCTCAAATTACGTTAATTATTTAAATTATTTAATTGTTCAATTTTCTTCGATGCACATTTATATTTCAACGTTAATATTCTTTTTTATGATAAACCCCGTGGAATTGCTACGCTCATTTTTAATTAATAATTAATTTAATTAAATATATTTTTTCTTATCATTAAAAAAGAATTAGGAAAAAATTAAACAATGGAAATAAAGTAAAAATATTCAATTGTTAAATTAAAACAAAGGGCATCGCGTTGCCATGACGAAAATAGTTGTTTCATGACATTAGAAAAAAACAAAGATTTCGTTACTCTTCCTTAACTCGCGATTCTGAACGGACGTTCAAATTGTTCTTTCTTTCTCAAAAGTGACAAATAAGGAAATTGTATTGAAGATTATTTAAATAAATATTACAATTATTAAAATATAATTAAATATTTTTTCTCCTTTCTCATTATTTCCAATATCAGAAGATATTTAAGGACTCTTCTAGAAAGAAGAAACTTCACTGAAAAAACATCCTTCATCCATAGGAATTTCCAGGTTTCTTTCTTTATTTCCACCTTTTCTAATCTTTCCTTTCCTATCTTTACGATCCTCTCCGTAGGATCGAAAAATAACTTTTTCCTTTCTTCTTTATTTCACGATCCTCCCGCAGGATCGGAAATTGACTTTCCTTCTTTTCCTTCATTATTTCTCGATCCTCTCCGCAGGATCGGAAATTCTCTAATCTTTTTTTTTCTTTTTTCTTAAAAAAACTCATTCTTTTTCCTCTATTTCACGATCCTCTCGCAGGATCGGAAATTGATCTTTCTTTCTTTTCTATTTTTCTATTATTTCTCGATCCTCTATGTAGGATCGGAAATTAAATTATTGAAATAATAACAAAGAAGAAAAATTCTGGATAACAGTTATATTTTAACATTTCGATTCTAATGCATATTTCAACGTTTTCATTCTAACTTATATTTTTTAATTTTTGTTTTTGCTCTTTTTTTAAAGAAAAGGGATGATTTTTACCGATAAGGTCGTTCTCCAGAGTGGGTCCTCATGTGTGTGGTGACGGAACTACTTTGGGAAAATCGTCTATCACAAACGGGACAACGAAAGGGTTTTTCACCCGAGTGCGTTCTTGCATGAGCCGTCAAATTTGCAGCTTGACTAAAGGCCTTGGAGCACGCGTGGCATCTGCAAAAAGAAAAAAGTCACTAACATCTCGAGCCAATTTTTTCAGAATTGGAAATTCCGCTTCTTTTTCAAGACTTGAAACAATTTTGTTATTCAAATCGAAAATTATTTTCCACAGTTTGGAACGTTCTTTTTACAATTGAGGCCTTGGATCGAATAACTTGCCCGACGCTCGGAGGAACGCGCAACTGCCAGTCAGTGAGCAGTCAAGCAGTGGTATTAGCGCGTGCCTTCGAGCGTCGGGCGAGTTATTCGATCCAAGGCCTCAATTATATTAAAAAAATTAACAAAGTAATAAAATTAAATAATGGGATTTATTTAATAAACTGTAAAGTAGTTTCTTTTGATTGAAATAATCGATTAATTGCCTATCATTTATCCAATAATTTTTTAATTTAAATAATTCATTGACAATTATAAAAATAAGTCAGGGAAATCAGGAAAAAGTCAGGAATTTATAAGAAAATTCTGAATTTTTCTTTCTTTTTGTTTGCCTCATAATTTCAATTCTGTTGAAATTATAGTTTCAATTTTAAATACTTTAACGCAATTCTTTAAAAGAATTTAACTATAATATTTTAATAAATATTAAAATTCTTTCCAGAAATTCAATTATTTTCAAAAATTAAAAAAAAAATTCTTATCAACATTTTAATTATCTTTATAAATAGCAAAATTCTTCTTCGGGAACTTTTATAAAATTCATTGTAAAATTCAATTATTTTCATAAATAACAATATTCATCAAAAAAATTCAATTATTTTCAAAAAATCTAAAAAAAAATTGTCAATATTTCAATTATCTTTATAAATAAGTAGCAAAATTCAATTATTTTCAGAAAATATTATACTCAATTAAATTAAATAATTATATTTGACATTGATTTGAATGCAAATTATTTGACTTAAGTTAACATTGTTTTGTTCAAATTTGCTAATAATCAAGTAATCAATTATGTGAATCAAATATATACATTTCTACAGTTTCATAAAATCGAAATAATAAAACAATATTATAAATATACTTTCTAAATCTAAAAATGTGCGAATTCGTTTATTAATCTGAATTAAATAAGAATTTTATCTAATTTGTATATAGTAAAGTTGGATAACTTTATTTCGTGATTTAAATTTTAGTTTCGCACATTCAGATTCAGAAAATATGTAATCAGAAAATTTAGTTTTTGGAAACTTTGAGCTATTCTATAGTAATTTAAAAAAAATAACAAAATGAGAACATTTATTTTAAAATTAAACCGAAAATTTTATTCGTAACTCAATGAAATAAAATTTTAATTTGAAAAAGAAACAAATAAATTTCATCCATTTGAACGATCACAATTGAAGAAATTAAATACGAAATTATAATTTTCAAATTCACTTATTCATAATAATGTAATTTTTGAAAAAAGAACTGAATTTTTTTGAAGAATTTTATTAAAATTTATATTGAATTGAATTAAATTGAATTACTGAATTAATGAGAAGAATTTTATTTATTTATTTATTAAATAATTGAACTCTTGCAAAGAATTTTGTTAAAAGTTTTAAAAATAATTGAATCGTGAATTTCGAAAAGGGCTCAACTCGGTTTTTTGACATTTTACAGGAGACACAAAAAACTGTTTATTTCAAACAGCTCTGATTAAAAGAGTCCAGCTTTTTTCGTAGTAACTATAGATGCTATTTTATATGAGAAAATAATAAAAGAATTGTCCTTTATAACAGAGTTTGAGAAAATTGGCAGAGTTGAGCCCTTTTCGAAATTCATGAAAAAAATTTGATCGATATAATCATAAAAATAATTATTAATGAAATGTTTTACTATTGAGAAACAATTTATTTATTTATTTAAATTGAAAATGTATATTAAATTTTTCTTTAACTCAAAAACAATTCAGCATTAGGTTAGATAACAAACAATCTTAAGTTAAAAGTCTTAGGTTAAAAATTTTATCAAAATTTTTGAAAATAATTTAAATCTTTTTAAAAATTAAAAAAAAACTTTTTAAAAATATTTGATATTCCACCAGGAAAAATTTGATAAAAACAGCAATGAAAATAATTGAATTCCTATATTTATAATTTTGTCAAAATTGTATATTAAACATAATCCTAATTCTGCAAAGAATTTTATTATTAAAAAACAAAAAATTGAATTCTTACTAAGAATTTCATTACAATTTTTGTAAAAGATACCTGATTTCTTTTGAGAAATTTTATTAAAATTGAATTCAATTCCTCCGAAGAATTTCATTATTTTTGAATAAAACTGTATTCTCCCTAAGAATTTTATTAAAATTTTTGTTAATAATTGAAATACTAAAGTGCGAATCATATTATTTATGAAAATGATTGAATTCTAAAAAAGAATTTTTTTATAATTTTTAAAAGAATAGGTAACTGAATTTTTTATTATTTATAAAAATAATTTAATTCTTTCGAAGAATTTCATAAATTTTTTGTAAATAATTGAATTTTTGAAAATAATTCAAACTCTTTCTAGAAATTTGACTTAAGTTCGATCGAAAATAATTGAATTCCTTTGAAGAATTTTATTAAATTTTTTGAAAATAATTAAATTGTTTAGAATAATTTTATGCAAATTTTTGAAAAAAAAAATTTTTTTTTTAAGAATTTTATCAAAATTTTTGAAAATAATTGAATTTTTACGAGAAATGTTATTAAAATTTTACTGAAAATAATTTATTTCCTATGAAGAATTTTATTATTTATATGAAAATAATTGATAACTTGCTAAGAATTTAAAAAAAAATTTTGAAAATGTATAATAAACAATAATTAATTCTGTACTTAAGTGAATTTTTTGAATTTTGAATCCGAAATCATTCAAAAATTCTAGTTGATATTTAAAAATAAAAAATTTGTATTTATTCATATAATAATAAATGGAATTGAAATTGAATTAAATTAAAATTTGCTAGTCTCTAAACCATTTTCTGAAGAAAATAAGCCATCATTGACTTAAATCGAATCAGTTTTGAAAAAGTTCAACCTTTTAATATGAAGAAAACTTTGATCATATGCAAAATGACTAAATAAACAATTTTTGAAAGTTTCAAATTTTTTTCTTGAAAATTTATATTTTTTCTTCCAGAAGATACGAATAACAATAATATTAAAAAATTCTTTAATGTCAATTCAATATTTTTTCTGAAGGTCTGCATACCTGTAAACAACCTCCTTAATTATTAAAAAAAATTTATGCTTGAATAATAGAATTACGAATAAAATAAAAATAGATTCAGATAATTCTATTATTAATAATTATTATTATTCTTTCAGTATCAAGGGAAAAATTTCCGGACTCCAAAAATTTCGTCGAATTTCGTTAATTAAAAAAGTTTTATAAAATTTTCTCCAAGTTTGTTAATAAACGATAAGGCCTATATTTATTTAAAAAAAAAATGTAAAGAAATTTTTTTTACAAATTTAAACTAATTTTCTTATACTTATTCGTGTTTTTCAGAAAAAGATGAACCCTTCGAATTTGAAGAAGGTAATTTTTGAAGGAAAGGAATAGGATGAGTGTTTTTTTCAAGATTGAGGTCGAAGAGAAAGGAAAATTGAGAGAAAAAGTTACCTAAATGGTTTCTCCCCGGAATGTGTACGAAGATGAGTTTTAAGGGTGCTCGGTCGTGCATACGTTTTTCCACATATCCGACAAAGATTCGGTCTTCCATTATCATCCTGAGTTACAGCGGGTCCTGCGCTTCCAATGCAGAGTGAATGTTCACTCGACTGAAGTCTAGTGTGAGGGTGAGGATGAGGGTGAGAATGTGGGTGTACACCAATGAGACTATTGGCCGGAACTTGATTCACCCTCGTCTGAGTTTCCACAGGGTTATATTGAGGGGCGGGACTCAATAAGGGTTCCATACCCCAGGGCGACGAATAGCTCTGCTCATACCTGTTTGGAAAAAGAGAAAATAATAATACATGAACAAGATGGTGTGCTAAAGCCATTTTCATCAATAACACGATCAATTTTCAATATTATCATTATATACTCGCTTTCAATTCAACAAATCTCAATTTACTTTTTCTTTTATATAATTTATAAAATACCCCCTTTTTAAACTCTTATTGTAAACATTTTTTAAAAATTCCTCTTGGATATTGTTACATATCCAAAGAAGAGAATTAAAAAAAAAAATTCAGTATTTTTAGTTTATTTTCGAAGCTGTTTTTAAAGTTTTGCTATACTTTATGTATGAATTTTTCTTAGTGAAAATTTCCTTTCCAAAGGTTCAAAACTTTAAAAAATTATTTTATTTAAATTCAAAATTTTTTTCCTTCAGTAACAAAACTGAAACAAGGTTGCCACAGGTCAGAGAGGTCAGGGAAATGTCAGGGATTTTTATTAAAAAAAACTGAAAAACAAATTAAATTTTTAGAATTCATAAGAATATTCTGAATTTTTGTGTCTTTTTTGTTTGCCTCATAAACTATATTTTTTATTTCTTTTTGAATAACTTCTTAATTCTTCTAAAACTATCATAAAATTGCTACATATATAATATAATTTTACTTAAATATTTCAAAATCAATTGAATTTTAAAAGAGTTGCCTTTATAATTTTTATAAATAGATGAACTCCAAAAGGTTTTAATTTGGATTTTTTTAAAATTTCAATTTTCAATTAATTTAATTAGAAATTTTAATAAAGAACTTAGATTTTTGAAAAATGTTAATAATTCAAAATCTTCTGAAATTAGTAAAATTTGTAAATATATATTTAATTTATAATAAAAACTGATGGATTAATAGGAGAATTTTGGTTAAAAACAATTTTAAAAAATTGGATTTTGGAGAAGTTACAAATTATTTTATTACTTTTGAAAATAATTGAATTTTTATTCAATTATTTTCAAAAGTAATAAAATTCTTCGCAGAAATTAAATTATGTTCAAAAATTTTTAAATATTATCGTCAAAATTTAAATTATCTTTATAAATAACAAAATTCTTTCCTGAATTCTAATTAATTTCAAAAATTTCAATAAACTGCTTGGCAAAATTTCAATTATTTTAAAAAATTTTCCTCAACTTAATAAAATTCAATATAGCTATACTATTTTAACACAATTTTCCAAACGAATTCAATTATTTCATTAAAATTTTATTCAAATTTCTCTGAATGCTTCAATTATTATAAAATAAAAAAAATGTTTCCCAGAATTTCAATTATTAATTTCAAAAATTTTCATAAAATTTCCCTTAGATTTCAATTATTTTTATAAATCACAAAATTCTTCAGAGGAATTCAATGATTTTCAAATAATACAATTTTTCACTGGAATTCAACTATTTATATAATTTATAAACATATTAATAATATTCTTCGCTAGAATTCAATTATTTTTAGATATATAATAAAATTTTTTACTGTGAATTCAATTAATTTAAAAAAATTTAAAGTTAACTCGTCGCACGATTTCAATTATTATTGATACAATTGTCAATAAATTCTTTGAAAAATGTAGTTATTTTTTAAAATTTTATTGAAATTATTTAACACAGAATTCAATTATAGGTATTCTGAAAAATTTTGAAAAAATTCAATTATTTTCATAAATAATAAAACTCATCGCAGAATTTCAATTATTTTTATTAAAATTTTTAATTAATTCCTCCAAAAATGCAATTGTTCTTAAAAATTTTATTGAAATTCGTCCAAAAATTTAAATTTAAAAAAAAATTTGATAAATTTCTTTATACAAGAGTTAAAATTTTTTTCAAAATTCTTGTCAAAATTTCAAGTATCTTTATAAATAATAAAACTCTTCTACAAAATCAGAATCAGAATATTCTTTAGGGTCAGGTTAGAAGTCAAAATTTTATGTCTGGAAATCAGGGGAAAAATTTTTAATTTTTGTGAAAATCCTGTTAGAAGCAAAAACTTTTTTTTCTCAAAAATCATAATTTTTTCTCGTTACTTACGAACAAATTGTAAATTTGAAATTTATTTTACGAAAACAATAAAGTAATTCTTTAATACATTGAACGAAAAAAATAACAGAAAATCCGATTTTAAAGAAAGAACTTTTTTGAACTTTTTGAATGAAGATTATCACTAATAAAATATCATAAATTAAGTAGCAAAAATTTAAGAATAATTTTTCAAAATTTAAAAACTAAAAATGCCAGGAAATTTTGTAATCATTTTTTATTTTTTATATTCGCACCGTGAAGAATAAGAGAGGAGCCAAGTCGTTTACTATAATATATATACAATTAGTAAGAATTTCTATTAATTTTCGTCTTAATTTTCCAATCAACTTTTTAATAGAAAATAAAACAATAAATTTAGTAACAATATAAAGGAAAATAGAACCACCAAACGAAATAGTAAAATTGTTCCTACAAATTAGTGAAAAATTCTTATAAATTTGATTTATAGTATATAAATGGACTTTGGAATTTAAAAGAATTCACACAAAATATTGAAAAGATAAAAATCTTTTAAATATATATTTGCTCTTGTGGTTTCGGTATTTTTATTTCGTTAAAAAAAATTGAATGAAAGTAAAGATGAAAAATTGAAAATTGATATCGAAATAAAATGTGAATGTTCTATAAGTATATAATTGAAATTTTAAAGGTTTTTGAATGACGATTGACGACCTACCCAGGATGCATGTTCATGTTCATGGTCATGTTCATGGAGACATTAACGGACATGGCAGGACCCGGCGTATAATGAGATGGTGGAATTGGCGGTCCAATATTTTGTCCATAATCCTGCGAATAATGATGAGAGGTTCCGCCAGTCGAATAATAACCACTTGTTGGACTTCCAGGATGAACCACCGCGTGTTTCAACGATAACAGAACGTCCGCGACACCTTCGCCATTTGGATTTCCAGTTCTTGGCACGCAGTCGCCCCTTGTGCATCCCCAACTGCAAGAATCACTTTTAAAAATTAACGAGAAAAATCACAAATTTTTATATTTTCTTTAATTTTTAATAATTTTAGATTCTAGTTGAATTCAATTGAATTTCATTGTTGAAAATCTCGAAGTAAGTGTGCGGAGAGAATTTGCAATTAAATTCAAAATTTAAATTAGAGAAAAAGAAATTATTTTTAAAGAGGAGAAAATTTCTGTTTTAATCTTTTTTTTAATTACTTTTTAATTCAAATTTAAAATGAGAGAAAAACAACTTATTTTCAAAGAAAAATTTCTGATTTTATTTTTTTTCAAATTCTTTCTTTTTATTTAAAATTAAAATGAGAGAAGAACAAATTATTTCTAAGGAAAGTATTTCTTTTTTAATTTTTTTTATTTCTACTTTTTTAATTAATTAAAAATTAAAATTAGAGGAAAAAAAACTTTTTTTTAGAGAAGAAAATATTTATTTTTTTGAAGAGAGACAATATTTTATTCTTAAAAGTTTTGGTAAATTTTTACATTGAATAGGGGAGACTGGGGCGAAAAGTTAAATTGTCAAAACAGTTAAAATTCATTATCTTTCGAACGGAAATAGTTAGAGCATTGCAATTTTGATTATATATAGAAGGGTGTTATCACTCTAAATAAATGTCCGAAGTTATGTGACATTCCGTTCATTTTTGTGGTGTCAATAATATAAAGTGTATTTTGACCGTACTTTTGTAAATTTTTACGTAAAAGAAAATTTCAACTTTTAAGTGTATTTTTTGGATTTATTCTCATCGCCAAAAGTATTTTAGCCTATTTGGGTCCCCTGAAGATGTACCTAAAGGTATTTGCTAAATATTTTCAATCAGATTTTGGATATTTGTTGTTAATGCCAAAAACGCACCCTGGGGCTAAATATTAAGTGTATTTTTTCCATGTTCTTTCCTTTTTCGTGTTTTTCGGGTTTTTATGTTTAAAAATTATTTATTTGACATTAGGCAAGTATGCGGTCAAAAAACAAGGCCGCTCATATGTAAAATAAACCCATAATTTTTTTTTTTTATTTTGAAATTTTAATTTATTAACTCTATAACTGTTCTAAAGTTATTGTTAAATAAACACAGATGTTTTATTAACTAAATTACCTGTTTTAAGCATACTTTTACTTATCTACTATACTTAACACCTTATCAGAAAATAGTTTTAGTATAAGCTAGAAATAGAATTTAACATTATTTTTTTTCGAAGAAAGGACAAAACATGTATTTTACGGAAAAATATCAGAAACTTTTTTATTGAAAGTTTAGTTAGCCCAGTCTCCCCTACAATAATTTCAATTAACTAAATTTCTTATTATTCTTAATTCAGCAGAATAATTTTTATTCAGAAAAAATATCAAAAATATTTCGATATAAAAAATATTTCGAGATTATAAAGCGAGCTTTATATGGATGAATTTTTTTTAAATTGTAGGTCTCACGTGCGGACATATAATATAAGAGTATTTTCAGCCTGATTTATAAACTTTAACTATATTTTTTTGGGGGGGATTTTTAATTTTTCAAAAAATCGTTTTTTGCCCATAACTTAAAAAACTGTTAGAACACCTATAAATGTTTATGGGTAGCTCCATGCCTAAAAAATACATGCCAGTAAAAAACCCTAAATCAATTTCGAAAAATTTTGAAAAATTTTGGATTTACGAGGTTTTTAAAATTTTTTTTGAAATTTTGAAAATGGTATATCTCAAAGGAAAATGAATAAAATTTAATGAATTTTTCAGGGATTGCTTATTGTTTACAGATAATTCAAGAAAATATTTTATAAAAAAAAATTTTTTTTTTAAACAAATTATTTAAAAAATAATTTTTAAATAAACAATTTTTTGAAAAGTGCCATTTTTTTGCTTTTAATAACAATGATTCGATTCCCACTTATTTCACGAGTATTTTCCAAAAAAAAAATCGATGGAGGGTCTGAAACTTTAGGAGATATTGAATTTTTTGTCCTGGCGCGCAACCGTAAAAAGCGCATTTCTTTTTGGAGAATTTCAGGCAATAAATTTGTAAGAATACTGTGCATTTTTAAAATTTATATTTGTTTAAACAAATTATTATTATTGTTGTTAATTACTAACTTTTTACATATTGTACCTAGAGAGGTGTATTTTTCCAATTTTGCAATTTACCGGACCTTACATAAATACAGATGCAGATTTAAAACATAATTATTAATATTTAAGCAAGATTTAAACAAATTATTATTGTTTATTTCTAATTATTTACGGAATAGTATACTAGAAAGATGCAGTTTTTTCTAATCATGCAAATTTACCAAACTTTTTCAAATTCCGATTTACATTGAAAATAAAATGATAATTTAAACAAAAATAAGAATAATAATAATTTGTTTAAAAATTGTTTAAATAATAATTGTACTTTTAATTTTAATCTCGGTATGTCCATGTCAAAAAAACTAAAGTTGTCCCCTAATTCTTCGATTTCTATGAAACTTCGAGAAATTGTCACAGAACACATGATAATGAAAAGTGTGAAAACGATTTTATAATTATTTGTTAATCACGATTATAAATATAAATAAATAACAAATTGCCTATATTGAAAGCTTCTGAAATTTAAATACTTTCGGAGACATTGAGAATAAAAACACTTTATTGAGTTTACCAAATTAAGTAAAATTAACTTTTGGAAAGCAAAATAACACAATTAATATTTAATTTAATTGTTATTAACAATTATTTAAACAATTTTTTAACCAAGTCAATTCTTATAAACAATTATTTTAAACAGATGAGTTTTAACTGAAGTAAATAATGATATTATTATTTAATTTGTCATATAAATTTAAGAAAATTTATTAATTTTTTGATAATAAAAAATTTTTATAACAATAAACCGCAACACAACTTATCCTATCGTTAGTAGGTATGCAATATCATTATTTACTTCGTCAAAAATATTTCATAAAATCCGGCAAAATTGGAAAAATACACCTCTCTAGGTACAATATGTAAAAAGTTAGTAATTAACAACAATAATAATAATTTGTTTAAACAAATATAAATTTAAAAAATGCACAGTATTCTTACAAATTTATTGCCTGACATTCTCCAAAAAGAAAAATTTAATTCGGTTACAATTTACGACTTATAGGTGATTTTGAACATTAGTTTGTATGTACAGTATAGCCTGAAAATGCGCTTTTTACGGTTGCGCGCCAGGACAAAAAATTCAATATCTCCTAAAGTTTCAGACCCTCCATCGATTTTTTTTTTGGAAAATACTCGTGAAATAAGTGGGAATCGAATCATTGTTATTAAAAGCAAAAAAAATGGCACTTTTCAAAAAATTGTTTATTTAAAAATTATTTTTTAAATAATTTGTTTAAAAAAAAAAAATTTTTTTATAAAATATTTTCTTCAATTGTCTGTAAACAATAAGCAATCCCTGAAAATTTCATTAAATTTTATTCATTTTCCTTTGAGATATACCATTTTCAAAATTTCAAAAAAAATTTTAAAAACCTCGTAAATCCAAAATTTTTCAAAATTTTTTGAAATCGATTTAGTGTTTTTTACTGGCATGTATTCCACTTCAAAATTTCGAAGTTTCAACAAAATCGAAGAAGTAGGGAACAACTTTGATTTTTTAGGCATGGAGCTACCCTTATCCATAATTTTGTAGAGTTTTTTTGGACGCATATTTTGAGTCCTAATTCGTCATTTTTTCGTCCATATTAACCGGAGATTTAACCGGACTTTTAAAAATCTAAAATTTTGGAAAATAAGACTTTTGAAAATTTTGTTGAAAAATGTAGAAGTAACTTTAAAAGTATCGTTACCAACTTGTAGAGCATTAAAAAAGCTTCGATTGACCTATTTTTGAATCTAATTCGATGACAAATTTCGAAATTATTGGTATTTTAAATACCAAAAATGGTGGAAAATGACATTTTCTCAACTTTTTTGTTTGAAAACTTTTCTTTAACTATTAAACTATTATAACTATCTTGTAGGGTATTGAAAAATATATTGATTGACCCAAGATTATTTACTATATTTATAAAAAGTTATTCATTTATTTCTATTATTATTATCTCTATGAGGAAGCAAAGTGTTTATGAAATGAGCACCAAAATTATAACAAAAATATACACTTGGCAGCGGTTTTTTTATTTGTTTTGTTATCTATTTAGTGGAATGCTTATAGTGAATCGAATTTTTATTTAATATATAATTATTTTACACAATTATTTAGTAGAATAATTTTTATTCAACGGAATGTTTTTCCATCAAATTAGAATTTGCATTTTATTTATTTTTTCTTATTTCATTTGCATTTAGTAGAACTTTAACATTTAATCAAAATTTATTAAAACAATTTTTATTTAACCAAATATTTATAGTAGAATTTAAATTCAACCGAATTTTCATTTAGCAACATTTCTACTTAAATTTTATAGAGTTTTTTTCATTTCCCGGTATTGTTTTACGCTAATCTGTTCGCATTTTGAAGTTAGTTGTTATTTGCTTTTTTGTTTCCTAATTTTTTAAATAATTTTTATTTTTATATTTTCAATTTTAAAATTAATGTATTGAAAATCATTGAATTATTGTATAAAGAATTTTATCAAAAAATTTGAGAATAATTGAATTTATTTGAAGAATAGTATTACTTATGAAAATAATTGATTTCTTGACAAGAATTTTATTAAAATTTTTGAAAATTCTAATTAAATTCTTTTGAAGAATTTTTTTGAATTTTTCTTTAAATAATGGAGTTTTTTTTTTAATAATTTTAATTGAATATTTTGAAAGTATGTAATTGAATTTTATAAACAATTTATTTCAAGTTTTTAAAATATAATCATGTTTCTTAATAATTGCAAATGAAAATTGTATTATTGAATTTTATAAAAATTTTTAGAAAATAATGAAATTCTTCTCAGAATTTCATTACAGTTTTCTAAAATAATTGAATTCATTTAAGGAATTTTATTAAAATATAGAAAATAATTGAATTCTTTCGAAGAATATAGATACTATTAAACGTTTTCAAAATAATTTAATTTCATAAAAAAATTTCTTTAATTTATTGAATAAAATCGATTTTTTTAATGATTGTAATTAATAATTTTACTATTAAAATTATTGATAGAAAATTAAAATCTTTTAAACAAATTTACTAAAGTTTTTGTAATAATTAATTTCTTTTGAAGAATTTCTTTAAGTTTGTTTAAAAATAATGTACTTTTTTAAATAATATTAATTGTAAATTTTTGAAAATAATTGAATCAAAGAAAGAATTTGTTTCATCTTTTAAAAATAATCATGTCTGTTAATAATTATAATTAAATATTTGATTATTGAAGTCAATTGAAATTGTATTGAAAATAATTGAATTTCTGAGAAGAATTTTATTATTTATAAAAATAATTAAATATTGTTTCGAAGGATTTATTAAAATTTTAGAAAATAATTGAATTCTTTTGAAAATTTTTATAACGAATTAAGAAAAAAAATTGAATTCTTTCGTGAAATTTTACTATTTTATAAAAATAATTGAATTCTTCCAAAGAATGTTATTATTTATGAAAATAATTGAATTTATATTTGAAAATAAAGTTTTTTGTAATATTTACTAGTTCATTAATTAAATTTTAAAACATATTAAAATGTTTCATTAAAACTATTATGTAAAAAGTCGCGTAGTAAATTAAAAATGTTTCGCTCCGAGAATTCGATATATATATTGATAAATTCCACAATTCAAAAATTTATTTTTTCCTCTTTGTCAAATATTAATTAATATTTGAAAGAAAAATATGAAGATGTGAAATAATTTGTCTAATTAAACTCACTTGTAGCTACCGGAACATGGACTAAACAGTCCCGGCGGAAGTGGATCCAAATCCAATGGCGGTAGAGGAAAGCCAGCCATATCGTCGACCCAGAAACTTGCACCGAATTCCGTGACAACTTGATTTTGATTGGAATTTTGTACGTGCTGACTTTGATCAACGTTTATGTCTTCAGGTGAATTCTGCAGGTCCTGCAATCGCAGTGTACCTTGCAGAGCACCTAGAGCCTCTTCATTTTGATTGTCAGCTAAACCATCGTCACCGGCAAGAACACCCAGTGTTCCTGAACAAAGGCCAGAAGGTATTGTTGCTTCAATACTCCCCACCGCACCTATTTTTTTCACAAATTCAAAACAATTTCTTTTTAATTCTATTTTTTTTTTATTCTTATCTTAATAATAACTATAACAAATATGTAAATTAAAATATGTCTCTAAATATGTCTCTTTCAAATATTTTTCAATAACAACTAAAAAAATTTAACATTATATTAAGAAAATAATTCATTTTTCAATTTGTAAATTAAGTATAATATTTTCTACCAAAATTCAAACTTGAAAAAAGTAATAAAAAAATTCGTTCATTTGAACGTTTTAGAACTTTAGGGACATAAATTAAAGTCCATTGCAAAAATTAGAGAGAAATTTTTCGTCAAGTTAAAAAATTTTTCCCTAAATACTAATTAGTACATAGTGAAAAGTCGTCCACTAAAATTTCCACTAATTCTTTGTAACTTATTCCTCTCAAATTTTTTTAGTGGTATTTGTTTTCATTATAATTTTAATTATAAAAATAAAATAAAAAATATAAAAATAAAAGTCTATTAGTAAAAAATAAAAATTAAACAGTTAAAAATTGAAAACTACTAAATGAAATAGTAAAATTTTATTCAAAACAGTGAAAATTTGTACTGATTTGAATTAGTAGCCAATTTTTTAATCTTTTAAATTTAGATTCAAATTTAGAGAGTATTATTATTGTTATTATCATTATTATTATTATTATTATTATTATTATTGTTATTATCATTATTATTATTATTATTATTATTATTATTATTATTATTATTGTTAATTAATAATATATATTTATAATAATATATCATTATAATTACTGTATTATATTATTATTCTTTTTATTACAGATACAAATTGTATCTGAATATGATTTAATTTCTCAGAAGAATTTTATTATTTACAAAAATAATTGAATTCTTGCCAAAAATTTTATAATTTATAAAAATAATTGAATTGTTTCGAAGAATTTTTTATCAGAATTGTTGAAAATAATTGATTTTTTATTAAAACTTTTGAAAATAATTGAATTTAAATAATATTTTTAAAAATAATTTTATTCTTTCGAAAAACTTTATTAAAATTTGAATTTATTAATTTAAATTTATTTGTTTAAAATTTAAATTTATTAAAATTAAAATTGTATAAAAATAATTGAATTTCTCCGAAACATTTTATTATTTATTATGAAAATAATTGAATTCTTGCGGAGGATTTTACAATTCATAAAAATAATTAAATTGTTTCGAAGAATTTTATCTGAATTTTTGAAAATAATTGAATTTTTTGAAGGAATTTTATTAAAAATTTCTAAAATAATGTGTTTTTTTTTAAAGAATTTCATCAAACTTGTTGAAAATAATTGAATTTCTTTTAAAATTCTTGAAAATAATCGAATTTAATTAATATTTTTAAAAATAATTGTATTCTTTCGAGAAATTTTATTAAATTTGTATTGAAAATAATTAAATTCTTGTAAAGAATTTTATTATTTATGAGAAAAATGAAATTCTTGCGTAAATTTTATTAAAATTTTTGAATAATAATAAACAAGAATATTTAATATTATGCACTAACTTAATATATGGATTCTTTAAATTTTAAATCTGTAGTCATTCAAAAATAAAAGAATTTAATTTATTTAATTGTATCTAATAATTAAAAAGTAGTGAAGAATAAATTTAGCAATAAGTATAATAATAAATATAAAATTAATAATTATAATAGTTTTTAAATAATTACGAATATTAAATAACAATGTTAAAGATAACATAAATTAAATTTCAAAAATATTAATTTGATGTATTAACAAAAGAATCTAATGTAAAAACATTCATTTACAGTCAGACGGAGAAAGTCACTTATTATAGTGTCTGACTAATGCAACACTTTACTACTGCGATCTGGGACAATTTTCTCAATTCAATCGAGAGTTTCAATAAAATATATACACAGAAGAAAAATACAATCAACAACTACAGTAAGTAAAAGGAATAAATTGATAAAACTCATATTCACTTCAATTTCAAGAAAATCAAATCATTCTAACATTGAAAGCATCAATTTCATTTTTTTAGAAATCAAAATTTTTTTTGTATCTCAATTCATGAATTCATAATTCAAAATTTATTCAATTTACAAATACAATTTTTTACAAAGAAAAATTCCTTTTCAAAATGCAAATTAAATATTTCGAAACTCACGAATTAAATTTCCAATGCAATTGCAAATTTACATTTTTTTCTTTTAAATTTACGTAAATTAGATAATAGAGTGTTCTCTATTAACAAAATTTTTGTGAATATTTTACGAATAAATATTTTTTTCTAACAATTTGAAATCTTAATTAAACTTTCTTTATTAATTAATTTTTTTAAATTTATGTAAATTAGATATGGTTCTAAAGTTTTGAACGTTCAAATGAACGAAATCTATTAATTTCCTCTTCATATTAAATTTTTATTGCAATAATTTTGCGTCACTATAAAAAAAATTAATTATGAAGTTTCTGAATTTAAAATCTGTGTTTTTAATTTTTATTGCAATTATTAATTTATGAAAATACTTTTAACAAAAATTATTTCGTTCAGTTGAACGTTCAAAAATTGTTCATTATAAATTAGATACTTTCCAAAAGAGAACAAAAATATTTTGAATATCTTACGGAAAACATTCTTCTTTTCTAACAATTTAAAATTTTTTTAAGTGACTACAAAAATGATGGAGGGAAAATGTATAGTAATAATGAAAATCAATTGAAAGAATGAAATTTTTTCCTGACAAAAATAATTAACAAAAAATTTACAATTTTAATTTCAAATTTTTTTATGTAACAAAAATTACGAAGAAAATGTAATAATGGAAATAAATTGAAGCAATCAAATTTCTTCCAGACAAAAATAATTTACAAAAAATTTACAATTTCAAATTTTTTCGTGTAAAAAAATTACCAAGAAATGTAATAATGGAAATGAATTGAAACAATAATCAAATAAGAAAGAGGAAGAAGAAAAAACAAGATTGAAAAAAATTTTTTTTTTTGCAGAGAAAAACAAATAAGGGGAGAAAATTGCGTGAGATTTGAGGGAGAAAAAAATATTATGGAAAACATACCTGTGCCAAGAGTGTACGGTGACTCGGTGGTATTGGCCGAATGATGGTTCTGCAGAAACTCCATCTCTGCAAATTTTCCACCGACAAGTCTCCCTTTAGAAACACCCCCTTCGAAAATCACTGTTCAAAAGTAGCCACCAGCCTCCCGTCTCTATAGAGATGTGGTCCAGCCCCTCCGGTTGTCCTAGCAACCAGGCGTTCCGCTTTTCAAATTTTCTCAGTTAAAATCGTCATTTTATGTGATGATATGAACATTTTTTTACATGCGGAGACATTTTTTCTTTTATTTTTTTATTGGAAAATTTTTTTTTTTTCTTTTTTAAAAAGTGCGATTTTTTCATTTATAATTTCTGAATTTAATGTTTTTATTTTTTCAAATTTTCTCTTTGATTCACTTTTAAATTTTTATCCTTCTCAAGGATCATTACAATTTTCTTCTTCTTTCTCAAAATTAAACCTTAAATATTGATATTTAATTGGTAATTAATTTTATTAATTATTATATTTAATATTTTATCATTTTTTGTATTTAATTTAATACTCAAATTAGTTAATAATAAATTAATTACTTTTAATTAATTACTTTTATAACTTTCATTTAATATTTAATTCAATATTCTTATTTAGATTAAAACGAATTTTTTTACGAAGATGAAGTTCGAAACGTTTATGATCAACGATTGGGAGAAAAAAATACTTTTTATGCAAAAAGTAATATTTTTCGTTGGAAAATTCTTCTTTTTTTAAGTTATTCGGCAAGAAATATTGCAAAAATTTTTTTTTAACATTGTTGATTATATAAAAGTTGCGAATTTCATAAACTTATTTTTTTAACATTTTGTTATTACTTTTAACAATTTTAAGATAACTTTAAATTATTATTTAATTTAATTAAATTAATTATCTAATTGTAGATTGAAAAGACAAAAAAAATAATTGTATCTTTACATATTATTTTTATTTCTATCCTTTTTTTAGTTCATTTGAAGAATTTACAAATTTGTTTAGAAAATTTTTGAATTTTATTTTTTGTTAATTGATTTTACAATTAATACACAAGTTTATTATTTTTGTAATTATTATAAGATAAATCTTTTTTTTCAAATTAATAAGTGATAATTTTAGTGGATTAATTTTGATATTTGATAACTTTAATTATTTTCGTCTTGTTCACCTTGTTTGATAATATTAAATAATTATAATAAATATTTCAACTTTTTAATGAAAAATTTTTTCCATTTTACTTTTTTCGAATTTAAAATGTTTTCATTTTAGCCTTTTTTTCAATTTTTGTATTCAAATTTTTTGTTTTTGATTAATTTAAAAATTTTCCTTTCTTTTCAATAATTTTCCACATTTTAATTTTTGAAATTAAATAAATTCCATAATCAATCATTACAATATTTAAATATTGATTATTTTAAAGTTTTAATATTTATTCTTAAAAATCTATACATTTGTTCGAAATTCTATTAGTATAATAAAAATCAAAAAGTTTTTTAATTTTTTCCTAACAAATTAAATGAAATAAAATGAAAATTTCGTCTCTCACCAATAAAATATTTTTTCGTATGAGAATTTATAAACTCAAATTTAAATGAAAAAATAATATATATTGCAATTAATAAAAGAGAAAAAAAATTCCCCGCATGTCGAATAGAATTTACAATTAAATTAAAACTGAATTCGTTCAAATCATCGTTTTTTAATTAAATTAAAAACAATTATCTGATAAAAGTAATTTACAATTTTGCTGTGATTCACTTCTGAAATCGTTGTTTTAATTTTGTAAAAATAATATTTAAAAAAAAGTAATCCAAACTCGGGCGTAAAAAGCGTATATTTGAAATATTTTTTGTTAATTAACTCATGTATATGCAGTTTCTATAGTTTCTTTTAGACTCAAATTATCTCTCTACAATATTCTTTTAAAAGCTGTAAATTCAGATCGAAACAAATCTAATTATGCTCCTTTTCTTCTTTTTCCAGTGTGAATTTAAATCTTCCTTTTTCAAATCTAAGATTTTTTTCGTTTTTGCGAAAAAAATTCCGATTTGAATAATTAATAATTAATTATCAAAAATTTTTAATTTATCAGTAGATTAAAAATTATGCTATAGATTTTTTTTCCTTTCTGTAGGTATTCAAATACTTTCAACCGGTTGAAGAAATAAATAAATTAATTAATTAACAATATAAATTAATGATTAATAATTAATAATCAATTATTAATAATTTAAAATTGTGGTACAGACTTTTTGTATTTAAAGGCTTTCAGCCTGTTCAAGAAATTATTTAATGAATAAATTAATCATAACAATACTAATTAATGATCAATAATTAAAAATTGTGGAATAGAATTTTCTTTATTGTTCTTAAAGTCTTTTAAACTGTTCAAGAAATAAATAAATTAATAATAATAATAATTTATTATAAATTGCTGTATAAACTTTTCTTTTCTGTATTTGAAGGCTTTCAATCTGTTTAAGAAATAATTGAATAAAAAAATTAACAATAATAATTTTAATAAATTAGTTATAATCATTAATCGTAAACAATTTTCCACTTTTTAATTGCAATGAATTTTTTATCATTTATTTTTCTTTTACCAGAAAAAAATTAAATCTTCTATTCCGACACTTTTTTAATATACAAAATAATTTTTTTTTTTTTGTAAAAAAATACAAAGACAATGTGAAAAAAATTGTCGTTCATTTAAACTTTCGAAACATTAATAACATTGACGAGCGATTATTTTATAGAGTAAATGAAAAATAAATAATTAAAATACAAATAATAAATAAAATGTGAATAAATTTGATGAAATTTGGAAAATAAAATTTACTTTAGAAAGAGAAACGATTTTACGAGTTGGAGAATTTGAACTCACAAGGTCCCTTTACTTTTATGAAATAAACGTTTAAAAGTATATATAGGTAATAATTTTTTTGAATTTTTTCAGAGAAAGAAGAAAAGAAGGAGTGTTGGAAGAATTGGAAACTGATAAGGACTGATCAGTTGGAGGACATTTCATGAATGACTGAAAGAGAAAAGCACGTGCGTATGGGCCAAGCGAATGGAAGTAGTACCTTTATGGCTTGGAAGACCTGCCGGTCTCTTCTAAGGGCTTCTGCGGGAAACCTGCGATATATTTCCATTCATAGATTTAAAACCATGTGCATCTCCTCCACGTGACGTTGTATCCGCACGTGATATATTCCGTCATCATCTCGTGAGAAACACTTCTTTTCGATAATATTCTTCAAGTTCACCATCTTCACCCCCTTATATTATCATTATCTCAATTTTCTTTCTTCTTCCCCTAGTTTCCCCTTTTTTTAATCCACGAAATATTTATATTGCACTCGTTTCACTTCACTTATTTTATTATTTTTCATTCTTTTTTGCCCCTAGAACTACATTTTCAACTTTTATTAAATTATCCATCACACACTTCACTTTTATTCGATTATCACTTTTCACTTTTATTCTCTCCTTTTGCACTTTAATAATTTCAATTTTTGTTAAAATTTCAATTCCATTTTTTTGATTTTTTAAAAATACAAACGTATTGTTAAAAACAAACGTTTAGTTATTTTTCACACTGTCATTAATTTTCGGTTCGATGTGAAGAGACTTTTTTTTGTAAATTGTAAATTGTAAGATTGTAAACTTTGGGATATTTATTTATTGAATTAGAAATAAATTAAAAATTCGGTAAAATGATAATTATTCGTGTTTGGATTTGATAATTTAATTTTTGGGTAATTAAAGAAAAGGGGTATTTCTAATTTAAAATAACCGGAGCACTGTGAGAAAATGTTTGACTTCGCGCGGTACCAAAGTCAAAGTGTCGCGTCCTAAGGGCTACTGCCATGCTGGCACGATGGCCTGTCAATGTGTCTTGGCTAACTAAGCACCTACCACCTACTACCCTCTCTCTTTCTCTCTTGATCTCTCTTTCTGTCTCACCCCTTACCAGCAAACTAACAACCCCACTACTCCCCTTCTCGCATGAACCTTTTCTTGTATGCAAGCTCATCATGTTGACGTATCATCTCACGTATCTGCATGTGGATCCTTGTTCATCCACGTGTGGGTGCCAAGTCTGTGAGGCGAAAAAAGTTATTCGAGTCCTTTTTTTCCCTCTTTTTCCCCCCTCACAGTTTTTTTTTTTTTTTTTTTTTGTCGACGCTCGGCGAAAAATCTCAGGTGAACGATGCAATAATGATTTTTCATTGAAAATATATTTTTTTGTATTTAATTTTACCAGTTTTCCAGTCTTTTTCTTTTACTCGAATTTCACATCTAATTTTATTGATTTTCTATTTTTGGATTTTAAATTTTCAGTTAATTTTATTACATTTCCATTTTTTTATTTTTCCATTTTTTTATTTTAATTTTTCATTTATGTAATTTTATTAAGTTTTTGTAAAGTTCACAACGTTTAATATCAACAATTTCAAAGAAAATATATTTTTCTATTTAAATTTTTGTATAAAAAATGTTTTTCATAATTTTTTGACCAATAATTTAGGTCCCTGAAATTGGCGTCGACGCTGAGCATCGAAAAAAATTTTTTACACAAAACCGAAAAAATCAGTAAATTTTTCCAAAGTTTTACAATTAAAAAAGCACTCTTCCGAAATTTTTTACTTCCTATAGGTGAAGGAAAGAATTTCACAGACGTATTTTTTATCTTCCCATTTTTATTCGATTATTTTAATGATTACAATCTGTTTTGAATTAGATATTTTAATATTGTCCAAATTTAAAGGATATTTTTTTCTTTCAAAACGAGACGGATATTAATATTGCCGTTAAAATTGAAAGCAAATTTTTATTTGTGCTGAATTTTTATCGGGTTTTTATTAAAGGAAAATTAGCATTTACCTGAATTTTAATCGATTGGTTGAAAAATTAAGCAGTTTTTCTATTACTTGATAAAATTCGCTGACATAAATTTTTAATGCAGATAATTCTTATTCTATTTTTAAAAAATATATTAAAAAAATTGTTAAAAATATGTAATGAAAAATAATGGGGTTAAATAGAAATAAAAATTTTTGTGTTAGGTTTTCTTTTATTTTTTTAGCAAAAATTTTGTAAAATGAAAACTTTTGGGTTAGAAAAATTCTGCTGAAAATTTTATTATTAAGTTTAGTTTATTGTTTCCTCATATGGAGGAAGTATTTAGAAAATTTTGATTTAAAAACAATTCTATTTAATAAAAGATTAAACAGAATAGATTCAACAGAATTTCAAAATGGAAACCGAATTTTTATTTAGTACAATTTTTCTCACAGAAAAATGTCTATTTTACGAAACTTTTAATTAGCAAATTTTTCTATTTCAAAATCTATATCTGCGAATTCGTACTTAGTCGAATTTTGGTTACAAAATTCTTATTTCATAGAATTTCTAATTAGCTCAATTTTAATTAATTTATTTAGCGAATTTTCACTAAAAAATTTTTTTTTAGATTTTTTTTATTTAGAAGAATTTTTAAATCAACGATTTTTTATTACACAGAATTTCTAATTTAAATTGATTTAACACAATTTGATTTATTGTCACAGAATTACTGTTTAATGCAATTTTCATTTAGCGGTATTTTTATTTAATGAAATTTTTATTTTGCAGTATTTTTACTCGATGGAAATTTTATTTTGCGTTATTTTTATTCAATGAAATTTTTATTTTGCGGTATTTTTACTCAATGAAATTTTTTTTTAGCAGAATACTTTTCTTTAATGAAATTTTTATTTTGCAGTATTTTTATGTAATGAAATTTTTATTGAGCGGTATTTTTACTTACGGTGATAGTAAAAAATAGAAATGAGAGAAAATTTCGTTTAAAATGATAATTTTGTCAGTTTAAAGAATTTGATGTTTAAATAATAATTTATATTTCGATTTCTTTATTTATTATTTATTAAATTATTTACTTAAATAATAATTTGGTTAATAAAATAAAAATTACGTTGAATTCGAATTCTCAAGAACTTCCCTTATTGCGAACAAATGTAAATTCTTCTCTATTTCTGAAATTTTTATACCCAATATTTTTTTACTCTTAATTTTTCATTTTCACCTTTTAATGTCAATTTGGAAATTAGAATACGGAAGTTAATTTTCACGAGTCAGGAGGGAAATTAATTTTCTATCTTGATTTAGAATTTTCGATTTTGCCGCAAAGACGATAAAAGTAAAAAATTGCAAAAAAAATGAGGAAATAGAGAAAATAGATTAAAATAAAGAAGAAAAGAACAAAAAATCTCTACATATAAATTTTGTGTAAATTAGAAAAAAGAAAAATAAATAAAAATAGAAATGAGCGTAAAAAAGGTAAAAAGATGAGAGAAGTTAAATAAAAATAAAACTTTTGTTACATAGGCGTTGACTAGATATTAATATAACGTGTGTATTCTTTTTGTTTTTTTCTAGTGAGAAGACATCGGTTGGTGAAGCTATGTGATGTTCACACAAATATATATATATATATATATATATATATATATATATATATATATATATATATATATATATATATAAATCGCTCACTGTCGTTGACGACATGGGATACTAATCGTTCATTCAACGATCGTCGATCGGAGTCTATATTCACCGCCTCGATCTTTGGAGGATATTATATTTTCTGCAGATACCATTACCACGCTGTCACGGTGGTCCTGCATAGCAGTTTTTGCCCTCGATACTCGCAGGATACTCAGGATCACTGGCTCGTAATGCCTTCCCTTTCGAAAATTATTGATCAGTCAACGGTGAGCCCGGCCATCCAGAATTCTAATTTTTTCCAAAAAATTTTTCTCTTCTTTTCCCTTATTTTGGAAAATTTTTAACAATTTCTACTTTTATTGTCTTTCATTCTCTCTATCAAGTCTTTTTAACGACGCTTTAGTTTTCATCTTTTTCGTTGAAAAGCAACTTGGTAGCGATATTCTCTATCACTGAATTACTTTTTCTTTCTCCAAGTATTTACTTTTTTTTAATAAATTTCTTCAAATTTTTCAACAAATTTGAAACAATTTTTTGTCTATTTTTATATTATTTTATTGTAAAAGCATTTACTTTTATTAATTAATTTTTAAAAATTTGATTTGAAAAATTTTTTTTTTTTATATTCGCAGGTTTGGCACTTATCTATTAAAACCTACTATATATTCTACTTTTTTTACGATTAGCTACTATTTGGATACTTTTTTTAAGTTTGTGACACTAAAAGCTACTTTTATCTTTTCTTTTTATTTGAAAATTTGCACAAATTTAAATCTGATAATAATTGAAATAAAAGAATATTATTCTCCAAAATTTTAATAAAATTCTTTGAAACAATTCAAAATTTCAAAAATTTTTTGAAAATTAATTATTTTTAAAACGAGAATTCAATTATTTTTAACAATAATAAAATTCTTCTAAAAGAATTCAATTTTTTAACAATAATTTAATAAACTTTGATAATAAAATAATGAATTACAAATTTTTAACAAAATCGATTATTTAAAAAAAATTCAATAAAACAATTCAAATAATTTCAAAAGTTTTAAAGAAATGTTTGGGAATTTAATTATTTTTAAAATTGTTGATAAAATTCTCATTCAATTTTAAGAAATAATCAATTATTTTAGATTAAAATTGAATATTAAAAATGCGTTATAATATGAATTTTTTGAAATAGATAAATTTCAAAAAGCTTTTAAATTAAAATTATTAAAAATCTTAGTTCCAGGGAGAAAATAAATAAGTAAAATATATTTATTGAACAAAAATTATTCCAGTAAAAATAATTTAATTTAGAAATTATAAAAAAACAAATCTTTTGGAAAATTTTAGTTCAATTTTTTTGAATATAGGGAAATTCTCTTAAGAATTAAAAATGTTTTATTTAAATTTCGAATTAATTGGAAATTTTGTCAAAATTAATTAAAATAAATTTTATTTGAAAAAATTTTATTTTTTTACTTTCAAAAATTATTTTTATAAATAAACGAATGTTTGAAGAATTCTAACTAAAAATTTGTAAAATAATAAAATTAGATTAAAATTTAGAATTTAAGTTATTATCAGGATATGGAAAACAGTGAATATTTTTTATCGATATCAGGTAAATGTCACAGAATTACAGAATCAAATTTTTGTAATTTTTTTGAATCGACTAAAACGAGTTTTTTAGTCGTCAAATTTATTTTTTCGATAGCCACTTTTTTATTACATTTTTCAGTCTCAAAGCTACTTTTTGCTACTTTTTTAAAATTAATTATTGAGTGCGAAGCCTGTATTCGTATTATTTTATTGTAAAAACTTTGCTTTTTTAAATATTTTTTTTGTTTCGTAATTTTTTAATTAATACCTATAAAGTTAAAATTTTACTTTTTTATACTCTAATAAATAAAGAATATTTTATTTCGAACGTTCAAAACAATATTTTTGTTACTTCTGTTAATATTGAATTTTATTGCGAAATATTGTTCTTTAAAAAAAATTAATTTTTTAATAAGTGAATGTACATGTATATAAGTGAACGTTAAAAACTTTTAACATGGAAACTATTTTTATCACAAATATTTCAGTTCGGAATATTTGTTCTCAATTATTTTAGTTTTAATCATTTTTTCTCGTTATAATTATGATTAACATTTTTTTCGACAATTTTTTCAATATTCATCTGTCTATTTCAATCACTTAACAATATATTCGTTTTGAATTTCATTTATTTATAATTGAAAACATATGTTTACATTATATTCAAATTGAATTAAATTTCAATTATAAATTAAAATTAAGACAATTATTTTTATTTATTAAATAAAATTTTCCTTTAAGTAAATGTTCTATTCTATTCGCGGTCTTATTGGACCGTGAAAAAAAGAATAAATATTAATAAAGTATTATCAAATTTAAAATTTTCGCAAGAGCTTTTAAAAAGGATGCTTTGACAAAAAGAAGATTTTTGGCAAACGAAAAAAAATGTTGTATATGGATTTGAAAAATGTAACGGGAAAAGAGTGTAGAATTTTTGTTCCCTTTTTGTTTTCGAGGGAAGATCAACTGTCCTAGCTTTGAAATTTATCGAATATATCAAATATCGTAGGCTCAACACCTGACTGCTAGCAGTTCCGACCAGGACACAGGAAGAGGAAGTCAAGTACACATATTCCGGACACATTGGTTCTTTCTAACCGGTGGTGGATGTAACCGGCTCGGGATCAAGTTCTCTCTCTCAATTCGTATCCAGTCGAATCGTCCGCCGAACGGTATACACGAAAAAAAAGAGAAGGTAGTATTACCTATATTATAACTACGTATTAATCAAAATTTATAACAATTATATCAAAAAAATTATCATAAAAGAATTATTGAAAAAATTATTCAAAAATAAATTATTTAAATTAATTTTTTCAAAACTTATTAATGTTTATACAAATTTTTTTAAAAATAATTTTGTTTGTTATTAAATATATTTCAAAATTGTTAATATGATTTAAAAAGTAATTATAATAATTGAATGGTGAAATTTGAGAAGGACTGACATATATAAGTCGTAGGAATTATTTTCACTATCGATTGAGACTTACGCTTTTTCAAGTTGAGTTCTTTTCGGTATTCACGATTTAATTATTTTTAAAAAAAATTTTTGTACACTTATAAGAATAATAAGCTAGAGATATTATTGTTACTACTATTTTTATTATTTAAATATTTATTATTAAAATAATAAAAAAAGGTTTATTTTGTTTAAAAAATCTGTTTTTTAACTTTTATAAAAAATTTGTACAATTTTTGTTTATAGTTTATTTCATTATTAAAATAATAATAATAATAATAAAAATATTATTATTATTATTGTTAAAATGATAATTTTATTTTTATTTTAATCAGTAAAAAATAATAAAAAAATAATAAGTATTATTATGACTAAAGAATAAATTGATTAGATATAAATAATTTTATTGTCTTAAAAGTGAAAAATTTTGATATGCACCTTTAGATTGTTCTCGAAATTGTACGTGTGTATGTTACTGATCCACTTCTCCCACAAGTTTTACATCATATACATGACGAATATAAAAATATAAGGCACTTTTCGTCTGGAAAGAATAAAGGGTATCTTCTTACATTTCCAACCGATTGATTCTTTGGTATTTACGCAGTACCCCAAAGAAAACTTTTTAGTCTCCCTCATTTTTTTTCCTAATGAGCAAAAAATAATTGTTTAACGGTCATTTGAAGAATTTATTAAACAAGAGATTTTTTTTCTTTCAATTATCTGTTTATGAACTTTTGTATTTGTAAACTTTTATGTTAATATTTTTTCAACAATATTAATAATTTATACAATAAATATTTTGACATTTACAGAAAGATTTTCAAGAATATCTAAAAATGAAATTTTTTAATTTTTGAAAAAATCGATTTTTGCATTTTTTGAAAAACTTATTTCTTTATTAAAATTTTTATTAATTATTGTCAAAAATTATACCTATTCCTGGCACGAAACGAATCGATTAATGTTTTTTTTTTATAATTTTTGTAACTTTTATAATTTTCAATCTGCAATAATTTAAATCTTAGCATAGAATTATTATTAAAATTTTTAATAAAAAGTGAATTGTTTCAAAGAATTTTCTTAAAATTTTGCAAAATAATTATAAATTCTTTTGAAGAAATTTTATTAAAATAGTATTGAAAATAAATGAATTCTTATAAAGAATATTATCAAAATTTTTAGCAAATAATTTTAATTTCTAGGAAGAATTTTATTAAAATTTTTAAAACTAATTGAATTTTTGTGAGAAATTTTATTATAATTGTATTGAAAATAATTTAATTCCTACTTAGAAGAATTTTATATATTTATAAAAATATTTTAAATTTGTTCTTAACAATGTTATCAAAAGTTTTTAAAATAATTGATTTCCTGAAAAGAATTTGATTAGAATTTTGAAAATATGTAATTGAATTGCGTTGCGAAGAATTGAGTATTATAATTTATGAAAAGAATTGACTTGCTTCGAAGCATTTTACACCAATTTTTGATAATAATTAAATTCTTTCGAAGAATTTAATAAAAATTGTATTTTTCATTTTTGTTAATTCTTACAAAAAATTTTATTACAATTTTTGAGAAGAATTTTAAGGTTTAGGAAAATATTTGAATTTCTGAGAAGAATTTTATAATTTATGAAAATATAATTGATTTTATGTGAAACATTTTTTAAAAATTTTTGAAAATACTTGAACTTCTTCAAGAAATTTTATTTAAATTGTATAAAAAATAATTGAATTCTCGCAAAGAATTTTATTATTATTTATGAAAATAATTGATTTTTTCCTAAGAATTTTATAATTTATTAAATTAATTGAATTGTTTCGAAGAATTTTATACAAATTTTTGAAAACAATTAAATTCTTTCGAGAAATTTAATAAAAATTGTATTTTTCATTTTTGTTAATTCTTATAATGAACTTTATAAAAACTTTTAAAAAAATGTATTTCTTATAAAAAATTTTTAAAAATAATTGAATTCTTATAGAAAATTTTATCAAAATTTTTGAAATTAATTGAATTTTCGTGAGAAATATTAAAATTTCTGAAACTAATTCAATGCTCATAAAGAAATTTATTAAAATTTTTTAAAATATGTAATTAAATTCTTTCGAAATTTTCATTTTAATTATGTTAAATCAAAATCAGTTTTTATTTTTCGTAAGAATTGTTCGAAAATGTATTTAAAAAAAGAATGAAATGTATTTAAATTAAAAAGAAAAGAATTGAAATTGTTAAAAAAAAGAATTCATCATAATAGAAACAATGTTTTGAGAAGAAATTATTAGCAGTAAAATTTCTTTTCACAGAACTGACAATATGGAAAAAGAGGGAAAAAAGTAATCATCGCACCAGTTAAAATGAAAAGTATCCGAGAAGATGTTCAGAGAACGATTTGCAACACCTGTGTTTGCTTACACCTGAAAGTACGAGAGCGAAAGATAGAATCAAGCAGGCATAATAAATTGTGTAAACACCATGACTATGGATCCACTGACAAGGACGAGAAATATATTCAATGAATTGTTGTATGTGCTCTGAAAAACGTATAATATGATTGAGTGATTGGCTTGCACGATGAGATGACAGTGTCCGTATTGTCCGTGGTTAAGGTCCCGCTACTCATCTAAGTGATTGCTGTTGGGATAATCTTGCACGTGATAAATGAAGACTTTATTACAACAACACACAAGTGAGTCCAGTCCTCATTCAAACGTCATAGAGACCGCAAGGACCCCCTAAATTACATAGATTCAATTCATCCCTAAAATTGATACGCGTGCCATCGAAATCCAAAATCAGATAGTATCTTTTGATCTCGCCTATACTGGTAACTTTTTATTTTTTTATCACCGTATTATTTATTAACTACATAAACTATTTACAATTACACTCGAAAACTTTCTTTTTCAAATTTAATCAAATTAATTACTTCTTCAGTAATAAAATTCTGAAGAGGGGACTGGATCCAGTTATACGAAACGTCAATTATTTCTAAATAATTTAAATTCCGAAAATTGAAAAATTTATTATGTTTTGAAAAATATAATTCTTGGAAAATACGATTATATTTCAAAACAACTTTTAAAAGAAATAAAATTAAATTCGTTCAAATATAAAATCAATTTCAATGAAATGTAACAAAAAATTTAATTGCTTTAAAATTATTTTCCAGAATACAATTTCTCTAATTTTATTTTTCAATTTCTACATTAAATTATTCAAAACTTCAACAATAATTTTTGTTGAACAAATATTTAAATACTTATTGTTATTTATTTTAATTGAAATTTCAAATAATTTCAATGTAAAAATTTTGGAAATTTAATTATTTCTAAAAATTGCAACTGCAATTTTATCAAAACTCATTTATTTTTCAGAATTTTTGAATAAAAATATTCAAAACTTTAATAATGTAAAAGAAAAATAATCTATTAATAATTTTTTAAATTAAACATTTAAACATTGTTATAATTTTACGGTGATTAAAATGTTAAAAAGATGTCAATTTAAAAACCTTTTAAAATTTAATTACCTTAGAATTCCTGTTATAACCCTTCTAATGTTATTCAAAAGAGTTTAAAAAATTTTAACTGAAATTCTTTTTTAAATCAATTTTTTTTTGGAATTCAAAGATAATCGAATTATTTAAATAAAAAAGTTTTTGTGAAAATTTTCAAAATTTTTGTTCCAATTCTTCAAAAAATAGAAGAATATTAATATATAACTAGCAAAGTCCTATGCGCGTGAATGATTTAAAGAATTATCACGGTAGCAATCTGCCTACCTGCTTTCCACAGAAAAAATTTAATAATTTCAATTTATATTCTTGCATGTTTACAATAGTTATGATTTTTAAAAAAATCTCGGTATTTCAACTATATTATCATTTCCACGCCTCAGAAGCCATTTAAAAAAATTGCAAGAAGATCGAAGGCGGGGAAAGCAGTGATTTTTATTTTTTGTCACGGATTTTTCAGAAATCCTAAAATATAAAATAAATCAAAATCACTGCTTTCCCCGCCTTCGATCTTCTTGCAAATTTTTTTAATGACTTTTAACATTAAAATAAATAATTAGCAAACGAAAAAAATTGCTTCCAAGGGGTGGAAATTATAATTTAGTTCAGGCCTGCACAAATGTGTGGCTCGCGAGCAAGAGGCTGAGAGAGAAATTCCCCCTCCATGCGGGCGCTCTGCCTGCTTCACTACGCCTGCCAAGGCAGAGCGCCCGCATGGAGGGGGAATTTCTCTCTCAGCCTCTTGCTCGCGAGCCACACATTTGTGCAGGCCTGATTTAGTTCAAATACCGAGATTTTTAGAAAATCCTCGAAAAATCAAAATTACTACTTTTCTTGCCTTGGATCCTTTTGCGATTTTTTAATGGCTTCTGTTATTAAAATAAATATAATTACCAAGTGAAAAAACATGCCTCTACTCAACTCAAGTTTTAAATGTAATTTTTATACATGTAATTTTCTCATGAAATCCCTCAAACATTTTTTAAGCTCATATAAATGTAATAAAATTCAAACTCAAAAGATTTAAATTATAATTTCTGCAAATATTTTAATTTTTATTCTTATGTTTCTAATAATGGTTGGGGTACAGTTTTTCTAAATCGTATTTTCTAAAATTTTTTTTTCTAATAAAGGTGAATTTCTAAAAAACTTTTTTCTAATAAAGGTGATTTTGAAATTTTCTGTCTTCTAATAAAGCTAATTTTCTAAAAATTTATTTTTCTAATAAAGGTAATTTTCAAAATTTTTCTTTTTTCTAACAATATTCTATTTTTGTAATCACGATCAATAAGTACATATGATTAAAAAATAAAATTTACGAAAGTTTGTTGATTCTTTAAAAAAATACTTGATATTTCGTTAAAAAATTATAATAAAAAATAGAAATTATACAAATTACTTAACAAAATTTTTAAATAATCTAGTTAAAAATCGTAATTAACAAATTATAGGGATTTTTTCCTTAAGGCGATGTCAAAGTCGATGCGATTTTCCCATTGAAGCTCAATGCAAAAATCCAATCCACTTTGACACCGCCTTAAAGATATATTTAAAATTTTCTAAAAGAATTTTTTATAAATATATTAACTTTGGAAATTTAAATGTAAAAATGATGCAAATTATTTTTTTTCAAAGAAGAATAGAATTTTGTTAACAAATTGTGATAAGAAATAGTAATTTTATAAAAAATTTTCTTCATTTTCAAAAATAAACTTATAATTTTGTAAACAGAATTGTAAGAAACAGAAAATTTAATCTTTATTTTTAAACAATTTTCTCATTTTTATCAAAATTATGGAATTTTATAAATTTTAGGAAAATAAACATTAGAAATTATAACTTTTTATAAAAACTTTTTTCAGAAAACAGATTTAATTAGAAATCGCCTTTTTAGACAAAAAGGTGTAGAAAATACTTTTTTTAAAAATAGTGTTAGCCTACCCTAATAATTGTTAGTATTCATCCGAAAAATATATTGAATACATTGAAATGTTGATAATTGAAGGAAAGACATTTTTAATAGAATTTATAAGTATTATTTTTCTGAATTAAATACAAAGTACCCGATTCTGCGTAACCGGAATGGCAAGAGTATCAAAAAATGTAAAAAATGCGGAATTTTTGTTGAAGTTTATTGAATTATCATTTTATAGGAGACTGAATTTACCAAAAGAAATAAAAATTCTAAAGATTTAATTAAAAAATACCATTTGAATCATAAAAAACATACTAAATATTTAAACTTCAAAATTTAAGTGTCTTTAATCAATTTATTTTTGTCAAACAAAAGTGGCAAATAAAATTCAGTTCACTTATTGAATAATATTGTAAAAAAATTGTTCGATGTTAGAATTTAAACTTTTTATCAATACCAAGTTTGAGAATTTCATTAAATTTATATATAGGAATTTACAAAATAATAGAGAATTCTTGAAAAAATTACATGTATTTGCCATTTTTAACATCAGTTGAATAGATCCACGGCTTGATCATTTTTCTTCAATTTGTAAAAAAATTTCTTTGCATCAAGTGGTTATCACACATATGGGAATACTCATAACCAAAATTTCTATCAATCAAAACATTAATTACTATAGAAAAACAAAAGACGACACTTTCTGTTCACGGAATAGCAAAGTATTATTATGTATTTTCAAAGCGAGAAAATAAAATTCTTTAAAATGTAAAATTTATTTTAGTGAAATTTGAGAAAATTTCCTATTTTTTTAATATTTTGAAATTATTTTCGGAAATATTCAGCTATTTTCAAAAAAATTTTAATTACGATTTTTTAAAAACCTTATTTTTTTAGAATTTCTACATAAAATTTTTCAAATTTATTAGAATTTTTAAAAATAATTGAATTTATTTCGAAATATTTCATCAAAATTGTATTGAAAATTTGAAAATAATTAAATTCCAGAGAAAATTTTGTTTATTTATAAAGATAATTGAATTCTTGACAACAGTTTTATCAAAATCTTTAAATACAATTGAATTCTTTCTAGAAATTTTATTAAAATTTTTTAAAATAATTGAATTTCTTCGAGGAATTAAAAATAAAATTGTATTGTAATAACTTAATTCTTACAAAGAATTTGATCAATTTATTATTTATTCTGAATAATTTGTGAAAATAATTCAATTCCTGCAAATAATTTTATTTAAATTTTTGAAATAATTAAATTATTTCGACAAATTTGAATAAAATATCATAAAAGAATTGAATTGCTTTAAAAAAATTAAAATTTAATTATATTAAAAAGAACTTAAATTTTATAAAGAATTTTGTCAAAAGATTTGAAAATAATTGAATTCTTTCGAAAAAAGTCTTTAGAATGTTTGGATAAAATTCAATTCTTTCGAGAAAGTTCATTAAAGTGTATTGAAAATAATTGAAATTCGAAGAAGAATTTTATTATTTATGAAAATAATTCAACTCCTGTGAATAATATTATTTAAACTTTTAAAATTATTGAATTATTTCTGAAAAATATAACTGCAATTTTTCCAATTAAGTCAATTATTTTTGTTAAATTATAATTATTTTACAATTTTTTAGTTACAATTCTTCAAAAAATACAAAATAATATTTAAAAATAATTTTTTAAAGTGAGAAAATAAAATGCTTTGGAATATAAAATTTATTTTCAAGAAATTTGAGAAAATTTCATTTTTTTTTCATGTTTTTCTAAATATTTTCGGGAATTCAACTATTTGTAAACAATTTTAATTACTATTTTTTAAAAACCTCTTCTTTCAGAATTTTTAAATTAAATTTTTCAAATTTCATTAATTTTTATTTAATAAATATTTGAATACTTATTGCTATTTATCTGTCCTCAAGAAATTTTGAAATTAAAATTTCAAAATACTCTCAATGTAAAACCTTTTAAAATATAATTATTTTTACAAATTAGAACTGCAATTATTTTTCTGATTCTTGTAATATTTTCTAAAATTTTAACTGAAACTCCTTTTCAAATCAATTCTTATTAGAATGTTCTACGAGAATTCATTTATTTAAATTTTATACAAAAGTAAGTGATAAAATTGTTGATTATTAAATATTATTTCTAAAAATTGCAACTGTAACTCTGCTTTCAAATTTTTTTTGTATTTTAAAATGAAAAAAAGAAAATTCTTAGACTTTTCAGATTTTCAATAGTTTGATATTTTTTTAATACTCAAAAATTAATTTATTTAATCAAAAATATTAAGATATTTTTAAGTTATAATAACTAGAATTATTTTTACGATTTCTACACGAGTCGTTCAAATAATTATTTTTTTTTGATTTACAAAAAATGTGTCCAAAATATTATATTTTTTAAAAAGTGAAGAATTTTCATTAAATTTCAAAAAGAAAATTTTTTAAACTAACATTGGTCGTAGTAGTTATGTTTATCTAAATAAATAAAATTACTATAATTTAATTTCAAGTGAATTTTTATTCAATTAAATGGTAAATCTATTAATTAAAAATTAAAAAGAATTTATAAGTGGATTTATAAAAAAAATTTGATCATTTTTATTTATTCATTCTTTCTGTGAATAAAAATGAGAACAAATGATTACTTTTTCAAAACACAAAGAAAAATTGCTTTAGAAAGAAAAATTAGTTTTCGTATTGTGAATGTGTCAATGAAAAACTTGTTCAATCGAAAGAAAATCCCAAAGAGTGTTACATAAAAGTGATGCTAATAAAAAAGAAAAAACGTGGCTTATTATTATTATTATTATTGTTATAGGTTCTGGATGCTTTTATTTGCGTTATGCGGTGGTCGAGTGGCACGCGCGCAGCCCTCTCTCTCTTGTGTAATTCAATCGGGTTATTTAGAGACAAAGAATATACATGAAACGAAGAAGAGGGATCTCCTTGATGCGAAGAGATACTCTTCTGTCTCTGTTCTTAATCCTCGAAAAACTGTTACAAATGAAACGGTAAACGTGTAAAATGCCAAGCTAATCTTGGCCATACAAGCACTCTTCAAATTATATATACAAAAATTTATTTTCATAGCCGTCCTCCTCCCCCTTTCTCTCTTTTTCTTCGACATGCAGATGCAAAAAGAAAGAGTAACCCTTTTTCAAGAAAAAAAGAAAAAGAAAAAAAAAGAATTGAAATTCGATACAAAAGATAGATATTTGAGTCATCTCGTATTTTCTTCACACGTGTTCGCAGTGAAATAAGCGGGGGAATTTTAATTATGCCGTTAAGTTAATTAATTACTTTAAATTGTTCGATATTCGGAATTTCAATATTTTTTCTTATTTATCTATTTTTATTTATTTATATTCAATGCAATTTTAATCAAAATTTCTCGAAAGAATTCCAACATTTTAAAAAAGATTTAATAAAATGCTGCATATGAATTCAATTATTTCCAAAAGTTTTAACCCTTTGAGGACCAAATTTTTTCTTAAAAAATCGCGATTTTTGATTTTTAAGCAAACTTTTCAGGAACAGTTATTGATGATTTTTATTTGAAGACCAGTGTATGTCATACGAAATTTTTCAGACTTTGTGAAAATTATTGTTTCAATATTCAGTTTTGAAAATTAGGAAATTTATACACGAGTTAATAAAAAAATGTTCATGTTGCCTAAAAGCAACACTGGTCCTCAAAGAGTTAATAATTTTCTTTTTGAAAGAATTCAATTATTTCCAAAAAAGCGATTATTTTCATAAACAAATAAAATTCTTCGAAACAATTCAATTATTTCTGTGAAATTAAATTATTTAAAATTTTTAAATAGAATTTTAATAAAATTTGTCCAAAGAATAACATTTTTTTTCAAAAATTTTAATGAAATTCTTCAAAACAATTCAACTATTTCTGAGGAATTCAATTATTGTCAATACAATTTTAATAAAATTTCTTGCAGATATTCAATTATTTTTTAAAATTCTAATAAAACTTTTTGCTTCAATTCAATTATTTTATAGAATACAATTTTAATAAAATTTCTTGCAGATATTCAATTATTTTTTAAAATTCTAATAAAACTTTTTGCTTCAATTCAATTATTTTATAGAACTCTTCGAAATAATTTAATTATTTTACACACAATTTTAATCAAAATTTCTCGAAAGAATTTCAATAGTTTTAAAAAGATTTAATAGTATTTTCCGCATAAATTCAATTATTTTGAAAAATTATAATAAAATTCTCCCAGATTTTGCTAGATATGTATGACCTAATTATTTTCATAGATTATAAATTTTTTTGAGAATTCAATTATTTTCAATACAACTTTAATAAAATTTCTGTAAAGAATTCAATGATTTTTAAAAATTATAATAAAATTCTTTGTTAAAGATTTAAATTATGTATAAAAAAAACTCATTCATTTTCAAAAGTTTTAAAAAGATTTAATAGAATTCTAAGAATAAATTCAAGTATGTATTCTCAAAAATTTTGATATTAGTCTTTTCGAATGTCTTGCAAATATTAAATTATTTTTTTAAATTTGAATAAAATTCTTTGCGTAAATTCAATTATTTTCAAAAGTTTAAATAAAATTGTTTAAAAAAATTCAATTTTTTCAAATAATTTTAATTAAATGAAGTAGAAGAAAGAAGGAAAGAATGGAGAATTTTCATTTAAATTCTGTGTAAGAATTAAATGACTTGAAATTTAAAATTATAAAATTTTAAAAAATTGTAACATTTAAAATAAAATAATTTTTAAATTTTTCTGGCAATAATACTGTATTACAAAACTTTTCCTCTAAATCTTAATTGGTAAAACATTAACAAATTTGAATATATGTAGAAAGAAAAAAATAATATGAATTTTTGAAAATTAATTTTTATTAATTCTGCATAGAAGAAGACATTAAAATAAATAAATTAAATTTATTTTTTAATTTTATTTTTTTGTGATTAAAATAGTTTATAGAAATGAAACTTGCGGTAAAAATGAATGTTTAAAAAATTTGGAACTTTCAAAAATTACTTACTAAAATAAAAAACAAAAATATAAATTAATATTTTAAGACCTTATAAATATTTTTTGAATACATGACCCAATATCTATATTAATAATCGTTGTATTCCGGTAATTTGTTCGTAGTTTGAAGTTATTCAAAAAATTTCTTTAATTTATTGAATATAAAATCGATTTTGTTCATAATTGTTGTAATTAATAATTTTACTATTAAAATTTTATAAAAATGATTGAAGAAATTTATTAGAGTTTTTTGTAAATAATTTAATTCTTCTTAAGAATTTCATTAAATTTCGTAAAAATAATGTAATTTTTTTTAATGATTTTAATTGTAAATTATGAAAATAATTGAAATCTACAACGAATTTTATCAAAAACCTTTTTAGAATAAAAATAATTTAATAATTGTTTCAAAAGAATTTTATCATAATTTTTGAAAATAATTGAATTTTTTGGTAGAAATTCATTAAGAATTTTGAAAATAATTGAATTCATGGAAAAATCTCATTCAAACGTTTAAAAATAATTAATATTTTATTTATTTAAATGTATAAACGGGCATGAAAAGCCCTTTATAAATAATACTAGAGAATAGAATAAAGAACTGTCATTATTTTTAAAAAAATATAATTGATATTTTTAGTTTGAGATTAATTATTGTAATTATTAAAATTGAATTCCTGAGAAGAATATTATTATTTATAAAAAAATTATTTAATTCTTGCGATGAATTTTACTACTTATAAATAATTGAATTGTTTCGAAGGATTTATTAAAATTTTAGAAAACAATTGGATTCTTTCGAAACATTTTATAACGAATTAAGAAAAAATTGAATTCTTTCCTGAAACTTTATTGAAAATAATTGAATTTTTGGAAAGATTTTACTATTTAAAAAAATAATTGAAACTTTAGGGATCTAAAAAGGAGTTTTTTTTAAATAATATTGTCTTATTGTTGCTTTTTTATTTTTTAAATTACGATTGTTGATTTTATTAAAAAAATTATAATCGAATTTTTTGTATTGGAATACTTGATCTATAAAAATAAAATCTATTAAAATTGAATCTATTTTTCTTTTCTAGAGGAACAGTGAGAGATGAAATATAATTTAATAGTTGATTTATAATAAAATTGAATCTATTTTTTTTTCTTTCAGGAACAGCGAGAGATGAGGGCAATGTTCTGAAGGGAAAGTTAAACGACATTGCAAGTTAAAAGAGAGGAGTCATAAATGAAAACTGTCTCCGAGTTGTGTGTGCTGCAAGCATTAATTTCGATGTCGAAGAGAGGTACACCAACCCCCAAGATGGCTGCTGCCGGGCGTATCGACGTTTAGCTTTTGCAGGGTTTCCCAGAGGTAAGCTCATCGGAAGTTGAGGGTCTTCCCTCCCCTAAAATTGCCCCTCCTTGTTCACTTCCACTCACTTCAAAACAAAGAAACACACGTAATTAAATTTCCCCCCTCTCTCTATCTCTCTCTCTTTCAACTTTATTTTTTTTTCTTTTTTTTTTCAAATTAATAGCCGGAACCATTTTGAGATTCACACTTTTCATCTCTCCATTTACACACATCTGCATCCCTTAACAGTATATTTTCTTTTCTTTTCTTTTCTTTCTTTGACCCTTGTCAATTCGAATTTTCAAGTTTACAATGAACGAAATTTGATAGCAACCCCAAATGCAATATATTGTTTCAAACCTTTGAAAAAATGACGAATCTTGTAATTGAATTCTTCGAAATTTATTTTCTTAGGTGTCCTTCTGTCATTTTTTGATTGGGAATATTTTTTAGCTTTATCACTAACTATAAATAATAGAAATTCGGATTTTAATAATTTCATTGTTGTTTTTATTTTGAAAATCCTATTTCAAAATTATCCGATTTTTTAATCGAAATTCATTTTTTTCTTCAAAACTTCTCAGAAATTTAATATTTTAATTTAAATTTTTAAAAATAATTTTCAGAATTCATTTCAATATTTTTTACACTGTCAGTTATTAAATGAAAATATTTTAGTTCAAAATTGGAAAAATATTCGAAATCATAGGCAAAAATTTTGCTTTGATTAATTAAAAGTTAAGAATTTAAAATTATCTGACTATTCAATCTTAGTTAAAAAATTATCATTTTCATTGTTTAAATACTTTTTTTTGTAACAATAATAATAAATAGATATATTAAAAGCATAATAAATATAAATTCTTATTAATTCAAAACTTTCAGTTTTAATTACAAAACTATAATCTCCTTCATTTAAATACTTCTTGACAACTGCAATTGTATTAAAAAAAATTAAATCAAAATTATCCTAAATATTTAAATTAAATCTAAATTTTCAGTCTGATTGCAAAATTATAATTTCTATAAATTTAAGTATTTTGTAACAATAATTACAACAACTATGTCAAGAGTATATAAATAATTTAATAACAGATAATAATATAAATATATTTATCGTAATTAATAAAAATAATAGAATCAAAGAATTTGATATAAATTTGACCAAATGAAACATAAAATTTTCAAATTACTAAAAGAAATAATAGAAGGAACCTAATTTTACTAGCGAAGCGCAAACAAAATCGTAAATTAAGTAATAAATTATTTATTAAATATATAAATTATTATTAAACTATAAATTAATTACCTTTTAGTTTTTTATTAAAAAGTAAATTATATAATATATGAAAAATAAATAAAATTTATACATATTCATATTTTAATATATATTAAATTTTGTAAAAGTATTTTACAAGTTGAAATTGCGACAAAGCGAAATTTTGAGATAAAAAATACAAAACTTTAAAAAAAACTTATGTGAAATTTAGTAAAGTTATATTAGAATTTAATTAATATTCTGAATATTTGATATAATTGTACTAAATTTCAAATAAGTTTCTGTAAAGTTTAGTATATATTTTATATCGAAATTTCGCTTTGTCGCATATTTTTCCAGATTGTAAAATGTTTTTTCTAAATTTAACATTTATTTTCTCTCCGTGTAATTAAATAAAATAGCGAAATATTCGGAGAAATAAAAATACACATTCTACAAGTTTCAAAGAGAAATTTTTAAATATTTATTACTTTTCAAAATCTACACATAAAAATTTTGCCGACATTATTCATTGAGCAACGAATAAACATAAAATATTTGCCAAAAAAATCTTTGTTTTATATTTTTTAAGTTAACAATAATAATCACTAAATAAAGAAAAAGAAGTTTTGCTAATTATGCACGAAATTAAAAATAAAAAATAATGAAATATTAACTATCTACTTTATAATATTATTATTTTTGTGCTTCCGAACGCAGGAAACATTTTTTTTTTCTATAAAGATTGCATCTCTCTCTTTTAAAAAAATAATATTTTCCTTGTTTTAATCTCAGCCATTCAGTTTTTTCCTCTTCATTTTTTTTTGTACATTTTTAAATTTCTAAAATTTATCGAGAAAGCCCAAAATAAAAAATTTGTTTATGTACATTTCACGCGAAATAAAATAAATATCGCAAGAATTTGCACACGAGGGAAAGAGTAACATGAACCCTCAACTGATTCCAATGTGCGTGTCTTCTTTGAGCATTCCACGAACCTCCTGCAAAGAAAATTTCAAACAATTAATAATAATTAAATATTATTTACTGGCATTCAAATTTATAGTATAAAAATTATATTATTTACTGTTTTATATTTTTAATATAAAATTATTATTTAATAATATTAATTTTTTTATTTAACATAAACAGTCAATAATAATAATATTTACAATAATAATAATAATAATATAATATTAAATATTATTTTCTGATATTAAAATTTATTAACAATGGTTCTTCACAAAGAAAAATTTTGACAGTAAATTGCATTTTTTGGTCCCTTTTAAATAATAATAAAGGTAAAATATGAGTAATTAAACAAAACAAAATACCAATAAATAAAATAAAAAAGAAGTAAATAAATAAAGAAAATAAAATATAAATAAACATAAAAAGAAATCTTGTATATTAATAATCGTTGTATTCCGGTAATCTGTTCGTAGTTTGAAGTTAGTTGTTTGCTTTATTGTTTCCTATCTTTAATCTTTTTAAATATTTTTTTAAAAAATATTTTCAATTATTAAGTTAATGTATTGCAAATCATTGAATTCCTGCAAAGAATTTTATCAACAAATTTGAGAATAATAGAATTCCTTCGAAGAATTTTATTATTTATGAAAATAATTGAATTTTTGCGAAGAATTTTATTAAAATTTTTCAAAATCCTGATTAAATTTTTTTTAAGAATTTCTTTCAAGTTTTTAAAATAATCGTGTTTCTTAATAATTGAAATTAAACATTTTATTATTGAATTTTATTAAAGTTTTTAAAAAATAATTAAATTCTTCTCAGAATTTTATTACAATATTGAAAATAATTTAATTCTTTCGAAGAATAGATATTATTAAAGATTTTGACAGCAATTGAATTTTTACAAAGATTTTTTTTAATTAATTGAATATACTCGATTTTGTTAATAATTGTAATTAATAATTTTTACTATTAAAATTTTATTAAAACTATTGATAGAAAATTAAACTCTTTTAAACAATTTTATTAGAGTTTTTGTAAATAATTAAATTCTTTTGAAGAATTTCGTTTAGTTTTTTTAAACAATGTAGTTTTTTGATTAATTTGAATTAAACATTTTTAAAATAATTGAAATAAACAAAGAATTATTTTCAACTTTTTAAAATAATCGTGTCTGTTAATAATAATAATTAAATATTTGATTATTAAAGTTTATTAAAATTGCACTGAAAATAATTGGATTTCTGAGAAAAATTTTATTATTTATAAAAAATAATTTAATTTTTATGATGAATTTTACTACTTATAAAAATAACACAGTGCAACACATAAAATGTGCACTAAGTTTTGACTTCAGTTTCTGAAAGTACTTATCGAAAAAGCTAGCAAAAACCTATTTCAGTTTTGCTAGATTAGCTCGGATTTAAATCTTATCGACATTTGAATTTTTTTTGAATTTTCACATTTTTCAGTTTTCTGATACGGGCTGATGGGAACACTGGCTATAAAAAGTTTATTAAAAAAATTCGCAATGGTCAAAATTTGAAAAGCAATAATCCCTCTTTAATTAGAGAGAAAGAAAAAAAAATTTGGTCGAAAATTGTTCCAGTTACGAATTTTTTTTTGGCTTGTTTACATTTAAATTGATTCGAAGGATTTATTTAAATTTTAGGAAATAATTGAATTCTTTTGAAATATTTTAGAACGAATTAAGAAAAAAAATTGAATTCTTCTATGAAATTTTATTGAGAATAATTGAATTTTTGCAAAAATTTTACTATTTAAAAAAATAATTGAATTATTTTGAAAGATTTATTAAAATTTTAGAAAATAATTGAATTCTTCTGCCAAATTTTATAACGAATTAAGAAAAAAATAATTAATGAAAATTTTATTAAACAAGTTGTAAATACAGATGTTCATTACATGAACATTTTGCTTCCTCTTTACGATCAGCAAAAAAAATTTGCTTCCTCGTGGAGAAAGCATTAACAATAAGAATATTTAATTTTTAAATAACTTTTAATACAATTTAACATTTATAAAATAAAGTGCATTCGTCTTAATAGAAAGAATAAAATTTTCTTAAACAGTAATATGAATCTAAATACATAAAAAAAATTTTAGTAAAAAAGTGAATTTTTCAAATTTGATTGTAATTAATTCTATATTTTTCAATAGATTATATACTTTATATACATCAATCGATACGTCTTGGTGCAAAGAATAAGATTTTAGAAATAAATGAGTAAGATTTTCTTATACGGCAACATAATTTTGCGAAAAGCACTCATTTTTTGATAAAAACGCGAATTTTTCAGCTTTAATTGTGATTAACTCTGCAAATTCTCATACAATTTATACTTTTTATATACCAATCGATTCGTCTTGATGCAAAGAATAAGATTTTATTATTTATTAACTTCAATAACCACCTTAAAAAAAATTTTTTTTAGAAAAAAGTCAAAAAAATTTTTTTTTTTGAGAATTTTTTAAAGTCTATCAATCCATTTCGAGATATTTTTAGGATAAATATACCTGGTAAATTTTAGCCAAATTCGTTAAAACCTCTTCGAGTTATCGTGTTCACAAAAATCGGGATCCACACACACACACACACACACACACATACACACATACACACACACACATACATACATCCGGACAATTGTTCAGGGTCTTATATAACATAGTCCCATATAGAAGAAAATTTGTTAAAAGGATTTTTAAAAATTTTGTAAATTAAACGACTACAAAGCTTCCTCACGAGGAAGCAAAATAATTGAATTTTTGCAAAGAATTTTACTAAAATTTTTTTAAAATTTTAGGAAATAATTGAATTCTTTCGAAGAAGGGAATTTCACTTACTGAGGCTCTCCCTTCTCCGTTTTTGCAATAATTTTGTGAGGAAATTATTTTATTGAGGATTGAAATTGAAGTAATTTGAGGTTGAGACATTTTTTAGTTCAGCTAAAAATGCAACTTTTTAACTTTTGTTTTTCAATACTTATTTAAAAAATTACTTGCAAATTTCGAGAATACTACTTATCAGCACGAATTCCCCTAATTATCCTGATAAATCCGAACGAGATACCTCAAATTATTTAGGAGTTAGACGACACGCGGGAAAACACTTTTTTGAGGAATATTTTCCCACATGCCCTTAATGAATAAAATAAAGTTAGAATGCAAATAAAATTTCTTGAGTAGAAAAATAAATTTTGAACGCACCTGCAATCTTCGATAATGTCCCTCTTTCCTGTCAACCTCCTCCTGATCACAATTTATCGAAATCTTCTCTATTCCTTCTGAATTAGGATCCAACGGTCCCAAATTCCATTTTCCTTCGCCGTCGAATTCCAATAATAAACGATGATATTTAGCGAGCGACGAGACTCGATGTGTAATTGTTAAAAGTGTAATGCCACGTTGTTTTGCAGTCTCATATAGAGTCCCTTCAGCCTCGAGACTAACGGCACTTGTGCATTCATCCAATAATGCATATTGAGGCGCATGATAAAATAAACGAGTCATTGCCAATCTTTGCTTTTCACCGCCCGATAATGTTGAATCCCAATCGCCATGGGCATCTAAACCATCAGCTTCTCTCTCGACAAGTCCCTTTAAATCGACAAGATCAAGAAGTTTCAATAATTCCTCATCCTTTGATTCATTCTTTTTGCATTCCGCGGGATATGTGATTTGATCCCTTAAACAACCCACAGTCATATACGGCTTTTGAGGTATATAAAATAATGCTGGCCTTCCATTTCTCACTGAACATGTCTCCGATGGACGAATCAATGTTCCCTTATAGACCGGCCACAAACCGGATATCACTCGAAAGAGGGAACTCTTCCCGCATCCGTTTGGTCCAGTGATTATTAAATGGTCGCCCGGTCTTATCTGTATTTTCAAAACAAACATTTTTTATTTTATTCAATAATTCATTTTTAAAAAGTAGCTATCGAAAAATTAAACTTGGCGACTAAAGAAACTCGTTTTAGACACATCACAAAAAATTTACAATTGAATTTCCAAGAAGAAATTTATTACTTTTGAAAATAATTGAATTCTTGTGATGAATATTGTTATTTATGAAAATAATTGAATTTTGCAAAGAATATTATTAAAATTCCTCAAAATAATTGAATTTTCGAGAATAATTTTGTTATTTATTGACAAATAATTGAATTCTTTCGAAGAATTATTTATGTAAAAAATTGAATTCTTGAGAAGAATTTTATTAAAATCTAAAAAAATAATTGACTTCTCTTGAACAATTTTATTAAAATATTTTTAAATAATTGAATTCCTGTTAAAAATTTTAATATTTTTGTAAATAATTGAATTCCTTCAAAGAATTTAGAAAAAAACATATTTTTTCAATAATTGATTTTTTCGAGGAATTGAAATTAAATTTTTAAGAATAATTACATTTCTCAATCAATTCCTGTAAAATTGTATTAAAAATTATTGAAATTCTGCGATGAATTTTATTATTTATGAAAATAATTGAATAGTTGCTAAGAATTTTATTAAAATTTTCAAAAATTATTAAATTCCTGAGAAGAATTTTATTATTCATGAAGATAATTGAATTATTGCAGAAAATTTTATTAAATTATTTAAAAAGAGTTGGATTTCTTTGAAAAATTTTGTTATTTTTGTAAATAATTGGATTCTTTATAAGAATTAATTATAAACATTGTTTTAAATAATTGTTTTTTTAGAAATATAATAAATATTATGAAAATTTTATTTGTGAAAATAATTAAATTTTTCTATTAATTAATTTAAAATAATTGAATTTTTATGAAAAATGTAATTATTAGTGAAAGTAATTGAATTATTGTGAAGAATTGCACTGAGAGACCTTTGGGTCAGCAGCAGACTTTCGATAGGCTGCTACTGACCATTTTGGAGGAACGCTATAGGACTATACTTTTGGGTTGCTGCGGTAAAATCTTGGGCGCGTGATAGTCCAAAACTTGTTTAGCTGCAAACCAAAGGCGGCATTCCCACTACTTCGGTGAGCTGCTCACCAACATTTGGGACTGTCACGCGCCCAAGATTTTACCGCAGCGCACCAAAACCAAAGTGGAGCTGCTGTCACATACGTTGTTCCGATACAGTCCCAAAGGTCTCTCAGTGTGTATAAAAATTTTGTTAAATAATTGATTTTTTCGAAATTTTTTTGGTAATGCTATTTTAAATTAATTAAATTCCTGTGTGAATTTTATTATTTATGAAAATAATTGAATTTTGAATGTATTCTATAAATTTTTTTTTAAATAATTGAATTCTTTTGCGAAATTTTATGAAAATGCTACATATTGAAAATAATTGAATTTCGAATATTTTTTGAAAATAATTGAAACGTTTTAAAAAATTTGATTATAATTTTCGAGAACAGATTTTTTATTTCCAGTATTAGCAAATTTAAAATAGTGGAAATTCGAAAAAAACAGAAATAGTAGCATAACGTAAAAAAGGTAGTAAATAGAAGGTTTTAGTAGATGAGTGCGAAGCCTGTAAGAAGAGAAAAAAGGGAAAGAAAGAAAAAGAAAAAAAGTGAAATAAGGAAAGAAAGAAGAGTAAAAATTTTCCCAAGAGTTTGAAAAGAATAATTACCTGAATGTTGATTTTTGATACAATAACTTCGCAATTGGGTGTAACGATTGGCACATCCATGAGACTGATGCTGCCATCGGAACTTTCACGAACGATACCTAAGGAAATGAGGTGTCTTATTAAATGGAAATCAATGCGAAAAAAAATTTTTTCAACTGTATCATTGAGTGTAAAAAAAGGGAGGGAAAAGAACAGACTTGCCTTTAATGACAGGCGTGCCATCTTGGAATTCTATAACTTTTTCCACTGGCACTGACACGCTCCCATTACTCATTCTAGATTGACCACTTGTTACGACGTTTCTACAATATTTGCACAAAGCCGCATCTCTAAATACGTCCAACATTTCACTAACTCTTGCTACATATCCTGCCAGAGCGACTAATTCCTGAAAAAGAAACAAAAAATTACAAATATACAATAATATTAGAAATCAAAATAACAGAAAAATTTATTTAAATCATTTTGAGTACATTTCAAGTATTAAATAAGTATTGAATACCCAATTAAGGTTAAATTTAAATGTAATCTATTGTTTTAAGAATTAATTAAAATTTCTACGAGGAAAAAAATTATTTAAAAAAAAATTACCAAATATTAGAAAATTTTAAATATTAAAAAAAAAATTATAATCAAAATTTTTTAATGAAACAATGAAAAATTGAATGAAATAATTTTAACAACTTTAAGGAAATAATAAGTTTTAAATTATGCTAAAGTAATGGAAAATTAAAATGTAAATCGTTGGAAATTTTTTCAAAATTATAATCAAATTATTAAACAAAATATAAAATGGTAAAGAATAAAATTCTTAAAAAAATATAATTTAACATGATTAAAAAAATTACCAAGACCTACTGGAAAATGAAAATAAAATATTGAAGAAAAATTATAATCAACAATTATTTTTAATGAAATAATAAAACAATGGAAAATTGAATGAAATATTTTCATAATTTTAAGGAAATAATTAACAAAAAATATGTCGGTGAAGTTCACAATGTTCATAATCAACGATTTAGAAGAAAATAATCGATAATATATTTCTATTTAAATTTTTATATATTTTTGTTTACTAATGTTCTTGAAGTTTTGAACGTTCAAATGAACGACGACATTTTTTTACTTCTTTTAATATTTGTATGTAATTTTTTAATCAACAAGAAAAAATGTTTTTATTAAAGAACTTAATTCTCGAATAAATAATTGTTTATTTTGGACTATTTTTCTTTTGTGTTTAATAATTCTTAATCATTAGTCTTAATTTTAATTCTAATATTTTAGCAGAAAAATAATTTAGTTCATTTAAGCTTTCAAAATTTTAGGAAAATGTATAAAAAATATTTTGCAAAATTTTTTAACCAATAATTAAAAAAAATTTTGTAAACAAAACACTATTTTTTTCGGCAAGAAGAATATTTTTCTTTCAATCGTGGATTATAAACATTGTGAACTTCACTGAGGTCTAAAGATTACAATAAAAATAATTAAGAATAAAAAAAAAACCATTTACAATTTTGAAAAAAATATAAAATTACTCCAAAATATTCATGGTACCTTATAAGAAGACATGAGTCTCTCAGCAGCATCCGCGCCGGATGATAGGAGATTTTTCGATGTAGTCAAATACCCTGTTCTTTCACTCACCCCTGTAAAACAAATTTTTCTAATTAAACACTAATTAATATTTCGAAAAAAAATTAATATTTAAGCACCAATTAATTATTCAAGTTATTCAATTAAGAAATTAATCCATAAAAATACATCTTACAATTTTTTTTAAACAAGCCAAACATTATGATTTTGAAATTAAATTTAAAAAAATTGAATGTAAACTTTATATTTATAATTATCAAATTCTATTTATATAATATATTAACAATTAAATTATTTACAAAAATCAATTCTTTAAGAAATCCTTTTGTCAAATTCAACAATTTAAAATTCAGTTTTAAACAATTCACTTTCCTAAATTCAATTTTATTTATTTATTCAAAAAAAATTTATTCAATTTATTCAAAAATTCTTTTGAAAAGTTTAGTTAAAATTGCATTAAAAATAATTTAATTCTTGTAAAAAATTTGACTTCGTTTTTTTGACTTCGGTTACAAAAAATTAATTGCATTTTTTCGAAAAATTGAATTAAAATTGTATAGAAAATAATTTGAATTTTTGCAAAAAAAAATTATCTATGAAAATAATTGAATTCTTGAGAAGCCGTTTATTAAAATTAGGTATTAAAATTAAATTTTGAATCTGTTTAAATGTTTAAAATAACTAACTTAATATTTTTATTTTGTTAACATGAAAAGTAATTGAATTTTCAAAAAGCTGAATGCAAAGAATTTAATTATTAAAAACAATGCAGATGGTAAATTAATTTAATTTTTAAATTTCTGAATATAAATTCAATAAATTTGGTGTTAATTTAAATTTTTTTAAATTTAATATTTGATGTTAATTTCTAATTTTAAAAGATTAATATTTAATAATTAGCAATTAATTTTCTAGCTGTTAGATATTTGTTAATTACAAGAGTGATCATTAAGTTTCAATTCCCGGTAAAATATTCATTTCAGTATATTTTAAATTTATTTTAATTTTTATTTTAAAATATGCGAGTAATGAAATAATTTTATTATCAAAACGTAAAGAAGAGATTATTTTCCAAATATTTTGCTATTTTTACGCAGTCTTAAATGATTAAAATTTTAAACTATAAAATCGTGAGAAAAACAAAACAAATAACTAAGAAGGTATGAAACTTCTAAATCATTAAAATTTGAGGTTTTTCTAGAAATTAATGATCACTCTCCATATATTAATATAATTACTAAATTAATATTTTTTAACTATTTGAGTGTTTAAATCTAAAATTTATAAAGTTTTATAGTAAATTACTTTTCAGCAAAATTTTGAAATTTGTAATTAAATATATATTTTAATACAAAACATTAAACTGAGTATTTAGAATCTAAAATTAATAAAATTCTCTAGATTATTTTTCAGCCAAATTTTTAAATAATAAACAAAATAAATATATTTTTAAATATACAAAATATTGAAAAATAAACTATTTGAGTATTAAAATCTGACATTTATAAAATTAATTAATTAAATATTTAATATAAAATTTTGTATATTTAAATGTACAATTATTTTTCAGGAAAATTTTGAAATAATAAAACATTATTTCTGCCAGTGCCGTTCAATCGCTATCTTTCTCTCTCTCTCACCATCGCCGTTATTTTCTTGCATAAGACTTGAAGATTTGGTCCGCGAGGTGTACAGGATGGGAAGGGCAATAACGAGAAGTCCAGTTCCCGACCACACGTATTTCATGAGAAGTTGCTCGAGCATCACGTACCATAATTTAAGGGCAAGAATTCTTCTTAAATGAACGGTGAGCGATTTGTATGCTTTATTAAGATAACGATGCTCCGCCTGATGTCCACCATAAAATGCAATTTCTTCGGCGTGTGCACTAATTCGTGCATGTGCCTCCCTCAAATGTCCACGACGCGATGCCTCCTCGGCGACAAGTTGACCAAATCTTGGCGATGCCAAACGTAACACCTGGCCCGTTACACTAATCACAATTAGTGACAGCAATGGACCTTTTTTTATTTCAACAGGTAAAAAAAAAATTAATCAACAATTAGTCTCATTTTCTTCATTATTAAACAAGGTTTATTTATTAGAAATTTAATAATAATTAGCAAATAATTATTATTATTATCTTGAAAATTACAAAATTTTTTATTTTCAAATATAAATTTTTGAATAATTTCTTAATCAAAATTTAAAAAACTCACTTATTAAGTACATAATTAATCATTATTGTTTATTTTTTCAAAATTTTTTAAATAATTCTTCGCAAGAATTCCATTATTTTCATAAATACATAATAACAATCTTCGGAAGAATTCCATTATTTTTATAAATAGTAAAATTGTTTGCAAAATTTCAATAAAATTTCACGAAAGAATTCGATTATTCTCTAAAATTTTAATAAATCCTTCGCAACAATTAAATTATTCTTTTAAATATTATAAAATCTTTGCAAAAAATTCAATTATTTTCAATAAAATTTAACGAAATAATTCAATTTTTTTCTTAATTCGTTATCAATTTTTTCAAAAGAATTCAATTACTTTCTAAAATTTTAATAAATCCTTCAAAAGAATTCAATTATTTTTATACTTTTTCGAGAAATTTTATTAAAACTGTATTGAAAATAATTGAATTCATACGAACCACTTTATACTTTATGAAAAAATATATTATAATACTAAATAAATAAAAAAAACAATAAAATTTGTAAAAATAAAAATTTAATTATTATTTCGAAGAAAATTTTAATTCTTTCGAGGAATTTAATTAAAAATATACTGAAAATAATTGAATTCTTCTAAAGAGTTTTATTGAAATTTTTAAAAATAATTCACACCTTTCGAGAAATTTTATTAAATTTTTTCAAAATAATTGACTTTTATCAAGAAATTTTATAGAAATTGTTTTAAAAATAATTTAATTCTTGCCAAAAAGTTTACTTATTCAAATTTTCGAAAATAATTTAATTTGTTTTGAAGAAAATTAAAATTCTTCCTAGGAATTTAGTTAAAATGGTTTTAAAAATAATTGAACTTTGACAAAGGAATGTTTCAAAATTTTTGAAAATAATTAAATTTTTTCGAGGAGTTTCATTTAAATTATTGTATTGAAAATAATTAAATTCCTGCGAAGATAATTCAATTATTAATGAAAAATAATTGAATTGTTTTAAAGAATTTTATTAATCCTTTTGGAAATAATAATAAATAATAATAATTTGTTAGTTAAGTGAATTTTTAAAAATTGTGAATCTGAAATGATTCATTAATTAAAGTTGATCTTTGAAAATTAAAAAAAAATTAATTTACATATATTGATAAATATTAAATACTGCGTTTCGCTTGCGCAATATTTGCTAATTATTAATAATTAGTCAGAATTTTTAGTAAATTTGGTTAAAAAATTTACTTAATAATATAATACTTGAATAATTTTACTCATTAAGGGCATTTGAACCTTGATGACGTCACACATGCTTTGCACAATCTGTAACGTCATCAAGGTTCAAATGCCCTTAATATTATTAATAGTTTAATATTAATAGAGAAAATATATATTTTTCGTTAGGTTATTTTTTGTTAATATTAAAATTATGTTAATTAATATTATTATTCTTATGACTAGGTATCATTATTCATTTAAACTGAATGAATTACTATTTCAAATAATAAAATTGAATGGAATAGAATTTATTCATTAATACTACAGTTAACATTGTTTCGTACCCTTTAAAAGAATTGGATTCTATAAAAAAAAATTGAAAATTAACTCTAAAAATAGAGAGATATATTTTTAGAAATAATTTCGAGTTGAAATAAATTATTCGAAACTTGAAATATGCAAACAAAAATTGAGATAAAGAATTTTAGCATTTTAATCGTAACCTTGAATCACAATCATAATTGATTAGCATTTATGTCATCGACCAAGAGAATAAAAATAAGAAAAAGGAACACAGTATCAATGATCTTTGGAGCCTTTCAAACGGCATATTGTCAATTTATCGACAATCATTTTAATTGAGTAATACCGTTATTGAGTTCATTGTAAAATTTTATCCATATACTAATATCAATATTTCGAAAAACAAAATTGATTTGGACTTAAATGAATATTTTTCAAAAATCTGCGCTTTGATAATTAATAAAATGGTGGTTTTATAAAACTTTAATAATACAAAAAAGAAATAATAACATTAATAATAATAATACTAATAAAAATACTAATATTAATAATGATATTATTATTAATAGTCCGCACATTTTGGTTAAAGTCGAACTTCCGATTTTTACACTATTTAACATATTTAATATTTCATTTATTATTTTTTATTATTTTTTCACTACTATTACTTTGATTATAATAAACAAACAGTAAAATCAATTTCAATAGATTGTAATGAATAAACTCGAAATTGATTACAATTGATGAATGAAATAAAAATGAATAGAAATAATGAATTTTTTCTTTACCTGGCACAGTTCTCGCTCCCATTCGTGCCGAAAATGAAATAAGAGCAATTCCCACGAGAGCACAGTCCAATAGGGGTTTAGTTAAACTAGAATAAAGATGTGCGACGGAGCCTGCTAATTCTGAGAGATCATCCGTTAGTCTTTGTTCAGCTCCTCCTAAACGAGTATCAAGAGCAGATACTCGATAGTAGGTTTGCTGACTGAGGTACATCTTGTAAGCATACTCTACTAGTCGTTCCCTTCAAATATAAAAAAACCACAAAATCAAATTATTTTTTCTTCCTACAAAATTCACAAATAATAATACAAATTATTTACAATTAATGTATTATGACAAAAGATCAATCGATTTCTTTTCAGTGAGCTCCCTGAAATTTATTGATGTCGACGTTGAGCATCGAAACATATTTTTTCCACGAAACCGAAAATAGTCAGTAAATTTTTCCAAAGTTTTAGAATTAAAAAAGAACTCTTAAGAAGCTTTTTACTTCCCAAGTGAAGGAAAAAAGTGCAATTTGTTAAAATTTTGTCACTAAAAATAAGAAAAAATAGTTTCGATGCTGAGCGTCGACGCCAACTTCAGGGAACTTTTCAGTGAATTCAAATGAATTAATAATAAAATAAAAATAGAGTTTTTTCTTAAAAGAAATAGGGTTATAAAAAAGGGTTTTTAGCGCGAATATAATTTGAGAAATTTTATTAAAAAATTACTGAAAAAAGAGATTTTTAAAAAAACCTTAATTAGATTTTTTTGAAAAGAGTTATATTGGAACAATTGCAGTTGTAATTTTTAGAAATAGGTAATTAAATTTCAAAAGGTTTGGCATTGAAATTATCTGAAATTTCAGTTAAAGTAAATAAAAATAAGTTTTAAATAGTTATTTAAACAAAATTATTGCAGTTTTGAATAATTTAATGTAGAAAATTCTTAAAAAAAATCAAATGGGTTTTTGAAAAATTATAATTAAAAATTCTTCCCGAAAATAATTTAAAAAATTGAAACTTTTGTCTAATTATTTTATTGAAATGCATATTATATTTGAAAGAAATTTAATTTTATTACTTTTAAAAATTGTTTTGAAATATCATCGTATTTTTGATTTATTTATATTGCAAAAAATTATATACCTACTTTAAAAAATAGTAGATTTTCATTAAAGTTCAAAAATAAGAAAGTTTTTGTCACTATCAATGGGCCTTAAAATAATAAAATAATTATACCAAGGTACATTAATTTAAAAAAATAAAATCAAAATAAATAAAATAAACTGAAATTAAATTAACAATTTTGTTTATCTAATTAAAATCGTAAAGAATATATCCTTAAATTTAACATTAGATTCAATTAGTCAAGTGTAAAAAATTATAAATATTGTTCTTTAATCAAGTTACCATGAAGGTTTCAAAATAATAATGACAGTGTGAAACAAGTTTGTAAATTAAATTCTGAATTTGGAAATTTAATTAAAAAATATTTCTTAATAATTTTTAAAATACTGAAAATTTATTTCTTAATAATTCTAAAAAACAAAAAATTTATTTCTTAATAATTTTTAAAATACTAAGAATTAATTTTCTTAAAATAAAAAGTTCATTTATTTTCCAAAAACCAAAAAATTATTTGTCATCCATTATTCACTATTTTTCTAAAGACAAAAACATTATTTTCTAAATATTTTCAAATAAAAAAAGTGTTAAAAATTTTAATTATCGTTGAATATATATTAAATAAATAAATTCAATAGTAAAAAAAATATTAAAAACTTGTAAATTTTTGACAATATTTTAATTTCCAAAAGAAATATTATTTCTTTTTGTCTCCTGGGAATTTAAATAAAAAATTCATCAACTTTATTTTAAAGATAAAAAAAAATTCGGTAAAAAATAAATTAATAGTCATTTTAAGGACATTGACTGAATAAAATTATATTTCAAAGGTCAATAATTTATCCTTATTTTATTCTTTCTTTTTGTTTCTTTTTTTTCTTGTAAATGAATAGCAATTTTCAGATTACGTAATGCGTCTGATATCATAGAAAGAAATGATTCACATTTATTCATTATTATTCCATCTAATTGTCGATTAAATGAACTGGTGATTAATTTACCCTATATACATTGAATCCAAAGAGTAAAATGAATTTTTAACATCTTTTTTTATTCAAAACAGAGTAAATTGAGTTTTTTTCTGTTCAAATGAACGAAATATTCGTTTCTATTTAAATATTTTTAATTATTTAGATCATTTTGATTTCGAAACGTTGGAGTAAATCAATTTTTAAAAAATTAATTGTCCGAATGTATGGAAATAAAAAAATATCGTTCAATTCAGAGTTGTAAAAATTAGGAATATTTGGATAAATATAAAAATTATACCTATAAATAACAGGCTTCGCACTCAATAATTAATTTTAAAAAAGTAGCTTTGAGACTGAAAAAAGTGGCTATCGAAAAATTAAATTTGACGACTAAAAAACTCGTTTTAGTCGATTCAAAAAAATCACAAAAATTTCATTCTGTATTTTCCTGACATTTTCCTGATTTCGATAAAAAAAAATTCACTGTTTTTCTTATCCTGATAATAACTTCAATTCTAAATTTTTATAAAATTCAATTATTTTCCAAATTTTTAGTTAGAATTCTTGAAAAATTCGATTATTTTTAAAAATTATTTTTGAATGTAAAAAAAAATTTATTTATTTCAATTAAATTTGACAAAATTTCCAATTAATTCGAAATTTAAATAAACATTTTTAATTTTTAAGAGAATTTCCCTATATTCAAAAAAATTTAATTAAAATGAGATTCATTTTTTTATAATTTTTAAATTAAATTATTTTTACTGGAATAATTTTTGTTTAATAAATATATAAATACTTATTTATTTTCACACTGGAATTCACTTATTTAAATACAAAAATAAATAATTAATAGAATAATTGATTATTTCTTAAAATTGAATAAGAATTTTATCAACATTTTTAAAAATTATTAAATTCCCAAATATTTCTTTACAAATTTTGAAAATATTTAATTGTTTTGAAGAATTTCTTTGAATTTTCTTTAAATAATTGATTTTGTTAATAATTGTAAATAAAAAATTGTATTAAAATTTTTTTGACTAATTTTTTTAAATCTTTTGAAAATAATGTATTTTTTCTAATAGTTTAAAAAAAGAAATTTTATACGTAGGTACTTATATTTTAGGAAGAATTTCTCTCAATTTCTTAAAATAATAGTGTTTGTTAGTCATTGTAATTACAAATTTTATTAAAATTTTTAAAAATTGATTTTTTCGAGAAAGTTATTAAAATTGTATTGAAAATGATTGAATTCTCGCAATGAATTTTATTAAATTTTCCTGTGAAAATTTTATTAGTTTTAAAAATAATTGAATTCTTGCGAAAGATTTTTGAAATTTTGAATTGTTTCAAAGAATTTTATTAGAATTTTTGAGATTAATTATTCATTTATTTCAACTTAGCAGATTTAAATTTGTGCAAATTTTCAAACAAAAAAAAAAGAATAAAGTAGTTTTTATTTTCACAAATTTAAAAAATGTATCCAAATAGTAGGTAATCGTAAAAAACGTAGTAAATAGTAGGTTTTAGTAGATGCCTGAAATAAATAATTTAAATTGCAACTTCAAAGGAAAAAAATAATTCTACACTGATTGGAAAATTGTTTAATTGATTGATTAATTAACAGAGAATCGAAATAGAAATCTCACCTAAAACTAAGTGCTAGACGTCCCTCTAAATATCTAATTGCTGAATTAATAAAAGTGGCCGGAAATGCAATTGCAAACCATCGTGCCATCATAAAAAAGAAACCTCTGACATCCTTTAGGACAATTCTCTTGACAATTTGCCCCTCGAGTGTGGCTACATAAACAGAGAGAAAAGTCCTTGTGAGTAGAGCCAAGGTGGCACAGGTCAGCAAACCTGCTTCTCTCGTTCGCCATCCTGGAATCATTATTCTCAATAGTGCAATCAGCTGTTTAAAAAATACTCTATCAAGTCCCACTATTGATTTTTTCCCATTTTTCGTTTTATTTTCATTGTCAATATCATGACAATGTCGAATATGTTGTATGTCATTGTTTTCCTTTTCATTGTTCTTCGTTAATTGTTTTTTATTATTATCACCCGACACCTTTGCTTGACTCCATTTTGCACCAGCTGCAATATAGGGATAACCAATTTTCAATAGATAAAGTGCTGTCAATGTGCCGACAACACCTTTTGTTAAATATTCCTGACGTATTCCACATTTCGTTGATGTTTTGTCGATTAATTTTGAAAAAACAGAGGACATTTTATGTATTTGTCGTGATGAATTGTCCTTTTAGACGTTTCATCGATAAATGACAATACAAAATTTTTGATGATACATTAATGACAATTAAAACACAAAACACATGCAATTAATAAATCAACTAGAGACGCATTTCCTGGTATATGAATGGTTGCGCACTTAACCTCAAAATTCTTTCTTTACTTTTTATTATTAATTATTAAGAATCACGAATCAATAAATGTAGCATTTTTTTCTTGTGGTAAATTTGTTTGCACTTGAAGCACTTGTTTCTTTTTCTTTAAATTATTGGAATATTATTCGTTGTGCAGAAATCGCCGCTTTGCGAACGAACGAGCGAGCGAGCGTTTCACAGCGAACTGAGTAATCGAGAGTGGAGGAATCACTGTTGCCTCTTCCTCCACGAGTAGCCATTCTCCCCCACGTAATGCTCTGATATTCTACTTGATAGGAGTTCAACTCGTAACGAACACAAGTTTTGTTCTTTTTTCTATAATCTCTATAATTATAATATAATCAAAAATGTCAGAACTGATAAAATAATTGACCTTTATATTAAGAATTACCAACTTTATCTATTTGACATTTTTTGCCTTTTGTCTACCAAACCAACAATTTTATTTTTCTTTTCTTTTTATTTACTACTAGAACCTTTGTTGTAGAATATACACACAATTGACTTTACTGTCTTTCCGTCTTTCTTAACGGCTTTGTGTTTTTATCTCCATCTTTATTCTTGGAAATCAGCTGATCAGTTGACCATGACGTGACCGAGAACTCAAAAGGTTGCTACGCGCAGGAAAAATATGAAAAAACGAAAAAACTGGTATAATGCCTGTTATTTATATTAGTATTTATACAATGTCTGTTATTTTACTTTATATTTAGAAAAAAATACTTTTTATTTAAATCGTTTAAATCTTAATCACTGAATTAATGTGTTTATGAACTGAATTTAAACGATTTAAACTATTTAACCTAACCTCACTTTTTTTTGTTTATTTTCTTATGTCACATGCGCGTTTAAAAAAGCAAAAGAATCAAGAGTTTATCAAGTGAATTGGTACCTAATGTTTAAAAGTTAGGTTTAATATTCTATTTTTTAAAGAAAATTTTTGAAATATTTTTTATTTCGTTTTTACTTTTTATCAATGAAAATTTGTGCTTTTTGTTAATTAGTGCAAAATTTATTTTCCACGCTGCATTCACATTTATTCATGTAGTTTTTTTACTAACATCGATTTCCATTTCTAGTATTTAAATTCATTGATAAGGAAATCGTACCTGAATATTCAAATGAATAAATATTCATTGTCATTTGTCATTGGAATTATTACTTTGCGTTGTAAAAACAAGTCAACTGGATTATTTACATAATTGCAATTTTTTTCATTCTGCAATGTTAATAACCAGTCCATTAGTTTTTAATTTAATTAATATTAAAATTTTATTTATAAAAACAATTTTTATATTCTTATTCCATTTTTTACTTATTATTATAATTAGGTACAACTTTTTTTTATTTTCAAATATAAACTTCAATTTTTGAACAATTTCAGTATTCACTTATATTATGGAGTACATAATAAATTTATTATTGTTTATATTTTCAAAAATTTTAATATAATTCTTCACAAGAATTCAATTATTTTCATAAATAATGACATTCTTCGGAAAAATTCAATTATTTATTATAAACAATAAAATTTTTTGCATAAATTCAATTATTTCCTAAAATTTTAATAAGCCCTTCGAAACAATTCAACTATTTTTCTAAATAGTAAAATCTTTGCAAAAATTCACTTATTTTTAATCAAATTTCATTAAAATTCAATTTTTTCATAATTCGCTATAACATTTTTCAAAAGAATTCAATTTTTTTATAGATAGTAAAATTCTTTGAAAAATCCAATTATTTTTAATAAAAATGTCATGAAAGAATTCAATTTTTCTTTAATTTTTAATAATATTTTTCGAAAAATTCAATTGTTTTTTAAAATTTTAATAAATCCTTCAAAACAATTAATAAATTCTTCTCAGAAATTCAATTATTTTCAATACAATTTTTATAAATTTAATTAATCAAATATTTAATTATAATTATTAATAGACACAATTATTTTAAAAAGTTGAAAAAATTCTTTGTTTAATTCAATTAAAATTTACAAAATTTTCAATTGAAATTAATCAAAAAACTACATTGTTTAAAAAAAACTAAACGGAATTCTTCAAAAGAATTTCATTATTTACAGAAACTCTAATAAAATTGTTTAAAAGAGTTTAATTTTCTATCAAATAGTTTTTATAAAATTTTAATAGTAAAATTATTAATTACAATTATAAACAAAATCGAATATATTCAATGAATTGAAAAAATTCAATTTTATTTCAAAACCTTTAATAGTATCTATTCTTCGAAAGAATTTAATTATTTTTTATATTTTAAAAAAATTTGTTGAACGAATTAAATTATTTTTTAGAACATTGTAGTAAAATTTTAATAAAATTCAATAATTAAATGTTTAATTTCAATTATTAAAAAACACGATTATACATATTTTAAAAACTTGAAAGAAATTGTTCATAAAATTTAATTCAATGATTTTCAATATATTAATTTGAAATTTGAAAATATTCAAACTGCGAACGGATTATTAATATAGATTTTTTATTTAACAATGAAGATTAACTTTTGTATTACCTTTTTATCTATTTTCGTGGATCTATTTTTTTAATAACTTGGTTTAATTCATTTGAAAATTAGTTGATTTTTAAATTAATTAATTAATTATTAGATGTTATATATTATTTAAATAAAATTAATTTCATTAATAAAATAAAAAATGTACGAAAAATATTAAATGTTAATAATATTTTTTTTTGCAGATTAGAAAAAGAACGTGCGTGGACAATAAAAAGGAAAAAGTTGAAATATAATGGAGTTCTGTTGTCATATTGAAGAAGAGAAACTATTATGCAATATTTCAAGAGCACGTGGAAGAAATTGCACTCTAGGGTTTCGATTAATATGTGTGTTAAGTTGCAACGTCATAAGTAGTCGAGTCAGAGATCAAGCGGGATGATAGGGAAAGTGGTCTTCTTTTGGCTTATTTCAATGATGCAGTTTCACGTTTTGCATTGGAACAGAGAAAGTAAAAGGCATTCATCCATGCAAGTAAGTTTTTCTTCCTTACAGGAAATTTACACTTTCATTCTTTATTTTTAACTATAGAAAATTTGACTACACAATTATTAATCAAGTCAATCAAAATTTTACCAACAATCATTACGAAAAAATGTCTTGATTGAAATTCACATTTATAATCAACGATTTAGAAAGAAAACTATATTTCTTGTCAAATTTTTACAAATATAAAACATTGAGTTGAACGATCACTCAATGTTTTATATTTCAACTAAGTCGACAGGGTGATAAATTCAAATATTAATTTTTCAGTTTCTTTATTCACAATTTCTCTACCATTTCTAAACAGAAAATCCTTTTTTTTGACAGAAATTAAAACGAAAAAATTCTAAAACAAAATCTTTAAACAAAATATTAATTATTTTCGTTGTAAAAAATAAACATTTCTTTGGTCGTTTAGTATAAACGACGTTGTAAAATTCAATGGCGTGAAAAATGAAAAAAATTTTCAATGAGACCTCTTTGTTTTTTAAGAATCGTCACAAAAATTTAGACTAAATTTGAATTCGTGCTTAAAAAATATACTTTTTTTATTTTGTTTTTATTTTCTTCATAAAAATTACAGAGTTTTATATAATTATAAAGAAAATAATTTATTAAAAAAAAAAGTTGAGACAATTTTGAGTTTAAAATATTTTACTGAATATAAAATATCGTGGCTTTTAAAATAATTGGAAAATTTCAATTTTTAAAATGTTCAGAAAATAAACGTTGAATCATTGATAAGGAATTGTCGTAACTATGATTCATTGGATTTATTGTTAGCAAAGAACAATAAATTTGATAGCAATAGTTATTTAAAAGTAATGACAAAATAATTATGCAATACATTTTTTTACACAAAAATAATATAAAAATTTGCTTAGAAAAATATTTTATCTTTCAAATAATTGAATACAAACGTTTTGTGAACTTCGTCAAAGTACATTTTCTACAATTAGTTCAAATTTTTACTAATTCAGATATAAGTTATGTGATACTAATTTTCCAAGAAAAATTTATAATTCATCATACTATTTTTCTTTTTCTTTTTTTAAATGACATTACGAAAATATTTGAAATTTTTCGTTAAATATTTTATCTAAATTTTTGAAAATAATTGAATTCTAGAGAAGAATTTTATTACAATTTTTGAAAAAAACTTAATTTTTCCGAGAAATTTTATAAAAATTTATATTCCATGCAAAGTTCACAAGTTTGCGTCGAAGTTTGCAGCAAACTTGCCTACAAATAAAAATGTCACCCTCTTGGCAAGTTTGCAATGAAAACTTGAGGAAAATTTGCAGCAAACTTTCTAAAATACCTAAAAAATTAAAAAAAAAATTTTTTTTCAAATTGCATATATTTTGATGAACGATGCCTTCCCTGTAGAGAAGATGACTAAAATATAGTGCGCAGCTCTAGATGTCTTAGTAAACTACTGCGCATACATTTAAGTTTTTGCTATTTGGCGCAAGTTTGCTGCAAACTTGCAGTGCAAACTTGCCAAGTGGGTGACATTTTTATATTTATGCAAGTTTGCTGCAAACTTTCAATGCAAACTTGCGAAATTTGCATGGAAAACTTGCAGCAAACTTGCAGAAAATGTCTGTGCTTTGTGGGTTTTGTCTAAAAAAAAGGCGATTTCTAATTAAATCTGTTTTCCGAAAAAGTTTTTCTTAAAAGTTATAATTTCTAATGTTTATTTTCCTAAAACTTGTAAAATTCCATAATTTTGATAAAAATTAGAACATTGTTAAAAAATTGAGATTAAGAAATAGAATAACTATTTTACATATTTTCTGTTTCTCAATCACAATTCTGTTTACAAAATTATAAGTTTCTTTTTGAAAATGAAGAAAAATTTTTATAAAATTACTATTTCTTATTACAATTTGTTAACAATATTCTGTTCTTTTTTGAAAAAAAATAATTTGCATCATTTTTACACCAAAATTTCCAAAGTTAATACCTATATTTATAAAAAAATTTTGTAGAAAATTTTAAATATCTTTAGGAAAAAAATCCCTATAATTTCTATTTCTTAATTACGATTTTTAACTAGATTATTTTAAAATTTTGTTAAAAAATTTGCAGAATTTCTATTTTTTATTATAATTTTTTAACGAAATCTCAAGTATTTTTTTTAAAGAATTAACAAATTTCCGTAAATTTTATTTTTTAATCATATGTACCTATTGATCGTGATTACAAAAATTGAATATTATTAGAAGAAAGAAAATTTTGAAAATTACCTTTATTAGATAAATAAATTTTTAGAAAATTACCTTTATTTGAAGACAGAAAATTTCCTTTATTAGAAAAAAAGTTCTTTAAAAATTCACCTTTATTAGCAAAAAAATTTTTTAGAAAATACGATTTAGAAAAACTGTACCCCAACCAGTATTAGAATCATATAAGAATGAAAATTAAAAGATTTGAAGAAATTATAATTTAAATCTTTTGAGTAGAAGCATGTTTTTCACTTGGTAATTATATTTATTTTAATAACAGAAGCCATTAAAAAAATCGCAAAAGGATCCAAGACAAGGAAAGTAGTAATATTTATTTTTTTCACGGATTTTCTTAAAACCTCGGTATTTAAACTAAATTATAATTTCCACACCTTGGAAGTAATTTTTTTCGTTTGTTAATTATTTATTTTAATGTTACAAGTCATTAAAAAAATTTGCAAGAGGATCGAAGGCGGGGAAAGCAGTGATTTTGATTTTTTTCAATAATGATTTATTTTATATTCTAGGATTTATGAAAAATCCGTGATAAAAAATAAAGGTCACTGTTTTCCCCGCCTTGGATCCCCTTGCAATTTTTTTAAGTGGCTTCTGAGACGTGGAAATAATAATTTAGTTCAAATACCGAGATTTTTTAAAAAATTATAACTATTATAAACATGGAATAATATAAATTAAATTTATTAAACTTTTTCTGTGGAAGGCAGGTAGACAGATTGCTACCGCGTGATATTTCTTTAAATCATTCACGCGCGCATCGCGCGCGTACGATTTTGCTGGTATAGATAATAATAAATTAAATACTAACATTTGCTATTATTATACCAACAATAATAGATAATAATAAATTAAATACTAACATTTGCTAGTATTATACCAACAATAATTTCAAATATTTATACAATAACATTAAAAAAAATTATTTAATCTCCAAATTTTTTGAAGGTTTCTGAAGTAATAAGTGTTACTTGCTTCTATTCACCTTTATTTCTGAAAATTATCAAGAAATTTTACGAATTTAAAATATTTGGAAAAATGTTTTTCGTTCCTGGGAGAAATAATTTTTACGACGCTTAGAAATTTAATTTTTAAATCTAATTATTTTATAATCGGTTTCAAATAAACCGAAAATAGTATATTTCGTAACTAGTGCTAGCAGTTGTCAATTTTTGAACGAGCACACAGTTTGTTCCAAAAAAAGTGCTCGTTCAAAAATTGGCAACTGCTAGCACTAGTTACGAACGATATTTTTCATAACAAGGTGCAAAAAAGTGCCCTTTTTTGCACCGCGTTATGAAAAAAATTGTTATTCACTCAAATTATGTTTATTTCTGTTATTTAGAAATTTCTCCTTTTTATTTCTTTTTTAATTTAAAATATTTTTCTTTAAAATTGTAATTTTTAAAAAACTTTTATTATTTTAATTTTTAATAAAAAACAATTGATTTTTTTCCTGACACAGCAAAAATAGTATCAACTGATTTTTATGAGAATATGAGAGAATGTAATTCTAATTTTTTTTCCAACTTTGATGAATAATAAATTTTTTAAAATATCTGATTCCAATTTTTTTGATTCTAATGAATAGTAAATTAATGTTTTTAAACGATTTATTATAATTTTAATTTTCTGCAATTCTAATAAATAGTAGAAAAAAAAGACAATTTTTTTTCTCTCTCTAAATATTTGTTTTAAAGGTTCATAATATTTCGTGTGAAAATAAATAAATTTTACATGGCAAATTGCGGTTTTTAGAGAGTCAAAGTTCGAAACAACGCAATCTGCAATTTACGCATCAGGTCTTACCGCAATGTAATTACGAAGTGTATATGTATACATACATTGATTCGATAGATTGTAGTTTGCTTTACCGTTACAGTGTTGGATAGTGGGTAACATTTTCTGTTTTTATAGGCGAAGAAAGAAAGGAAAAAAAATTTTTTTTCTTTTTTTCTTTATATCTTACGGTAATTTAAGTGGCTATTTGATAATAGCAGAACATTCTTGAGTAACATTCTATCCTTAAAGAGTAAATTTAATCAAATAAAGAAAAAAAGATGGAATCGTAGGGAAAAACGACGACCTACAAAAGAAAAAATGTTGCTTGCATTGGTTCTTATTTATGTGGGGAACAGTTACTTCTCTTGATGCTATACTAGGAGATGAGAATTTGCAATAAATTTCAGAAACTCAAGTTTTGAAAGAATTTTTTAGTTTTTTAATTTCTCTTTCTTTTTTTCTTACATTTTTAGTAATTTTTTTAATTTATCTTTATTTTTATACTTTTTGTTGGGTAAAGAAATGATTTTTAAATATAAAAATTAAAGTTGTCGAGGAGAAATTCTCGTTATGACCTTAGCTCAGCGTCGAAAACTGTTATTTAGGTTTTGGTTGATTTTTTTTTGTTTAGGACTTTTTTAACCTCCTATGAAACAATTGTTTTATTTTTTTTTCGATTTAGTGAATAAAAATTTTTTCGATGCTTAGCGTCGACGCTAAGCGTTTTATTCAATTTAGCGATTGAATTTTTTTGATGAATTTTTAGTACTTAAATCCAATTAATTAACCTTTGGAAAGGTTAAAGTCTCGATTTTTAGAATTGAATAAAAACAATTTTTATTATTAAATTAAAATCACTTTAATAAACAGTAATAAGATTTTATATATACATAAACAATATTTTTTTTCAAAGATAACATGTGTCAATGTACATATTTCACATTATTTTTTTTTCTTGCATAAAAATACATATTTTTCGCATCGCTTCATATAATTCATTTATTTATTTTCATTATTATTATAAATATTTATATTATTTTTATTATTATTATTATTATTATTATTATTATTATTATTATTATTAAAATTATAAAATATTGTTAAATTATTATTGTAAATATTATTAATTCTAAAATTCTGATTGGTTCAAATGAACGACATTAATTTCTTTCTTTTTCAAATTAAAATTTTATTACAACTCAAATTGGCATGTCAAAAGTTTGACAGTTAATTTGTAAATAGAGTGATTAGTATTTTAGTGAAAGAATTCCCCTAGAATTTTTACAGGACAGGGAAATAAGTCAAGGAAGGAAATTTAATCCAAAAAACTATCAAATTATTGAAAATCTTAAATAGTCTATGAATTTTCTTTCTCAAATTAAAAAAAGAATGTATAAGTAAAGTTACAGTTGCAATTTTTAGAAATAATCAATTATTTATTTTTTTATTTAAATAATTGAATTCTCGTACAACTTTATTTTGATAAGAATTGATTTAAAAACAAATTTTAATTTAAATTTTAGAAAATATTTCAAGAATTTCAGTTCTTATTTCTAGATATAATTAAATTTCAAAAGATTCTTAGCAAAATTTTATCTAGAAATTCTGAAAAAATGAGGTTTTTAAAAAACGTAGGTAATTAAAATTTTTTGAAAATAGTTGAATTTCCGAAAATAATTTTTAAAAAATGAAAAAGAAGAAATGTTCTCAAATTTCATTGAAATAAATTTTATATTTCTCAGAAGTTTATTTTCTCACTTTAAAAAATTATTTTAAAATATAATTGTATTTTTTTAAAAAGAATTTTAACCAAAAGTTTGGAAAATAATTAAATTTTACAAAAATATTTGTATTTAAATAATTTAATTATCGTTGAATTCTAATAAGAATTGATTTAATAAAGAATAAAATTTTGAAAAAATTGAATATTAAAAAACAGGAATTTTTAGAAATAATTTTTTAAATAATCTTTCTAACATTTTAATCGCCTTAAAAGTATAATAATAATTAAATCTTTATTTAAAAAATATTAATATATAAAGTTTTGAATAATTTTATTCAAAACTTCTAAAAAAATAATTTACTTTTAGAAAAATTACATTTATAATTTTTAGAAACAAATAATTTTCAAAAGGATTTACACTGAAATTATTTGAAATTTCTATTAAGGGGAGGTTACTGTTCTCATTGGTGAAAAGTTCACGAAGTTGAAAAAATTTTTTTTTTCATATACGGAAAATATACTATTTAAGGGGACATTCCAGTTCAAAACAGGCAAAAAGAAGGCTTTTTTATTGTATATTATTAAAATAACTATGACATTTATTTAAAAAATTTCTTTTACATGTAATAAATAATTTATTTAAGAATTTGTAAAAAAAAAATTTTTCATTTTTATTTCAAAATGGCGGCGATATACGCCATTTTCGAAAATGCCCATTTTCGGTGGTACGATCGATTCCAAACTTTCTAAAACAGATAAAACCAAACACGAAGTGACATTCTCTTCGTTAGATATTTATTTAGGGGTGGAACCTCAAAAAAGTGGAATTTTCTTCCCCCCCTTTTTTTTATAAGAGAAATTCTGAATAAAAACACTTTTTTTTTTAATATTTTGGGGAAAAAGTACTCTAAAAAAAGGGGGGGAAGAAAATTCCACTTTTTTGAGGTTCCACCCCTAAAGAAATATCTAACGAAGAGAATGTGACTTCGTTTTTGGTTTTATCTGTTTTAGAAAGTTTGGAATCGATCGTACCACCGAAAATGGGCATTTTCGAAAATGGCGTATATCGCCGCCATTTTGAAATAAAAATGAAAAATTTTTTTTTTTACAAATTCTTAAATAAATTATTTATTACATGTAAAAGATATTTTTTAAATAAATGTCATAGTTATTTTAATAATATACACTAAAAAAGCCTTCTTTTTGCCTGTTTTGAACTGGAATGTCCCCTTAAGTAAAAAAAACCGCAATTCGAAAAATATTCTATGAAAAAAAAATTCCCTAACTTCATGCCTTTTTCACCATTGAAAACCATTGAGAACTTTTTCACCATTTCATTTGACAATGAAATTGTCAAATTTCATTGAAATAAATTTTATACTTAAAAAATAATTTACATTTCAAAAATTTTAATTTTTTTTTATTTTTTATTGCGCACTTAGCAAGTTTTTGAAATTATTTATATTGAAAAACTATTTCGTTCTTTTGAGCCTTCTAAAAGTTTGGAATATGAATTGAATATTATTGTTATTGTCTATTATTAATAAAATTAATTATTATTAATAATATAATAAATAATAATAGTAATAATTTTTCTTATTTATTATTTTTATGTTTACTGTTTAATTAAGGCACATGTCAGATGCTTGACTTAACATAATTTTCATCTGAAAATTAAAAATTGTACTTTTTAAAATTACAAAATATTAAAACCGGTTAAACTAAAATTTATGTTTTTATTTTTTTAGAAAACTTGAATAAGTTACTGAAAAAATACTGTTCGCAGCAATTTTTTTTTAATTTGAATAGCCAATTTTATAAAGTATTAATTATTTTTTTTTTTTTGCATTTTTACACTAATTATTTTTGATTCTACTTTAAAGAAGGAAAAATTTTAATCTCTTTATTAAGAGATTGGAATTTTTCCTTTTTTAAAGTATACAAGAGAAATAAATTATATGTTATTGATAAATGTTTCAAAGACGGCAAAAATTATTAAAATGCAAACAAAAAAAAAGAGGAATGAAAATAGTTACAAGTCATTTGAGTTTTCTGTGAGGAATCTTGAAAAATACAAAAAAAGAGAAATATAAGTTAAGAAATAATTATTTTTCACATATACACGAGGGGATATTTAAAATTACATTAAAAGTCATTGCACGTCGTTTAAAGACGTTAACTCACAGCCACTGCAACTTCTATGGAATCTTTTACAACATTTGTGTAAAAGTTTGAATAATATATTTTCTCTTTTCTTTTTTTTTAAGAACAGAGTGTAAGTATTTTTTTATTTGATCATTTTTTTTTCTTTCAAGGTTATGAACTATATAATTTTCTAGAATCAGGTCACACGACAGTCATTCTCACGACTGAGAAATACACATTTCATGATCTTTATCAAATTCCGAGCGATAGAATGATAAAATTATTACCTAGACTGGTGAAATATTTCGGTAATTATAAAGAAAAATTCGTAAAAATATATTTTTGTTTAATTTCTATTTATTTTATTTTATTTTTAGTCGATTATTTTTTCTTTCATGCTATTTATTTTATTCATTTGGCTTTAGTTTTATTTAGTTCACTTATATTTGTTTTTATTTCATTTCCTTTTTCATTTTATTTTTGTTTCATTTCTTTTTCATTTTCTTTTTTAATTTAATTTTTGATTAATTTATTTTATCTATTTTTATTTGCCCTTCAAATTATTTTACTTATTAATTTTTATTCGATCATTTTTTCTTCCATTAAATTTATTTAATTTATTTGGTATTATTTTCATTTAAGTTATTTTTACTTTTATTTCATTTCTCCCATTTTATTTTAATTTATTTATTTTTCTTCAATTTATTCTACCTATTTATTTTTACTTTTCCTTCAAATTATTTTTTCTACTTTTATATTTCTTTCTAACAATTTTTTCAATTTTGTTTTTTTTTCGATTATTTTTCTGTTCATTTAATTTATTTTTATTCAATTTATTTTATCTTCTTTTATTTTTCCTTCTAATTATTTTATTTATTTTCTATTTTTTTAAAATTATTTTTTATATTTTTGTTAGATTATTATTTTTTCTTTCATTGAATTTGTTTGTAATTATTTTTACTTTTATTTAATTTCTTTAATTTTATTTTTAATTAACTTATTTTCCTTTAAAGTTTATTTATTATTATTCATCAATTCAATTCTTTTGCAGCACAATAAAGAAACTGAAGATATTTCTATAATTTTAATAGGAAATTAAAAAAGTTAATTAAAAGTGAATTAAAGTAAATAAAAATAATTTTGATTTACAAATAAATAATAATTTCTAAAATAAATTGAAAAAGATATTGAAAAGTTAAATTAATAATTTTGATGCATTAATTTCTTTTTTCTCTTCTCATTGTTTTAAATTTTGATTCGATCATGAAATGTGTAAAATTATCGCTAGCTTGTTGGCGAATGCGATTGATAAGTCACGTCTTCCGGCGACAATGACGAGGAAATGCTTCTATCTTTGAGATGTGATGGTAATGCAAAAGAATTTCCAAGAGGGTACGAAGGCAGAGCCTCGAGAATTCTGGGTGGATTTTTTTTTATTATCGGCACACTTGAGTATGTTGGCAATTTACTGCCACTGACATTGTCATCAGCAAGCCAACCAGTTGGTCGGGTAATTGGAAGTCGTTGTGTCTTGAAATTTGTTTCCGAACTCGCCGATGCGCTCGTCTGTAAATTTAATGAACCAATTTGAGCGTGAACATTTCCTCCAATATTTGAAATCAATTCATCCGAGCCACCAGATTTACTTATTCTCGCACTCGAATCTGTAAAATAAAAACAGTGAAAATGAAAAAATTAATTCATTTTATTAATAAAAATTAATTTTTCTCAAAGGCTAAAATATGTTTAAAATTAATTGAAGTAATGAGAATAGAGCATTTTTTATTAATAATTAAATTTTTATTCATCATTTTCCTATTAGTTTCCTAAATTTCCTTACGTTGAAAATTTTAGTTGAATTCCGGAAAAATATTTTTGCTATTCAACTACTAAAAATTAATTAATTAAAATATTATTACGATGTTTTTGCAATTTCAGAAAAGGAAATTAAAAATTATGAAAATATTTATAGTTTTTTTTTGCAATTATGTACAAAATTTGTCTCAAATCCAAAAGTATGTTTAAAATTAGCTAGAGAATTAAAAAAATAATTTGACATTTTAAACACGATATTCGACATTTGAGGGAGAGAAAAAATTTTTTTTTTATTTATTTAAATAAAAAAAAAGTTTTATATTGATAAAATAAGTTTTAAACTTTCACATTGCCACTCTGTGAGGCAAGCGAATCAAGTAAATACTTCATTTTTTTTCTCAACATGTTTTTACTTTCAATTCAAGCACGTATATTCAGATAAATTTGTTAGTTCCTCGCCTTTTTGTAATTGTCCTGTTTTAAATGAATGAATTCACAAAACTGGTTGACCGTGAACCGTGAAATTTTCATTTTTTTCCAATGTTTAATTGCACATTGTATAAATATAGGGAAAAAAGTTTCGTTACTTTATAGAAACGTCAATATAATAAATATTCATGGTATTATTTTCTTTTCTCCGCAGCTAAAATTAATATATCGATTGGAAAAATTTTTTACCACGAAGTAAAACTAAATAAACGTAAGGGGAAAAATAACCGGAAATCAACGCAACGGAAGAAAATTATTAAGAAAATAATCTCAAGGATTGAAATAGAAAGGAAACAAAATTTTTTCGCTAAATAAGAAAGAAAATACTAAAAAAAAATATGAATTAGTAGAAAAAATATTTGAAATGCTAAAAAAATACTGAAAGAAATATTTGAATTAGCAAAAAATTTATTTTAATCCGTAGAAAAAATATTTGAAACGCTAAAATATATTTGTGTTAGTATGAAAAATATTTGAAATCCTAAAAAAAAGTATTTGAATTAGCAAAAAAAGAATAGTTGAAGTAGTAAGAAAAGTATTTGAAAATTGCTAAAAGAAATATTTCAATTAGCCAAAAATTTATTTTAATTAGTAGAAAAAATATTTGAAATCCAAAAAAATATTTGAATTAGTAGGAAAAATATTTGAAATGCTTAAAAAAACATTCCACTTAGTAGAAAAAATTTTTGAAATACTAAAAAAAGTATTTGAATTAGCAAATAAAAATAGTTAAATTAGTAGAAAAAATATTTGAAATACTAATAAAATATTAGAAGTGATAAAAAAAACTAAAAAAAATATTTGAGTTGCCAGAAAAAATATTTAAAATTACTAAAAACTATTAAAAATACAGAAAATATGTAAAAAATACATAAAATAAAAATAAATAACATAAAATAAAAGAAATAGAAAAAATGAATTTTAAAGTGCAAATAAGATTAAATAGAAATATTCGAGAAGTTGATTAAATATCTAATTGATATCAGAATAATAAAGATTTAATGAATTCAAATATACATATTCATGAATTGTCAAGATTGAAAGTATTTTGCAATTTCTTAAATCAGTATATATATGTATTGTAGAAAAAAATCTACACCGCCTTGACATCGCGAAGGTGACAAGAAATTTTATTCACTTGTATTCAAAACTGATCGATTATATATCATAAATAAATAATTCCAATCCGAAAAATTAAGCGCGATGATACTTAAAGATTGTTTTAAAGCTATAAAAACCGTCAGTAATCATTTTACTCATTTGTCGTAAACGTAAAGATGAGGAGACGCTTTTTTTGCGAAAAACCGGTTTGGAATTAATTATTATTATTATTATTATAAGAGTTTAATAATTATTATAATATGGTGATTAATTTCCCTCACGTTATTCAACTTGACAAATTTTCGTCTTTATTACGCAAAAAGATACTTGAAAATTTCAGTAAGCAAAAAAATATGTACATAAAAGGTTTCGAATAAATTTCTTTCTTGTTGGTGAGAGAGAAAATAATTTACTGAATTATTATTCTATACTGAATTTCAAATTTTGCTAAAGGAGTTTATTTATTTTTTTGAAAAAAGAAGGTAAATGAATAAATATTTCATTCTCGATTTCAGAATATAGTTTTTTTTATTTGAATAATTGTGGGTGATAAAATATTTTTACTATGACAAATTTTTATCTCACTGAATTTTCAAGTTTCACTTCAGAGAAATTTCTATTTTACCATTTACATTCAATAGATTTTTATTTAATGAAATTTTCATTCGAAGGGATTTTTGTTTCTTATAAAATTATTTTTTCTATCAAATGAAATGAATTTTTATTAGACTACTAAATTTTTTAGCTAAATTTGTATACCTATTATCTTTTCACACAAAAAACAGAAAATGAATATAAAATAATTTAATAAAATTTCATTTTACAGAATTATTTCGAATAATTTTATTAAAATTTTTCAAATTTACTAAATTCTTTCCAGGAATTTCATTAAAATTGAATTGCAAATGACTAAATTTTTATTTAAGAATTTTATCTAAAATTTTAAAAATAATTGAGTTCCTGGGAACAATTGAGGCCTTGGATCCAATAACTCGCCCGACGCTCGAAGGCACGCGCTAATACCAGTCGGGTAGCAGTGAGTGGCCCAGAGGCGCTCACTGCTCACTGACTGGCAGTTTCGCGTTCCTCCGAGCGTCGGGCGAGTTATTGGATCCAAGGCCTCAATTGTTTTATTTGTGAAAATAATTAAATTCTTTCCAAGAATTATTTTTATTTTTGAAAATCATTGAATTATTTCGAAGAATTTTATTTAAATTTTTGAAAAAATAGTCAATTCTTTCAATGAATGTAATTACAATTATATTGAAATTAATTCAATTATTATAATAAATTTCATTAAAATTGTTCAAGAGTAATTGAATTCTTGAATAAAATTGAATAAAAAATTTCCAAAAATGTTTGAATTCTAACGAGAAATTTACTTAAAATTGTATTGAAAACAATTGAATTAAATAAAAGAATTTTATTATTTATAAAATAATTGGATTCTTATAAATAATTTTATTACATATATATATATATAATAATGATGCTATCACTCGGTCGATAAAATATTAAGATGATGAAAAAAATCGATCACTCCGAGTCAGGATCCTAACTCGGAGTGATCGATTTTTTTCATCATCTTAATAATTTTATTACAGTTGTATAGAAAATAATAGAATTGTTATAAAGAATATCATTCAAATTTTTGAAAATTGAGGTATTAGGTTCTTTTAAAGTATTTAATTAAAATTGGATTGAAAATAATTGAATTTTTATAATGAAATACATTAAAATTTTGAAAATAATTGAATTCTTTCGAAATTAGTTTTTTTCCGAGGAATTTAATAAAAATTCTATTGAAAATAATTGAATTTCTGCGAAGTATTTTATCATTAATGAAATAAATGAATTTTTGCGAAGAATTTTATTATAACTTTTGATAAAAATTGAATTGTTATAAAGAATTTTGCGGAATTTATTTGTAATTGTAATGAAAATAATTTAATTCTTTCGAAAATAATTTTTCTTCAGAGGAACTTAATTTAAATTCTACTGAAAATATCCACTCTTCGCGCTCTTAATTTACTACTGATATCGATCCAGCCATTAACACTACTTGAGGCAGCCAGGCCATGTAAACCATGTAAACCATGTAAACGAATTTAATTTGCCTAATTTTTTTGTGTGAAATTCTTTTTTAAAATTAATTTTTTAGCGAAATACATTTAAAAAAGTATTCGCTCTAATTTAAATATGTTGGGCGTAGAGGAAAATAAAGCGATTTGATGTTAGCGAATAATAACTGAATTTATTTTTATACAGCTCATGGCGTGGTTAAATTACAAGTGAAGTTAGAGCGTCGATTTACGAGATAAAGGAGGGGGTAAAAAGAAAGATGATGACTCCATCTATATATGATAAGAAAACCGCGAAATATAAAAGAGATGTTTATAATTGATTATTCCAACAAAATAATTTGAAATTTATGTAAACAAAAATCCTAAAATTCTGAACTTTCAACTGAATGAAATTTATTTATGTCTTCTTTAAATTTTTATTAATTATATTAAGGAATTAATTATATATAAATTAAATGTTTATTATAATAAACTTGCGTCGTTATTAAAAAAAATTAATTGTAAAGTTTAGAAACTTTATAATTGATTTTTTTAATGTAAAAGATTTTTAATTTTTATTTCAATAGTTTATGAAAATGTAATAAAAAATATTTCCTTCATTTAAACGTTCAAAATTTGTCGGTCGTCTAGATTTTTTTTTTGTGAAAAGAAAAGAGAAAAAATAAATTAAGTTTGAATTTATAAAATAAAAAATTCTACAGTGCTTTCATTAAATACAATTAAAAAGTGAAAAAATTTGAAAAATTTGAAACTTACCGAATGTTTTGGCCTCGCGTGCATGAGCTAGAAGTTCGTCGATCCTGTTTCTACGAAAGTAGGTGTCGGCGATGTCTTTCCATTTTGACACTTTCGGCTCACTTTCGCCACCTTCATCACCACTGTCTCGTTCATCATCGTTACCACTATTACTATTATTACTGCTACTATTATTACTATTGTTACTATTATGGTTACTGTTGTGATGATGATTATTATTATTGCTATTGTTATTATTGTTTTGATCTGATTTAGAGTCGATGCCAAAGCTGGTGGTGATTAATTCACGTGATTGAGCAGGTGGCGGAAGAGAGATTCGTAGTGATACCGAGGAAACGTTTGGCAAACGCCAGCGATTTAATTCATCACACCAAGTGGCCGCGGACCTGATGGCCTCCAGGTCACGAAATGGACAGCCAGGTCGAAGGTGAGGGAGCATCGCATCGCACAATTGTGTCCCCAACAATTCCCGTCGCAATAGATCTCTTCTTTCCGCGTCCCACGATGCCTGTTGAATAATTTCAATTTTTTTAGTACTTTCTCAACGATTTATTTATAATTAATTTTATTTAATTCCTTTTTTTTATTTTCATATCAAACTGTGAATTTAAATTTAAATTTACATTTTTCAATACTTTTTTCATTTTCCTTTTCAATAGTTTGAATTGTTTGGATTTTTTAATATTTCTTCATTTTTCTATGCAATTATTTGAATTTTTCAATACTTTTGGCATTTTTCTTTTTTAATGATTCACAAGGTCGACACAAGTCAGGAAAATCACGGATTATAATTATATTAAAAGTACTAGAAAAATAACAAATTTCTGGAATTCTTATAAAAATTCTATTTTTTAGTATCAAAAACTATTTTTAAAAAATAAAAATCTTAATTTCTTCTAAGTTATTTTTCACCTTAAAAACTTTTGAATCGCAAAAAATTTTAAAAGTAAGCCTTGAAATTTTCATAGTTCTGTAAATAATTAAATTTAGTTTCAATGAAATTAAATTCTAAAATAATTTTCTTAAAGTGAATTAATGTTAATTAACGTAAAAAAGATTTTAATTAAAACAAAAGTTGGAGTTTTCAAAAATAATTAAATTCCAGAAGGTTTTAAACTAAAATTCTTGGAAAATTACAATTGCTTTAAATATTTATTTTAAAAATTATTTGTTTTAAATAATTTTATTTAGATTTCTGAAAAAGTTGTATTTCTAAGAAAATTTTAATTAAATTGTTTGAAGAAACTTAAATTAAAAAAAAATTGTATTAAAGAATTATTATCAAATGAATGGAAATGTGAATTTAAATTTAAAATAATTAAATTTGTTATAGAATCTCAGAGATTTAAAAAAAAAATTATTAAGGACTTACAATTAAATAATTAGTACATAAATGAAACTTAAAATTCTAATTCTAATTTCTAATTTAATAAATAATTGGCAAATAATTGGATTAAATTTCACAAAGAGTCATAAGTATTCATAAGTTTGTTATTAAAAAAACAGCTTTGAAGGTTCTTAATTGTATCTAAGATAATTTAATTGTGAAATAGGTAATTTTATTAAAATTTTTGATAATAATCGAGAAAAGTTTGGCGCAGATATTAATTTTATTTTTTACTCTTTAATTTTTTTAGAGGGATCAGGGAAAAAGTGCAAATTCCATCTGGAAGTCAGGGAAAATCGAAATCGAATTTTTGTGACAATCCTCATTTGAAAAAACGTATCAATTTTATGTAAAAAAAATTTGGAAAAAGTAATTTTAGACAAAGAAATATTTAATTAGAAAAAGAGAATTTTGAGAAAGTAGTTTCAAAATAAAAGCATTTTACAAAAAGAAATTTATTTTTTATTTCAGAAACAAAAAAAATTTATTTTAGAAAAATTCAATAAAAACGAAAATAATACTTTTTGATAAAGTAAATTTAGAAGATCTAGAAGTGATCTTGAGAAAGAAATAGTTTACTAGAAACAAACAATTTTTGGAAAACTCACTTTAGAAAAAGTTCATCAGAAACAAATAATTTTTGAAAAACTAATTTTAGTATAATAAAATGTAAAAAAAATTTAAATTCATTCGATTCCAAAAGAAATCTAAATTTGCTCGAAATTAAATTTACGCAATTAAAAAATAAAAAAATGAATTAACCTGAAGATCCGCAGCTTCAATTTCGAGTTGTCGTGCCCTTTTCGCCATTCTTTTGAGCGCCTCCTCGGCTGTTTTGAGCTGTCCATAAACTTGAAATGCAGCGCCCGTTCCCTCCTGTGAATCAGCCTCCAAAGCAGTGGCCAAAATTTCCAAACGCTTGCGTCTCCTCTCACGACGTCTCCTAACTTCATCGTTACTTCGCGCCTCACCACCAATCGTCAATTTTTCCAATCTCTTTAAAACTTCAAGACGTGCCGCTTCTCTTTTCCGTCTTCTTTTCTCCTCAAGCGGATCAATTTCATCATCATCCGCCCTCCGCTCCCTATCATTCAATAATTCCACTCGTTTCTCCTCTAAATTTAAATAATTCATTTCTTTAATGGGCTCCGATTCGAAACGCGATCTAAGAGCTGATAACTCCTCTTTCAATTTTAGTGCCGAATTATTGGAATTTTCACATTCCCTTCGTAAGTTTTCAATTTCCTCATTATTTCTACTATTATTGTCATCTTTCTCGGGGGAATTTAAATCTAATCGAGGATTTTGATCACTTGATTCGAGAAGTTTACGCAGTCTTTGTAATTCAATTTGATATTGTTTTAATAGAGCGTCCTTTGGATCTTCATTAACAATTGGCTTATTTTTTATGCAACGGGCGCGTGCCGCATAACGTAATGTACTTAGTGTTTCGTCTCCGTCGGCGTCCGATGGACTCACGCAAGCGATCATTAATGTTCTCGCGTTTCCTCCCAAGCTGTCTCTGAGGAGTCGGGTCAATTTGCTGTCTCTGTTAATTCAAAATATTTTATTTTATGTTTCAATTTTCTTCGATAAATTTATCTGCGTCAATTAAAATTAAATAGTTCAAAAAAACTTACTGAAAAATAAATTCATTTCAAATAGGTACAGTTTTGTCATTTTTTTTATTTTTAAATATCAACTTCAGTTTTTGAATAATTACAGTTTTAAAGTTTAGAAAAATTCTGTTATTCACTTATTAATTGTTATTAACTAATATTTCGAAATTTTTTTTTTAAATTCTTCGCAAGAATTCAATTATTTTCATAAATAATAAAATTTATTCTTCGCAGAATTTCAATTATTTTCAATACAGTTTCTCGAAAGAATTCAATTATTTTCAAAAATTTTAATAAAATTCTTCGAATAAATTTTGACAAAACTCTGTAAAAATTAAGTTATTTTAAATGTAATTTTATTTTAATCCCTTGAAATAATACAATTTTTTTAATACAGTATTATTCAAATTTGTCAAAAAAATTCAATTATTTCAATTCTTATTTGGAAATAAATTATTTTCAATAACATTTTTATAATTTTTCTCGAAAGAATTGAATAAATTATATTGAAGAATTCCAAAAACTTTCTTCGAAAGAATTGAATTATTTTAGAACATTTTTGACAAAATTCTTTGTAAAATTTAATTTCTTTTCAACATAATTTTATTTTAATTCCTTGAAACAATTCAATTTTTTAAATACAATTTTATTCAAATTTGTCGAAATAATTCATTTATTTAAAAAATTTAAATTAAATTGTTCACAGAAATTCAATTATTTTTAATATACCTAATTTCAATAAAATTTCTCGAAAAAATGAAATTATTTTAAAAAATTCAAATAAATTTCTTTCGCAAAAATTTAATTATTTTCAAATATTTTGATTAAATTCTTGATAAGAATAAAGTTATTTCAATACAATTTTAATTTAATTCCTGGAGGTAATACAATTTTTTTAAAAAAATTTAATAAAATTTCTGGAAACAATTCAATTATTTAAAAAAAAATTGTTAAAACTTGTTGGCAAGAATTCAATTATCTTTTGAAATAATAAAATTCTACTCTGGAATTCAATTATTATTTTCATAAATAAAATTCTTCTCTAGAATTCAATTATTTTCATAAATAAAAAAAAATAATTGACTTTTGGAAAAATTGCAGTTGTAATTTTTATAGAAATAATTAAATTTCAAAAGGTTTTACATTTAAATTATTTAAAACTAGCAACATATACCTCACTCGCTAACGCTCGTTCGGTTGTATTTAAACTTATTTGTTTTTACTTATTTATTTTTATTTATTTGAACTAAGTAAATATTTACTGGACATAAATATTTTAATTTATGGTATCAAATAAATAGTTATTTGAACCAAATACAAATTACTTAAGTCAATTAAATAGAATAATTTGATCTAATAAATATTGCTTTAAATCAATTATGAAAATTACTTGATTCAATAATGCATAGTTTTTAATTAAAATAAATATTTATTTGCATCAATAAAATAATTTTTTTGAAATAACTAAACTTAGAAGGTTAGATTTTGAATGTTAGCCTGATTCTCTGGATAATTAGTAAGAAAAGGGCGAAGATACGTCCATTCTTTTCTTACTAATAGGATTTTCTGTAGGTAATGATGGGACATCGACATCGGAAACATCAATGTTTACAACCTCGATGTTTTAATTTCGATATTTTCGATGTATCGAGGTTTTTTTCCGATGTTTGATATTGATGTGAATTATAAGTGCGGGGAAAAAATGATTTTTTTAAATATCTCCTTTTTTGCCTCTAACAGTTTGTGTTTTTTTTTATCTTTTAAACAATTGCTTTAAAAATATTATAATGTTATTTTTCGAAAATAATTGAATTTCTTAAAATAATTCTTATATCCTAATTTATCTTTAAAAATTTTTTTTTTAATTTTTGATAATTCAATTATTTTCAAAATTTGCAATTAAAATTCTTCAAAAAATTGTAACAAAATACTTGAAATAAATTAATTATTTTCAATTAAATTTTGCAAAATTTCAACTATTCAAAACCTTCTATTGTAGACATATTTGAAAAATTTTATTATGTTAAAAAATTATTCAAAGAAATCTAAGTATACTTATTTTTAATTATCTATAACTTAATCTATTGAATTTAGAAAAATTACATCAAGAGGACAAAACTTTGTTCTTTCGTCTACTTTTGAATAATGTTTAGAAAACTAAATTTTTATTAATGTTTATTAAAAAATTATTTTATACCTAAAAATTTTAAATTTTTTTAATTTAGGCATGATTATAATCACAGGCACACAAAAAAAAAGTTGTCTGTTCATTGAACAAGACCTACATGGGCACGACCGACCGACCGACCGACCGACCGACCCTAGTCGTATATATATGTATATCTTTTAAAAATAATATTAACACAAATGTATACATATTCACAAATCACGCATGCGCAGTAGTGTTATATCAATATCAGGCATGCGCAGTAGTGTTCTGTCAATGTCAGGCATGCGCAGTAGTGTTCTGTCAATGTTACGCATGCGCAGTAGTGTTCTGTCAATGTTACACATGCGCAGTAGTGTTCTATCAATATTAGGCATGCGCAGCAGTGTTCTGTCAATGTTACGCATGCGCAGTAGTGTTCTATCACTGTTACGCATGCGCAGTAGTGTTCTGTCAATGTTACGCATGCGCAGTAGTGTTCTGTCAATGTTACACATGCGCAGTAGCGTTCTGTCAATATTACACATGCGCAGTAGTGTTCTGTCAATATTACACATGCGCAGTAGCGTTCTGTCAATATTAGGCATGCGCAGTAGTGTTCTGTCAATATTACGCATGCGCAATAGTGTTCTATCAATATTACGCATGCGCAGTAGTGTTCTATCAATGTGAGGAATGCACAGTAGTGTTCTATGAATATCAGGCATGCGCAGTAGTGTTCTGTCAATATTACACATGCGCAGTAGTGTTCTATAAATATCAGGCATGCGCAGTAGTGTTCTATGAATATCAGGCATGCGCAGTAGTGTTCTATCAATGTGAGGAATGCGCAGTAGTGTTCTATGAATATCAGGCATGCGCAGTAGTGTTCTGTCAATATTACGCATGCGCAGTAGTGTTCTATAAATATCAGGCATGCGCAGTAGTGTTCTATGAATATCAGGCATGCGCAGTAGTGTTCTATCAATGTGAGGAATGCGCAGTAGTGTTCTATGAATATCAGGCATGCGGAGTAGTGTTCTGTGAATATCAAGCATGCGCGCATAACACCCACACATGTATACTCACACATATACACTAATCACATGTACATGTATACTCACACATGTACATAAATTACATACACATGTATACTGCTCATATGCAGATATAAACTCCTACATATACACAAATCACATATATGTATAGATTTAATAAACGATTGATAATATAAATTGTTGAATTTTTTAAGGTTCGTTGATGCACGTAGTGTCTGTTGAAATTTTCTTAAATATACGTAAATACCTCACTCGCTGATGCTGCGCTGTCTGTGTTGTAATGGAACTTATTTATTTACTTGTGTATTTACTTATTTATTTCAGGGTTGCCACAAGACATCGATTTTAAAATTCCATGACTTTTCCAGGTTTTCCAGACCATTTCTTAAAAAATTCCAAACCAGAAATAAAATTGTTTTGGTATGTTTTTAGCTAATTACGACAAAAAGTATAAAATCCTTTAAGTAAATTGTTAACAAAATAAGTTATTAATTTTTAATTTCATTAATAACAAAAATTTAAGTTAAAATTTGTGAGATTATTTGAGATACGCTCCGAAGAAAGATGAGGAGCAAATCTTTTTAAATTTAAAAATTTAGTTTAGTTTAGAATTTTTCACAATTATTAAACAAGTATTTTAAGCATTTTAATAACATTTTATGAAACTGAAGTTACCTACGTTTATTCAATGACAATTTTTCCTTTGCTAATTATTTATTTTAATGTTAGAAGCCTTTTAAAAAATTTCAAAAGATCGAAGTCGGGGAAATTATTAATTTTGATTTTTTACACAGATTTTCGAAAAATCCATATATTATTTAAACAAAATTATTATTTCCTAACCTCATAAGCAATTTTTTCTTTTACAAATTATTTATTTTAATGTGACAAGTCATTTAAAAAAATTGTAAGAGGATCTAAGGAAAGCAAGGAAATCAGTGATTTTTAATTATTTTTTTCGTAGATTTTCCAAATATCCCGAAATTTCAACTAAATTATTATTTCCTCGCTTCAGAAGCAATTGTTTTCGATTGCAATTTTTTAAAGGGCTTCTTACATTAAAAAAACAATTAGCAAAAGAAAAAATTTTCATTGCATAAAAGTTGGTAGCTTCAGTTTCATAACATTTTGGGGTTTCTAAAATGTATTAATTTAAAAATTATTTAAAGGAAGATAGAGACCAAAAGAAACTAAAATTTAGAAATGCCATATTGATTTCAATTGTAAGCACTAAATTTAAAATCAAAAAGTTGTATAATGTCAACTTGAAAACTTAAAATTTTTACGACTCAAATACAAAAAATTGAGCTTTTAGTATCAGGCTTTGTAAAATTCCCTGACAATTCCAGATTTTTCAGGTTTTCCATGACTGAAAAAAAATTCCATGACAATTCCGGGTTTCCCAGGTTTTCCAGGTCCGTGGCAACCCTGTATTTGTTTGACAGACATCAACAATAATTTTTTAAATGGATAATCAGTGAAAATGACTTATATTTCTGTAAGTTAGTGTTTCACTTCGATCCGAGAATTTCATTTTTTCGAGCGATTATTTGGTTATCGTCTTTGGTTTTCAAACGATCATCTCGTTTATTCTTTTGTTAATTGTCAAATCGTATCGTCTAATTTTCTAATTGTCATCGACCGAACTTCTCGACTGCTTCTCGACTTTCCCATAACTGACAACTAAAAATAATACAATAATAACCTATTTTTTGAAAAAAATCGA